AGTGTTCTGCCAGAGAGCAACACTGCGGTCTTGCCTTCCTTTTTGGCTCGGTCAATGTCTTCTACATTGTGCACTTGCAATATCAAATGTGAGAACTCATCAAACCATTTTTTCCATTGAATAACGTTCTTGATGCTTTCGGAGAAGTTCTCCCACAAAGTACAGGTACAAGAAACCATGGTTATACCACCCTTATGCCATGCTTGAAAGATATCTTCGCCAAAATTGCAAATGTTCAAACCATCAATGTGGATGGATCTGCGGTACAATTCGCGAGCTTCTTGGTCGGTTAGCATTTTTTGGTAAATTTGACTACATTACGCACCCATTTATGCTTACGAAACGAAGATGAGAGGCGGGGGAGATACGATGATCGCCGGTAACGTGCCGAGATAGCGATGTCCCAATGCGGTAAATTGGCATCGAAACTCCGAAAAATTAATTGTGGCACATCAACGGCTCGTCCCAGATAGGCAACTATGGATCGGGATTACGTCAAGATTGTGGATGAGATGCAAGCCATAATCACACCCAATTAGGCATGTTCATCGTCGGAGAAATGCTATCATCGACCAACTCGATGGATCTTCTTTGTATAAAAGTTGTACCAAGATCATATCCAGCTTATCATGAGTGAAGTTATTGATTCTAATCTTGAGAAGAAGAACGGAATAGTTACCGTTGATTCTGTTACTGGTGGTTCTTCCGCCGAAAACAGGCTGCTAAGTTCCAAAAAAGTTGACTGGAAAACAAAGATTAGAGGCATTATTTGGGACTCTCTTGACAAAAGTCCGGAGGAAAGAAAGTTTGTATTCAAGGTGGACTGCTGGGTAATGTCATACATTTGTGTGGCCTACTTTGTCAAATATTTGGATTCTATGAATGTGTCGAATGCTTATGTTTCAGGAATGAAGGAAGAACTTCATTTTGGAGGATTGCAGTATAACTATTTATCAACTTGGTACTACATTGGCTACATCATTGGCCAAATTCCTTCTCAGGTGGCTATCAATTATATCAGACCTTCCATCTGGTTACCAGCAAACGAATTGCTTTACGGAGCCTTTGTCATGGCAATGGCAGGAGCTAAAGATGTCAAGACTTTGTATGCGTTGAGATTCTTCATTGGCTTGTTCGAAAGCACTGCCTATGTTGGTATCATGACAATCTTATCCAACTTTTACTTGCCAGATGAATTGGGAAAGAGAACATGTATCTTTCAAACTTCCTCGAGTGCTGCTCAGATGTTCTCGGGATACTTGCAAACAGGCCTTCATAAAGGCATGGATGGTGTAGGTGGACTTTCGGCTTTCCGGTGGCTTTTCATATTTGATGGTATTATTACAATACCTGTTGCGATTGTGGGATTCTTTGCTATTCCTGACGAACCCTTGAGTTCAAAGGCATTTTGGTTCAATGAAAAAGACAGAGAAATTGCAATAAGCCGATTAAAACGGGGGAACAGAAATACCAAACCTAATATGAAATTCCAAGATTTTTTGGATATGTGTGTGGACTGGCCCATTTACCTTTTCTCGTTGAGCTTTATTTGTCATGTGGTTGCAATTAGACTTTACGGATACATGAACCTTTGGTTGAAATCAACAGGTACATTTTCCATCTCCCAGATCAACAACTTACCTACGGCAGGTTATGGGCTCCAGATCTTCGCAACCTTGTGCTGGGCTTGGCTTTCAGATGCTGTTGGAAACCGGTGGTCTATAATAACTCTAGCTTGTACTCCTGCGATAATTGGGTCGATAATTTTGTGGGTTTGGCCAAGCAACCAGAGTGCATTATTTGCCGGCTGGTATTTGATGTTTGCAGAAACCGGCGCAGGCGCCTTGTTCATTAGTTGGATGTCAGAGACGTTGGGTACGGCAGTAGAACAAAGGTACTTGATGATAGGCGTTGCTGAGGCCACTTCGTTTATATTCACGGCTGCAATTCCCATCTACTTGTATCCGGCTGACAAGGCACCCCGTTATCCTTATGCCTATCCTATTACTTTCATGTTTTTTACGCTTGAAGCGGTGGTTACCTTGGTGATTGCTTTGATTCAGAGACTTGAAAGGAAAGGAGTTTTACGCAACAAACACTTGTTTCTTAGCAAGACCCAGGAAATATTGATTGAAGAAGAACAAGCTAGGAAGGATAACAAGGAAGCAGTTTGATAACTAATTCATTCAATAGTATTGAGTCGACTTAATGAAGTTTTTCACAGAATACTTTAACATTTGACTGTATGCTACCCACCAAATATTGTCGAGTCCCATTGGTCCTTTTCCATTGGTTCCAACGGCAATAGCGGTTTTCTCCGAAATTTATAGTCAAAGTTCCCAAAGTTTGGGCAAGACCATCCTCCACAATCAACTAAATGAATTCCTTGATCAGCTATCTGGGTGTAAGAAGATCTAAAATGCGCCGTCGATTTGATAGCGATTATCAAGGGTTGTGTCTGGGAAATATCAATGCCTATTCCCATGAAAGCATTGATGTCATAAGCCTGAATCCGCTCCGTCGTAACTATAATCAAACCATTAGCAGCTTCCAATACACAAGTCATCCCAGCGTAGAGTGTAGCTCCATGCATCATGTCACCAATGTTTGTATACTTGTAGTCCAAAATCTTTGAAACTTTAGCCTTGACTTGAAGAACCTTGCTGCTCGCGTGTGACAACGAAGTTCCCAATTCGAAGGTACCTTCGTTACCAATACCTTTTTCAATTGCCTGTTTAACCACCGCTCTATCAACATGAAAGGCACTCACAAATGGTGTAGGTAAACTTAGTAGTTTTGATAATAAGTGTGTTTCATCTGCTGTGCCACCTGAGCCAGGAGAGTCTGAGACATCTGCCACCACCACTCTCCCCAAACTCGCTTTGGATTGTATCAAATCCCATACGGAGTCTAGTTTGGGAATTGGTGCAAATATCTCCAGCTTCAATTGCCACACCAAGTCGCTTATAGCTTTTAAAGCCTTTGTGCATGGCTCATAGGTTTCATTAGTCGCTAACAAACACATGCCAACGTCGAAACAATCACCAAATGCAAAACCTCCACCAATTGCCAAGTCTCGGACTCCAAGCTTGTTCTCCAATTCATTGCACTTTTTCATTATGATCTCGAAGGGCATACCAGCAACGGTAGCTTGGTTTGGCAACGCTGAAAGCAAAGGAATGGGAAACCTATATGTGGTGAGACTCTTGGGTTTAATTACCAAGTCTTTAGCTAGTTCAACACAAAGAGCACCTCTCTCATAGGTGTCTATGTGTGGGTATTTCTTACCAATAATCGCAACATCCGCATATGAGGTTAGGTTTTCACTGATATTGCCGTGAAAGTCAAGAGTTACTCCTATCACCGAAGAAGGTGAGATCCGCTTGAACTTTTCCACCAACGCACCCTCGGGATCAACGAGTCCCTCAACCACATTTGCTCCATGTAAGAGCATCATAACAATATCAGGTGGTCCTGTTTCTTCAACGTAAGACTTGAAAGTATTGATCATATCTAGTTCAATTTGGCGAAATGCCTCTTTGTTCATCATGCCTCCAGGCATACAAGCCGTACAAACACCACATTCCACTTCCATTGAGCAGCTTGAGGCAGCATCCAACACGCCAGTAACCCAATCTCGGTCCTTCAGAAACTTGTTTTTGACATTCTGGTAGCCGCTCAAATAATGACGATTTTTGAAATCAGTAACGTTGACACGAATTGGAACAAATGACGAAGCTTCATAGAAAATCTGGGTAACGAATGTTCTCATCTGGCACACTAAGATTAGAGAACAGATCTGTTTATCATTTACAATGAATCGATTGTCCGACTGAAAATTTCCCTTTTGGGGATGACGATAAGCCTTACAGAAAATCGTTGTCTATGAGGGTGGTAATTGGCAACTTTGCCGAGTTCGTATCCAATATGTCGTAGTAGGCACTGGCAACGCCCATCAACTCACGGAATAGATTAGCCATTTCGGTAATTTCTGGTCCGTCTGCACTAAGACTTATCTCAAGAATGTTATCGCAAATTGTACGAAATACCTGAGCACACTTTTTTGCAATCACCCATTTTTCGCTGAAGGCTTCGAGTATCTCAGCACAAATGTTAATTTCGGTCTTTGAGTCTATCAAATCAACGCTCCAGTTGCACAAACAAAATAAAATGCTCGAACAGATGGTTAGAAATCGGTATAGGGTGATCCAGTTGAGCGGAAGTAGCTTTTCGTTGAACAAAATGTGAGTGTAAAGTACCGATTGAAGACTTACCTTGCCCAAAATCTCTATTCTTTGCGGGGAGGTCTTGGGCAATAAAAAGGAAGGGCGGTGTAAGAGCATCAAGCAATGATAGTATCTCGCAGAATACCATGCATTTGAAGTGTAAAACGAAAATAACTTTTTGTCCGTTTTGAACTGGATAGGACAAGCTTCATACCAGCGATCCAATTCGTTGATGATATTTGTAACAATGAGTTCCTTGGTTTCGGGATCTTTCTGTCCTGCTTTGTATGAATATACCTTCTTTATGATCTTTCCCTCTATTCTCCTTAAATGTATCATCGATTGCATTATTTTCATTGTTCCGTATTCTTCATCTTCCAATTTACTTGGCAAAGGAATCTCTATATCATCCTCGTCAATAGCCAACGGTTTGCCAAAGCTTATCGATAAGAGCCTATCCAAATTGTAAACGCTCCAAAAAAGACGATGTCTCATTTCTCGTTCCACATGATCCATGGGGCCCCTAACTTGCCGATTGAGACCCAAAGAAAGTGCTATTCTGGAAACAGTACCAGACAAAGTCCATGAATGTAGTCCATTAGGCTCGAAAAACGAATAAATGCACAATAGTATCAACATTCGGAGCCGGTCGAAATCGTCATATGATTTGTTTCTAGATAGAAACTGAATAGATTTCGAGGAAAAGCTTTTGCTAAAGTTGTCCTCTTTCGACAAGAGTCCAACTCTAGTCAATGTAGTACATCCAATAGCCATCACCATGTATAGCTCGAATTGAGCCACTGTATTTACTTCGTCGCTGATGTACTCATTGCTCTCGATTTGACTGATGAATTGTGACTTTTTAATGAAGGGATACGATCGATGGTTGTGCTTGAAATACGCCTCCACAAATTTGAGTGCTAGAGACTTGCTTACTTGGTAAATTGACTCCCTTCCGTCGTCCAGAATGGTTGGAGAGTATCCAATAATTGAAAGAAAAAGATCCTTTTGTGGCGTATCATAACCGGATGACTCTAGTGGTTGCTCTAGAATTCTCCTGAAGAATCCAGGAGTTGGGGACTTATACATCTCAGGATTAGGGTCACTGTTCGTCATGGGGATATCCATTCCTAGATCAGTATGGAAGTCATTCTCAGTCTCAGATTGACCAAAAACGTTATTAATTTCAGAATTTAGTTCCATATTTAGCCCAAAAGTCGTGGAGTTTCGTTTCTTTCTCTTCAGGTACTCACAATTGGTTTCTGCCTTGAAACAATTATCGCAGGTTGGTATTGTTTTCGAGCACTTTTTCTTAATTCTTTTGCATCGATTGCACGAGTAAGGAGATATTGACTCCGCCAGATAGTCAGGGTCTCGTTTTTGTTCCTTGGATACTCGGAACTTGTTATAATATATGCCTATTTTACCCGCATCTGTGTTTCCCATCTTGTTCGCTAAAAGAAAAGATAAGATTTTCGCAGCCGCGAGTCCAACTACACTCTACCAAAATAGGTTATTTGGTGGTCTATTTATTATATGTACGTGGAATAACGACAATCTAGAAGCTGATACGGCACTTTCTTCTTCCAAAGTTCTTTCACGTGCGCCAGAACATCGAGAAGTCTGCGGGCCTTAATGGTAGCCGTAAGTCCTCTTGTCGTAGTTCTCTCTTCAGTCCATTCTTCCGCCTCAAAACCTTCCTTAGTTCCAGAATCGTCGATCCATGCTTGCAATTCTTTGCAGTACTCTACATCCTTAGGAAACGTGAGAATGTGCATGCCCTCCATTGGCTCTGGCAATGTACTTTCCATAGCCTCAATAGAAGGAAGTTGCATTCTGCCTGAAAAAACCCGAGCAACAACAGCTGCCTGTGACTCAGAAAACGGCATAGGAATCACATTTTTTGGGATGGTCAAAAACGCCAAAGTTGGATCTTTGGTGTAGAATATATGGCGGTACAAATTCTTGACAAACTTGCCTGTAGTGATCAAATCGTCTATGTATGTCTTCAAGTAAGGAAAATCATACAAATAACCCGTACAGAAGACAATTGAGTCAATTCCTCCATACTTTTGCCCATCCAAGCAGGTGACTTGACGGTTCTCAGGATCATAGTGTACAACTTCTGGAATGGAAATGACGGGATCCAACGATTTAGATTCACCTCTAGTAGTGTTAAGAACAGTTTTCGCTTGAGTTGTGGCTTGCATAGCAATATCAATACCGGAAGCGGAGCCTCCAACTACCAACACTGTTTTATCACGAAAACAGGTGGAGTCGTTGTAGTACTTTGCATGAGTCACTTCACCCGGATGGACCTTGGTCCAGGCGAGAATTCCTGGGGTTTGAGGGATATACGGTTTATCGAAATGACCACTTGCAAGTATCACGGCATCAAAATCAAATTTTGTACCATCTTCGGTAGTAAGAGTCCAAGTTCCAGTACCATTCTTTTCAAGCTTTTCGATACCACAGCCCAAATGAATGGTAACACCCACGATAGTCTTCGAATAATCTCTAATATACTTGGCGATTTGAGCCCTAGAAGGAAAGGTTGGATAAAATTCGGGCATGGGGAAATCTTTGTACTTCATAGTCCACTTTGTGATATTGGTTTCCAAGTGCCTATACATTGGACTGCTGGAACGAATGGGCTCCTCTTCAATTCCACTACCATTGATTTCATATTTGACTTCTGCCTTGTAGTCTTCACTATAATTCCACAATCCGCCGAGTTGTGGCTTTTTTTCAAACAAGTGAATTTCGTCAAATTTCGATGGTTCCAAGCTCAAAGCTTTTGCGGCAGCTACGCCCGCTGGACCGCCACCGATGATTCCCACTTTACGAATTGCCATTGATTTTATTGGGTGTTAATCGGCCGGCTCAGTATCTTTTGTATTTATACAGTGGAACCATTTATCTCAATGGAGCGGCGGACATCTGTATGTGGTAATTTTGTGTCGGGATTAGGCGGCGTTAGATAAGAAGCTCAACTTTAAATTGATGCAGTCGGAGTGGGGAAGGTTAGTGGTTCGACTCGAGGTATACAATTTGTCTTCAGTGAAAGAAGTTGACTGAAGTAGAGAGTGAAATCTGAACCAAAAGTCGTAGCTGGGGCTGATCAATATTTGAGGGAAAACATTCAACTGTTTCACTAATGAGTTAATAGTGAACTTTACTGATGAAAAATAGAGAGCATGTACCTTCAAGGTTACGTTTGGTTACCTTGATATAACATTACCAGTTGATTTCCGATTTGAGGACTCTCTGAGAAGTACCTGAGTTATCAAGTTCCGTTTCGCACTAATTAAACTCGGGAGTTACAGGCAATGCGTATCATACACTACGCCGCATCGCATGCGTTCCAAATTTTCAGCACCAAATATGAATGTCAATCACCCCACTAACCTGAACTCTGCTCAATTAAACTTATGCTCCGCATTTAAACTTTCCTATAAGTCAGGCGTGAGTATCTACTCTAGATTAGAACTTCAAGACAACATATCTCGTGCAGGGGAGGCTTGAGTCTCACCGGCTGCAAATGCGACTCTTGAAGAAAATCTGCCAATGTGCTGTGTAGATAGAGATCCTGGCCAAAGCAATTGGACTTGGGACTATACAATATAAGACTCTTCAGAAAAAATTTTGGTTTCATTGTTTGCATTTTTTTTAAAATTTTGCAATATTTTCGAAAATCGACTAAAATAGTGGTGGTGAAGAGTTGTAAGGCTGTATTAAATTGGCTACTAAGTTCTATGTTTGCTGATCCGTGCCAATGTAATTGAGGTCTTTTTCTCACTACGGTGTTAAAGTACAATGCTTTTCTGATCAAATAGTCGACTTATTGTATAGTCATGTTTTGGTCACTTCACCAAATCGGATCCTCCAATGACGATTATGTAGTATCTACAAAAATATATGAACGAACGGGAGGAAAGCTATATGAGAGATTTGGTTTAGTTGAAAGAATAATAGTTTACGATTGAAATTTCATAGTCGAAACCTAAAACTTTCTCAACATTAAAGAACACTATACCTACTTACTGAAAACTATTGTACCATTGATCTCTCTGCTATTGTTATTGCTTTTCTGCATTTTTCTGTTTAGCATCAATTTGCACAATTTCATTAATATCCAAGGTATCAATTTGATACTTTTTAAAGTCTCTCGCCTTGACCTTTCTGATAAACATGATTCCCAACTCTTCATATGTTCTTCCTGCTGGTTCAGGTAATCTGAAATAAGCCCACGTAAATGCTACAGCAATTATACCAACTTGGAAAAAACCAACCTTACCCTTCCAATTACCTTCGGATTGGTTCAACATATAAGGGTAGATCACACTGTTCACAATGGACCAAACATGAAACAAGTTTCTTGAAATACCAATAGTTTTCGCTCTTAATCTGGTAGATGACATTTCACTCGCAAGTGAAAAAGCAATTGGTCCTATAGTCATATCATAAAAGAAAACTGCAACAAATAACAAAGAAGCTGTTCCCCATTTAACACTCAGATTAGAAGGTGGAGCCAAAGATATAAATCCCATGATCAAGAATGAAAGTCCACAAAGCCCTAATCCAAGCAAATAGAGGGTTCTTCTTCCAAAGTTTCGTGCCAACAAAACCCATGAAATGACGGTTCCAACAAACCCAATAGCATATTGTACAATACCCAAAGTGAAGGCATTGCTATTGTCGATTCCTGCTTGTTCAAAAAAGTAAACTGCAAAGGACATCACATTACCAAGTGTAACACTTTGAATCATCAAACCAATGGCACTTATTTCAGTTCTTCGAAGATCAACTCCTCTAAAGCAATCCAAGTATGTAGCGCCAGCTTGAACTTCTTGTTCCATTTTGGTAGTATGAACCATGAATTCAATTGCATTGCTAATTTCCGAGTCAGACTTGTTTGTTACTAACCGTTTATAGGCATTTTTTGCCCGGGTGATTTCTCCCTTTCTAACGAGCCACCATGGTGAATCTGGAACAATTGCAAGCGGACCAACTAGCACCACGGGCCAAAACCACTGGACAGCAAAAGGAATCCTATATGACCAATTGAATGTTTCATTTGCAAGACCCTTTAAAACACCCTGGGAGATCAATTGGCCAATAATAAATGCAATATTGACATATGTTGTCAAGTAACCTCTTAAAGCCACTGGACAAACCTCAGAAGCATACATGGGACCAATAACACCAAACACACCGTTAGGAAAACCCATTAATAATTGACCCACCAAAAGAACTTCTTTGGAATTTGCAAAAACAAGAATAAACGTAAACCCCACTGCAAACACAAATGATATTTGCATAAGCCGTTTATGACCAATTTTATCCACCGACCAACTGCCCAAAATAATTCCAAAAATGTTACCAACACTATTCATCATTGAAAGTGCTGTTTGCCAAGAAGCAGTAAGATCATACTCTCCATTTGATAAAAGCTGACCGTACTCTTTTTTAAAACTAGCAAATCCAAAAAGTGAACTCAAAAGTGTGATATTGTAACCGTCCATAACAATAGTCAAGGAAACAATGATGGACCACATAACTGCTTTTTTGTATTCTTTGAGCGCTTGCATAAGCTTCAATGAGTGTTCTTTGTCGGTGTGTTCATAAACATCCGCCCAATGTTTTGTCAAGAGCATCTTTTGATATATCTTCAACCTTGCCTTCACCTATCTCTGTTGGACGAATACTCTCAATATCTTCGCTGTGCTCGATACTAATTTTGCCTGTAACGCTTCCCATGATAAGCTTTCGGTGCGGTTTTCTGAAAAACGAGTGGTACTTATAGATTCATGCAACAGCCATCTTGGCTCAATTACTACAAGTGCTCTTTCTCCACTGCTCTCAATTTTTTTCGCAATTTACCCCAGTTTTCGCGATTTACGACGGCTGCGAAAAAAATTTCCCCACATTAGCTCCACTTCTCAATATCTTTCGCAATTTCTTCATATCTATCCAATGGGAGTCTGTTGATGTTGCGAGAATAATTGAGAAGTGGAGTAATGTGGGGATCCTCATGTGGAGAAATATATAACGAATACGATCCACCTTAAGCCACTAAGATGCAATCCAACATTTTATCCAACGTTTGCAAAAAGAAAGATGCCAGAACTGGAAGAGTTTCCAGTTGGGACCATTCAGGAAAGAATGAAGATTCTTTTGTGATTTTGCCTGGCGAAGAAATTGAAATTGCTGATATTGAAGGTCCTGGAGCTATCACCCATCTTTGGTTTGTTCAAACCTGCTCAAGAGTGTTAGGACCTAATTGGGAAACTCGTGATGAGGATTTCTATAGAAAGGTACTCATTAAAATGTACTGGGACAACCAAAAACATCCTAGTGTTTTGGCTCCACTCGGAGACTTTTTTTGTGTTGGTAATTCTATGGTTTCCAACTTCCAGTCGTTGCCATTTACAGTCTCTGTCAAGCCAAGTCAAACCTTGAAATATGGTGGAGATGCTGCTATGAACTGTTATCTTACAATGCCATTCAACAAGAGAGCAAAGATTGTTATTGAAAATCAAAGTGAAAACGAGTACATTCAATATTTTTACATTGACTATGAACTTTACCGAAACCCAATGGAAGATATTCTTTACTTTCACTCGCATTGGCGCAGAACAGAAGTCACAGATGGATGGGGTCCCAACATTCAAGTGAACACTGATGATGTCAATATCACCAATCTAGATGGAAAAGACAACTACGTTGTTCTTGAAACTAAAGGTCAAGGCCAGTATATTGGTATGAACCATTCGGTAATTCACTTTCAGGATGTCTGGTGGGGAGAAGGTGATGATATGATCTGGGTAGATGATGACCCAGCATGGCCACCTAGTATTCATGGTACTGGTGGTGAGGATTACCTTGGTCAAGGCTGGATGATGCAGAAGAATTCTTATCCATTTTGTGGAAGCATTATTCATGAAGATGATGTGCCTCAAAACCAAGTCAGTTATAGATGGCATTTGGTTGATCCGGTAAGATTTGAAAAGAGAATCAAGGTGACTCTCGAACACGGACATGCTAACCATTTGAGTGATGATTGGGCTAGTACAGCATATTGGTACCAAACTTTACCGGGACCAAAATTGAAAATTCCAGATGTTGAGAAAAGATTGGTGAGACGTCCAATTCTTCCAAGCCCTGAATTAAAGGCACCGGACTTGAACACTCTTCGTCCTGATGCTCGTGAGATGCATCTCAAGCAACAAGAAAAGATGAAAGCTTTCCTTGAAAAGAGAAAGAGTGAAGCAGAAAGACGTGCCAAGGACTCAAAGGAAAGGGCTTTGAAGAATAAGGAAATCGCTGCAGAAGTAAGATCCAGATTCATGAATAACTCAAAAGGCAATTGATTATGTTGACCCTAGCAGTCCTCAATCAAACATCAAAATCACCTGTAGCTCCATAGAAGACACTATAAGACAGCATCGGCGACCACCTGTCAACTCTTGAGTTTCCAGCTTCTTCCTCTTGTATGTATTCGTTTTCATCAAGCATTTGCACCTTCATCGGATCACCAAATTTAAGAGAATTAGTCCACAGCCACTGAGATATTTGGTGCAATTTTTGCTGTAAAGCACTGGGGATATAATTGCTATTCAGGTTTAGGCGTGAGATTATCTCCAACACCGACGTTAAAGCATTATACCCAATGCTAAAATTATTTTCGTTTATAGCATCACTTAAACTTTCGGCCACAGTTAACAATTTTGTCGTCACACATGGTCCATTGGTTTCAAAAGCGTAGAAAGGTACGGTTTGAGTGGTCTCCAAAAGATCCCTTGCAATCTGTATAGGGTAATTTGTGCTGAAGCAGTCATTCGGTAAGCGGTTTGGAAATTTCTTCTCATTGCAAAAATTCCAAACAAGCAGCTGCATCCAGCTCTTGCTCAACAAGATATTCACCTTTTGAATTTCTGAAGAATTCTCTCCGATTCTTATTTTATAGAGCTCGTCTTGAATTCCAGGAATCATTTTCACTGAAATGTTACAGTTGAACCTCTTCATGAAAAAAGATTTGTCAGGTAAGGCAAATACCTTGACAATCTGAGACAAATCACCAACTGAGCTCTGTTCATAGGGAAGACTCGCATCCAAAAGAACTGAAAAATCGGCTTCAAGACTTGTAAATCTTTCAGCAACCACAAGAATGTAGTAAATGTTTCTGAGCCGATGCTTTTCCTCTCGTGGCTTATTTGAGTATTTTGTGTTATCGTGTAAGCCAAGCAACTCAGCAATGGCAATGGCTTCTTTCAAATACAAAATTGCCGACGTATTCAGTTTTGCACTGGAATAGTATACGTGAAGGAAAAACGATACCAATACAGATTCTATGGTTGGGTTCGATCTGTAGTCGCAAAAATTGCGTGCTCTCAAACACTCAGATATAAAATCCGCCGAAGATACATTATTAGGAACCTCTAAAATCTTTTGCAGAGGCGAAAGGCAGTCAATATGCTGTTTTAAAGCACCAGCGAGTGCACAGCACAACGCATAAGATTGAATGTTTTCATGACTAACGTCCAACTCACACACGTCTTTCTTTGAAACACTAGACGTGAGTTGGGTAACCGATACAATCGGCCAAATCTCATAAAACCAAGTTTGGTACACTTGAAAAAATGGAATTAATTCAGCGAGCACCACCTGAGGTTGAAAATTGTAAATGGTCACTTCTTCCAGATTCTCCGAGAGATTATATCTTCGATAAATGTTCTCCATAGTTTTTGGTCTTACATTCTTTGGTCCTTTTTTTTCTTCTTCCTCTATCGTTCGTACAAGGTAAGTTATGCCTTATACAATTTGGACAGGGTATAACATTACCGCATTTGACTCTTCTTATGGAGCAGTTATCACAAGGTCGTCCATATTTTGGTCTTGTTTTTATATTCTTTTGGTTTACCATATTATTGTGAGTTGCAATTTTCCCCGTAATTTCGTAAATGCACCCCAGATCTGTCCGATGCAGGAAAACGCTAAATTTGGGCTGCTTCATTGATTGCAAAAAAGGTCTGGGTGGCTATTTCGTTTGAAGGTACTTGATGCTATTTGCGCCCCTTCCAAAACTCGAGGTGAATCTATTGGCATTATAAAATTCCAAATTTTCATATGGCGATTTTGAAGTCCGAGCTTTATTTAGTATGTGGATTTCATAATTGACTTCTAGCTTTTCTATGAGATTCATATTTAGTTATAAAATGTACCGGGTTTTACTTGAAGACATGTTGTATACTTCTAGATCTTACCAAAGGCTGCAAAATTGTGTCGCTGCTCGGGCGAAATTTTCTGTAGTGATAAGAATTTGAATCCTTTTGGGAGCATATACGATATAATCATTTGAGCCTAACATTGAAACTAAGCTTAAGATTACGTTGTATTAATTGTTGATCCAGAACGTCAATAATTAACAAAGTGCCAATTGTTCAGCTAAGGAGCCATCCCCGACTCGCTACGCCAAGATTCGAGGTTTGCCAGTTTCGCATTCGAGTTGAATTTCTCAAAGAAAGAAATGGCAGTTCCTGAAATCTGTTTAGATATGTTTCTGATACATGAGAGCTCATATTGTCTTCTGAAATTGGATTTCTTAAAAAAAGCCATGGCAGTTCCTGGTTCATTGAATTAAGAGTTCTAGATATATCTCTCGGGGGTCTGATATACGAGAACTTATATTGATTTCTGAAAAGGTCCCAAGGTGAAGAGCTGGGGAGTCCCATTTCATGGCTCTCAGTATGGTCTCTTTGAAAATTTACTGGTAACTTTGAAATATCAATCACTTCATAGTCCTCTCCTAGACGTAATTGTATGAGTTTCTCAGCTCTGAGTATATCAAATGAATACCCTGCATTTGTGAGATCAAGGACTCTTAGCTCCAGACCGTTTGGTACCACAAATTCCCTTTTTAAATTGTTTCCATTGAGGTATAATGTCTCAATATGGGTCTCAACTTTGAAAGAGTTCAAGTCATTATCTCTCAAATCTAGAAAAGTAACTGTTTGCGGAATAGTCAACTTCTTGATGTTACTTAAAAAAGTACCCTGCATTTTTAGTACTTTCAAGCCTGGAGGGAGCTCAATCATTCCGTTGTCAATTGAATATGAAAAAGAATCGTCGATTCTTGTTATACGAGACCTGGTTATATCCAATTCTTTCAACTTTGACCCTTTGGCAAATTTGACTCCACTCATAGTTAACAGTTCTATTTCAGAGAGGTATAGCTCTTGTACTGATGATGGAAATGTGTAGTTCTGAAGAGCTAGGTATTCAGCTCTCGAGAGGTCTAAAAGCTTTATACTAGAAGGCAATTCAGACATCTGGGAGATAGCTAGCTTATTTTCTCTAAGAATAAGTACTTGAAGACAAGCTGGAAGTCTGGGAATTGAGGTTAACTGATTTTTGGTCAAGTCGAGAAGCTCAAGAACGGGAGCTTCGATCTGAACTTCCGTTAATTCATTGTAGCTCAAGCTCAAGTATTCACAGCAAGGAAGAACGGCACGGAAAGATGAAAGGCTATTAGCTTGAAGTGAAAGTCGCTTCAATCGCGCTGGTAGGGATGGTTTTAGGCAGCCGGAAGCCAGATTGATATGACAAGCCTCTATGTTGAGATCGACTATTCCAGGCGGAAAATTAAAGTTGGACAAGTCTTCAAACTTACCATTCGTAATCGAAAGTTTGAGCAAGTTCAGTGGAAATTTCAAGCTGCTAATTTTACCTGAAGGCAGCTCCAATATAAGTTCCAGTAAGTTGGGCGGTAACTGACAGTCGTTGATGTCTCCCCAAGGCTGTCTCAATGTAAGAGAGCTAACATGAATAAAATTGGCCATATTGTTGAGGTCGGTACCATCAAAGGAGACTAAATAGGGTAGCAGTGTGGACGGATGTGAATCATCCAATCCAAGATTTGTCACTTTGGGGCCAATCATGGAGTGAACTTCAGTCGTATCTGATGGATGTAACCCGGTACACGAAAAAGTTTTCAAATTTCTGTTCCAGAGTACTTGGAGTAGCAAGGTGCAATTGTGAGGGGCCCTCGCGTCTTCTATAATCAACTCCCTAAGAGTTTCTAGTTTTGGATGGTGTTCGTTCATTATTATGGTGCAGTCTTTCGCTACCAACTTTTTCAAATTAACTGGTAATGTGCTGAAAATCCCATGACTGAGGTATAAATTCTTCAAGCTGGGATGGGCGTAGTCGACAATTATCTCGCATTCTTTGCCATAGAATGTTTCTAATTTCGGGAAACTATTCAAATCAAGACATGAAGCAAAATGCACATCCAATGAGAGGGAAGTGATCTTGAGATTAATATCATGGTCTGAGAATAGAGGGTAATCTCGAAACGTCAGGTCTTTGAGGTCGACATGAATTCCCAATTTTTGGTTGTTGTAAACAAAGTTGATTTCATCGAGGGTTTGGTGCATCTGATGAATGTTTTCCCAAGTACAATGAAACCAAAGAGGGCATTGAGGTGATTTCTTTTCAATTATTTCGCGTATACGTAGAAACTGGTCGAAGTCCGTTTCATAATGGGCTTCAATACCTTCAATTCTTTGTTTATTAGCCCCTCGAATTTGCTTTGAATACCATAAATTATTGCAATTCTCAGCTACAGCTTGGAATATGTTTTCTGGAATGTTCTCCAACTGTAATATGCTGATGAGAAGTTTTGTGCTCAAGTAAGAAAAGCAACGTGTGACTATCTCGCAAGGTAAAGTATCTAGGTTCATTAATAAAGATAGGAGATGCTCGCTGCAAGGGTCCAGCTAGGTGTGCAGGATTACACTTGGCTGCAAATTCTCACTTTTATCAATAGTGTTAAGGCATTATTCGGGAGGAAAAAAGAGTAATTCATACTTGAAAACTTGTGTGATATGGTTTGGCTCTATCTCCCAAAAATTTGTAAATCATTTTTTCCCACCTCTTTATCCTGACATTCACTTTGCATTCGTGATCCTGATTTGATGGGAACTAGATACGGGAATATGTTGTACGCAATTAAAAATTTAGGGAGGGTAACACAGCACACGACAAACAATCTAATGATAGTGAAACAAATATAAGTACGTTCATCATTCATGTTAAAATCTAACCGGTAGACTCTTAATCGATTTCTTTCGAACTTTTGTATCGAGAGTTCTTTCAGCAGAAAACCCCACTTGATCACACCTTGGTACAAAATATCCAGTGCACTACGAGAAGTGGGGTCATTCAAGTGGGCGGTCTTTCCATTTCAATCCATTGCCGTTTGCCTCGAGAGCCAAGAGCCGCCAAGCGGCCGCAAATACTGCACACAAATACTTGAAAGGTCAAGAAATAAACCCATGGGCGAGTGTCTTGGAAAAGATGGTGCCAAAAATAACGTTTAAAGCGGGGTCATTCGGACTTCATTTCGTTTTGGGACAGTACCAAGCTTCAGGAACGCTAATCTGGCCATTTCTTGTCTGCATTGTTCCTGCAATGCATTCCAAAAATAGCTTGGTATGTTATGTGCCCTGCTTGACTTTGTCGTAGAAAAGCCAAAGTGTCAGAGTTCTCGAAGGCATGAAACAAGTCATGTCACGAGGTTTTAGATTCGTTGATACCATAATGGTAACGCCGAAAATATGGCCAAAGTAGAACAACAGAATTGAGGCTTTGGTAGGATTCATGGCCGACCGACTGAAAGACTGTACATTACAAGTCAGCCGATGGTTGCATATCGCTTGGAAGCATTATGCAGTGTAACCAAGGTTAGATTCAGAATAGGAACAACATCCGTATATTCCATGCGCGTTCATGCGGCAACTGCATTGTCATGTCGAAAACGCACAAATTTGCAACCACTTTTATGCATTATGCATGCACAATGCAATAGTAGCCAAGAGCCAAACTAAACTGCCGTTCAGAGACCAATGAATCAGTCCCGTGGATGAGCTGAGCATAAATGATATATAGTCAGGACTCACAGAGAAGTCAAAATAAGATACTCATAAGTGTACGCACTCAAAAAGACTCGTTTATCAACTTAGTCAATCATGTCTTTTCAGAGAGTCACAACCAGTCTCTATGGTAGCAATTCTTCATTCGGTGAAAATTTATCATCAACAAATTTCTGTCACCTTGACGCAAATTCAGTCGATATCAGGCTGGACAGCATCAAAGATATCCGTATGGACTCCATTATCGATGCTTATGTTGCAGCTACTCACAAGGATTCCAAGAGTCCTGCAATTAATCTTATCGTTTTGCAACAATGTGTTGCTAGTATTAATGAGCTGATTGGATTTCGTCGTCAATTATTCCTCGGAAAGGAAAGCGACAAACTTGAGGCTGGAATTGAGACTGAAAACCCAAGAACTAAACTTGCATTTGAAACTGAAAATGTTAAGGATCTTGTCTTTACGGGAGTCGACAGTTACTCTCCTAATTGTGCTCTTTGCAGACTCAGGTGGAAATGTTTTAACCGCCGAAATTACAACTCTGATCACTACCGTCTTGTAGAGATCTCGTTGTACCATTTGGCTGTGGCAGCTGCTCACGAAAGTATTTCTTTGGCTCGCAAAGTGCATAATTCTGGCCCAGTTCGGTCTAAAAAAAAGCGCCAAAAGAGAAGAAACGGCGTGGTTGGATATAAAGAATTGGCTGCAAAATCTGGGCTTTCGCCATGGCATTTCCATAGGGTGTTCAAGTCAGTTACCGGCATAACGCCTAGGACTTATGGTGATAAATGCTTGCAATATTTTGAGAGTATGTTCAAAAAGGAGGCAGAAATTTCTTCAGAACTGCAAAAAGCGACGTTAAGTGAGGATTCTTGGGATACGAAAACTTCTTTGCGTGGAATTTCTGCACCACTGGAAAAGAGAGAACCAACTTTCAACACAAAGGTGTTCCAATCTGTGCCCAAGCAAGCTTCGAGCTTTAATTCAGAGACATTTCCAATAACGGCTTCCATTGAAGAGCTAAAATGTGACACAGAAAGTGATTCACCTACCTCAAATAATACGTGTGAATCGTTTTTTGTCGCAAATCAGCCACACACAGTATCAAGTCAATCTATATCTGGCTGCGAGTATGGTTCCAATTATACAACTTCGTCACTGTCTTCGATCCTGGAGAGTTGCAATCCAAATGATGTCACATACTGCTCTGACTCCGAGAGCAAAATTTTGTCAGCCGTAGAGCATTTGCTGTATCCCTTCTTTGAAAAATCTGCTGACTTGTCAATAAATCCTACCATCACGGTAATTGTTCCTGAGCTTCATAGCCAGAATTTCGGACTCACCAAGGCAAGAATTGATAATTTTGCCAATTTTGAGCTTAAATTGATTGACTCCGATTTCCTACCAGAAGCCATGGCGGCATATTAAAGTGGTAACGCTGATATTCTCGTGGATCTAATGCAAGGCTCTGAAAAATTGTGTACCAGAATACCTGTGAAGTCCTTCGATTTCACGACGCCGATTATATTCTAGAATTTGAAAATTTGCTGGCATATTCGAAACGTCAATTACTTCAAACTCATTTCCTAGACGTAGTTGCGTGAGCTTCTCAGCTCGAATTTAATCAAATGAGAACTCTGTAAGTCCAATCCCCATGAGATCAAGAACTCTTAATTCCAGATTCTTAGCTACCGTGAAATTTAAGTGTATTGGATTTTCATTGAGGTTTAGTATCTCAATATGGGCCTCAACTTTTAATGACTCCAAATTGTTATATCCCAAGTCTAGAAATTTAACTGTTTGCGGTATGGTGAGATCATCTATACTTTGCAAGTTATTGCCAAACAAGTCTAGCATTTCCAAACCTGGGGGTAGCTCGATCATATTGTCGTCGATTATGTTTAAGCTAGAACTGCTCAAGTTTAAGTATTTCAATTTTGATCCTCTGGCAAATTTGACTCCACTCATACCTGACAAGTTTACTTCCGTGAGGTGGAGTTCACGTAATGATGATGGGAATGTGTAATTTTGAAGAGTTCCAGTTCCAGCTCCCAAGAGGTCTAAACGCCTGACATTAGAAGGCAATTGTGGTGTCTGAGAAAGATCTAGCTCATTGTTACTGAGAATAAGGACTTTAAGGCAACCTGGAAGTGAGGGAAAAGAAGTCAACTTATTTTCGCTTATGTCAATATGCTCAAGAGCTGGAGCTTCAATCTCCACATCCGTTAAAGAATTGTCTTTCAAGTACAAAAATTCACAGCAAGGAAGATCGACTTTAAATGATGAAAGCTTATTTCCTGAAAGTGAAAGTCTCTTCAATCCGGCTGGTTTTAGCCAGCCTGCTGCCAGAGTAATGTCACAAAACTCTAGCGCGAGGTCAACTATTTTAGGGGGAAAATCGACTTTGGCCAAATCTTTAAACTTGCCAAATGTAATGGAAAGTTTTAGCAAGTTGGGCGGAAATCTTAAATGGGCGATAGAACCTTGTGGCAGATCCAATGTAAGGGAAGTCATATGAGTGAAAGCTGTCATGTTAGACTTTTTACCCCCATGATTGTATAAAGAGCGTAACAGCGTGGGAATTCTGGACGAGAATCTACCAAAAAATTCAAAATGTTTCACTTTAGGGCCAATCATGGAGAAAATTTCATCCTTATTTGTCGCATTTTCAGTGCAATACGAAAAATGTTCCAAATCTTTGTTCCAAAGTATCTGGAGTAGCATGGAGTAATAGGCGGACTCTTGTGTGCCTTCTAGAACCAACACCCTGAGAGCGGGTAGTTTTGGATGGTCTTCATTCATTTCTATGGTGCACGAAGAAGATGCTACCAACGTCTTCAAGTTGATCGGTAATTTCCTGAAAGTCACCAGGTCGAGATATAAGTCCTTCAAGCTGGGGTGCTCGTGGTCAACGATCATCTCCCAATTCACGCCGTAGAAAGTCTCCAATTTCGGGAAATTATTCAAATCAATACAAATACCAAAATCGAAATGCGGTGCGAGGGAGAGGCAAGTGACCTTCAAATGAATATCATGGTATGATAAGATAGGATAGCTTTGAATATCCCACTCCTTAAGTTCGGCATGTATGGCTAATTTCTGGCCGTTGTAAACCAGATTTATTTCACCAAGACTGTGGTGCATTTCAGGAATGTCTCTCCAATAAGAATAGAACCAAAGAGGACATTTGTGTGATCTCTCTTCAAGAATCTTGTGTACGCGTGAAAACCGATCGAAATCGGTTTCATAGTGGTCGTGAATTTTTTCAATTCTTTCAGTGCCTCGAATTCCCGTGGAATACTAAAAGCCATCGAGATTGTTAGCTGCAGCTTCAAGGATATTATCAGAAACGTTCTCCAATAGTATTATGTCAGTGAGAAGCTCTGTGCTCAAGTGGGAGAGGCAACGCGTGACAATCTCATTTGGTAAGGTATCTAGGTTCATTTTGATAGTTTTGAAGCTCACCAGAAGTTCAAAGGCTGCGGAATAGTGATGTGTGCAGGATGACATGCGGCTGCAAAGAATTCATGCCTCTTTTGCAAAATTGTGTAAAGATCAATTGCTACATTTGTACCATTATATCCTTTTAGTACTACCTCACCAGAGCGAGTCCACAGAGAATCTCTAAATTCACTAAAATTTCATATATTCAATTCTTTAAGTCCAGCTTAATTAATAAAGGCAGTTTGAGTCTCCTTGACCACCTCGAAATCAACCACAATAAACCCTGGACCTCTCTCCTCAAGATCAGGGGACTCGGCACTGACTAAAGCAGCGAAAAAAATGGTGGATAACGAAACTTCAAAAAAACGCATAGTGATGTTGAAAAAAGGGAAAAGTGGGAATCATGTCAATTTAAGGACCCTGCATGGTTGCGAGCCCACAAGACGCATTGCCGCCGCACCAAAGGACCTGTGAGCCGCACACCCCTCTTATCAGAAAGGAATAAGAGGTGGAGGGATCTACACTCTAACTTGGACCAGAGCTAAATTACGACTCAACACCCACTCAACTGGCTACAAAGTAAGATAGAAAGGACTGGCGAGAATTATGATCTTGAAACATATTGATGAAACTGTTGAAAATCATAGTTGACAATTTTTAGTTGGCAACTAGATATTCAATTCAGAGATTGAGCGCTTGATTGGGAGTATCATTATCGTTCAGTTAATGCTTTGGCAAACTTATAAAGACGATTTGATGAAGATAGAACAATGGAAGTTGTTTGAATTTCATCAATAAAAGGACTAGTGGCTCCAAAAAAAAGTCTGAAATGGCTCAGAAGTTGAGCATTTGCATCGAAGACTATAAACCAAAAAAGTCTAATTCTGAATTTATCGGCTGCAATGGTGATTGATCACCAGAATTGGGTCTCCATGGCATTTTTGGTTACCTTAAATTACTGATACGACTAAATATTTATGGCTTCTGCACCTGAAATGAAGCTGCTGGAATACAAACTCAATGCTCAAGAAATAAAGGTTCGAACCAAAGCTGCAAAATACTCATGCGGAGTTATGACTGGCACCTTTCGTTTTTGAAACCGACAGCCAAACAAAAATCCTTCCAGATTCAGACCGGCGAGATTACAAGATTACAAACTGCTCGAGAATAGGGTTCCACCTCGGCACAATCGTTTCACAAATTACTATTCAGATTATACGGTCCAAACAGATACTGAAAGTAAAACAAAATTGATGTTACTTCGAGCCCAAAATCAACCATTAGGTTGAAGCTGTTGAGACACCCTAAATTTGATGCTGTTCCTTCTGCCTGCTATGAACCCAACTTGAAACGAATGAATCTTTTTTCTGATCTAACATTGATAGCTAATGTTCTGCTTTTAGGCTCATTGATTTTCAGTGGAACCAGCAAAGGAGACAAGGTAACGCCTTGAATTTTTAAGACTTATATTGAAGAAGATACTCCAGTTTCACAATTAAATTATCAGTTGAAGAATGTATGGCTCTCTAGATAGCTACGACATTCTTGGCATCGGTGTTCTTGACATGAGCAAGCGAGATGGTGTTGGCATCATAGTCAAACACAGTATAAGCGTTTCTCATAAACATGTCTCCAAGAATGTTAATTTCGGCTCTTCCAATATAAAAGCCACATCCATAGTTGGTTGTGTCATCGGAAATGTTTGTCAGCCAAGCAGCAGCGAGCGACTGTTGAAACGAAATTCCATTAAAGTTGAATGTCAACATCAAATTAGGGTTGGCACTGCAGTCGCAAAGATAAGTTTCAATGTCTTCATTATAATGAGCACCTGGATAATTTGAGAAAATGGCATCTCCAAGTTGCTGGTTGAATGCTGCAAAGGTGGTACCCGAATCAATAAGTGTTTCACTGTTGGTGGTGATTGTCTTGCTATTGATGTTGACACTATTCAACTTTACAGAAAGACGACTATTGGAGACAATGGGCAATGTCACCAATTTACCATCAATCTTGGCAAGATCTTTACCTCCAAAAATTATCGATCCGGTGGCAGCATTTTCTTGGTTCAAGTAGAGAGAATAGGCTCTCTTATTAATCAATTTTTGGCTCTTCAACAGCTCGATAAAGTTGGGATATTCGTTGTAAGAAGCCTCGTTGGACGTGAAACCAATACCAAAAACTCCAAATCCAGCGGTATTGGTTGTAGCAGAAGCAAATTGAGCATTGGTCACCTTGGCACACGATTTGCAAGTACCCAAGGCAATAGTGTCTTGGTAATAAGATCCCTTGGCTGTTGAGTGATCGCCATAAACGATTGAAAATGGCAGGTTAAGTTTCCTGGAAGTGGTCGACTGAGATGGATTGTAGTCCCCATACTGGCATGAGTTATCGGCACATCCAGATCTGGAATCAACCACCCACAAATCAGATGAACCAGTGTCGATATCAACGCCAATCTTTTGTTGGTTCGATCCAATATAGATATAAGTGATGTAATAGCCATGTTGGTTATACAACGTTCTGGTGGTAGGACCAGATCTCCTTCTGAGACCCACTAACTCGGGATCAGTAATGTTGGTGACAACGTCAAATTCAAGCTCAAGAAAGCCTTCGGATCTCTTATCCAAAGTGTCGGGAACCGCAGCTGCAGATGTGCATGCAGCGAACAAAGTTGCAGCTGCAGAGATAAGAAGGGGAGAAAAGTGCATTATTGGTTCCACAATGACAATTGCTTCGATATTTATAGCCCGGGCCCTTTCATGGTTACGGGAATCCAATCATGACGCGCTTTGAAACTTCCTCTCTCGAGAGCACACGGTTGTGAGCGTCCCGCACGGCTCGATGCACGATTTGACGTGCATGTCTTGGCACGCGTATGCACCCCAGCATCAACATCCCAAGTGAATAAGTCAATCAACTTGCTCACCCATGCAACTGAGCTTGCTTACTGAAGATGATGGTACCAGGCGCCAACTGTCTTGATACAGAAGAATGCTCACCCAAAAACTACATGTCGTGTGATGGAGCGGACGCGACGCAGCTGCACGTCAAACTCCTGTCATATGCGGGAATGCAGAGTGATAGCTTGTCACATGTATCTTGACTTATCTGACAAATTCCATCAAGGCCGCCAATTTGGGTGCAAATCGATATCGGCAACGCTCCCCTTTACAAACCGAGATCGTCGCTCACGTATGTATAAGTCTTTCGCGTTGTTGGCTCGACCAGAAAATAATTTAATTGGGATGCTAGTATAGCCGATTGACAATTCCGCGTCCCCGCATCCAATCATACCTAACGCACGGAATTATAGCAGAAATGTAAGTACGAAACAAGTGCTTCTCATGGGCATGTATTGCCGAAACTATACTTTTTGCAATTCGACGTTACCAACAACACCTTGTTTCCTGATTTGGAATAGGCTAAAAAATAGTTGGCCGTTGACAGTTGACCACAAAACGGGCAACATCTGCATTTGCACCATTTACAACGGCACCATTTTCGGATTGTTAAACCCGATTTGACGTGCCGAGGATGTTATATTAATAGGTTGGTTGCAGCTGAAGGTGCAGCAGACGCAACATTTTCCGCTGCTTGTCAATTCCTTGCAACGCGCCCACAATTCTAAAATTAGCGTCTGTGCTGCTTCGTAATTGGCTAGCCCTCTTGAGCACGGCATCAAATCCTTATCTTTTGTGGGGTGACAAAAAGTGCCGTTCGATTGCTGCAAAACGCATGCGTGCGGCTCATGACAATTTCACCGATGATAAGCCCTGATTGTTCGCGGAACTATAAGCGCTCCGCGTTGCGCATTGGTCACGAACGATTGACGGAATGTTTATCAAACTCTTTTCAGATATGCACATTTGACAAACATACACTTGACAGAACTGCACATTTGACTGCACAGTTGACTGCACGTTTGACATTTGGCTGCGAAAACATACATTAACTAAATGGGAACAATATTGGACTCTTGGGCGTATTTTGGAAGTCCGAGGGAAATCTCGCCATCTTCCAAGTCGTACACAACGTAAGCTCTTCTCAAAAATGTGTCACCAAGAATGTTACCAGTACTGATTAGATATCCACAACCAACGAATTGGTCGTTTTCATCGGTGATGTTAGTACTATAAGTGTCGTTAAGAGGAACTGGAATAGTAATACCTTCAAAATTGAATTCAAAGGTCAAGTCTGGGACTGGAGTAGCACAGTCAACCAAGTACAAAGGAGTCCCACTAACATTTTTCCAATAAGCACCGGGAAGTGAACCGATCAATTGAGTGAAAGCAGCGTCTGGAAGATAGAAAATTGTGGTTCCTGAATCCAAAAGCACATCAGTATTGATTTCTGCGGTTTGGTTGCCGAGAGAAAGGGTGTTCAAATTCACAGTAAGAGCGTTGTCAGTGGTGATTGGAAGTGTCACCAACTCTCCATTTACTTTGGCCAAGTCTTTTCCTCCAAAAAGCACCGAACCACTTGCAGCATCAGGGGAGTCAAGGAAAAGAGAATAGGCCACTTTGGAAATGATTCCTTGGTTTTTCAACACATAGGGCAAGTTTGGATACGTTGGACCACCAGTAATCACTGTAGCTTCTGCTCCCAAAGTATCAAAACCAATTCCAAGAATTCCCATTCCAGCATCGTTCCGGGTAGCGTCAGCAAACTGGAGGTTTTTAGCTACGGCAGATGAGTCTGAAGAAGCAAATCCAATGTCGTCGGTGTAATACAATCCTTGGGCATACGAGTTGTCTCCATATTCAATGAAGAACACCTCATTGAGGTTTTTGCTGGTGGTAGATTCCAGCGGATTATAAGTTCCGTATTGACAGGCATTGTCAAAACAACCGGCGGAAGAATCCACAAACCACAAATCAGATGATCCAGTGTCAAGATCCACCCCAATTTTCTGCTTGTTGGAACCAGCATAGACATAGGTAATGTAGTAAGCATCTTTGTTGTAAAGGGTTTCCGTAAAGGTGCCGTTTCCATTGGCAATTTTGTGCACTCTCGACTTCTTCACATCAGCGTTCCGAACCACATCGAAGTCAAGCTTGAGAAAGTTGGACGATCTCTTGTCAAGAGACGAATTTTCAGGGACAACTAAGGCAAAAACTGCAGCAGCCAAAGCTGTGAAAGTTACGAGGGTAAAGGAAACCATTGCTCATCGATGAGAAAATCTGGCCTTATATACTAAAGGCTGGAACACATGCCGGTGCCTTACGTGAAACGGTCCGTGGCTAATGCCCGGTTATAGGCTTTGAAAGGTTTGCCGTTGATTGCCGTTAGGTTGCCGACGGCACGCGCATAGTGCAACAAATTCGCAGCCACCTGTGCGGCTCAGTGATGCAAAGCGCATCCGATAGCTGTGGACAAAGAATGGCTGCGAAATGCCAATGAGTCAAAAGCGCAAAAGGTCTTGAACAGCCGCTGGGTGGCATGAACGAGCTGTGGCAAAGAAGACTAATGGTCACGAAAATGAAAATTACACCCTATTTTTGGCAATATAATACCTAGAAAATATGCCAAACGGGCACCAGGGGTAGAATTTCAAGCGCCCGACGGCCACCCTGCACAATTAAAGTTTTCGCTACTTTCAAATTTGAGAAAGAGAAGCTTCTTTGTTCTCTGCTCAGTATAAGAAGCTAGGAGTATTAAAGTTGTAATTGAAATCCTTGTGTCTATTTTTCCAGTCACACGCTATTTCTCTAACATTCAGTTGGATGAGTGAAAGTCGGAACTACGGAAGTCGTTTGGTTTGGGATGCTTCCAGAGCATTAAGAGCTATTAGCATTCCTTCTTCTACTGTGATGCAATCACCACAAACAAGAGGACCATATTGTCGAATTAATGAGCCATGTGAAGGGTTGGAGGCTCAATATTGTAATGTTACATAGATTATTACTGTGGTTTACCATAATAACGGCTCACATCTTTATTCCCTATCCCACGTTTCCAATAAACGGCCCACTGTAATTTTCGCAGCCACAATGACGAATGAAAATGTGGTTCCATTTTCGCGAACATGAATTTGATTCATTTCATTTTTATGAATGCAAGAAATTAGTGGATGAGGCCATGACTTAGTTGTTGCTTGAGTCCTAGTCTTAACCTATTGGTCTCGATGTAGTATCAAATGGTTTAAAGTACTGAAGATTTGTTTTGCAAGCAATATTACTTAGGTATTTTCAGTGCTTCACTAGCCAACCATCAAAGCTAGAAGTTACAATTGAGCTATTGATGGTGACAAAAGGCTAGTATCGGCCTAGCAAATGCCCGCTTAAAAACAATAGAATTTGGTCACGAAACTCTTAGGTCCAACGAGTTTGCAATTTCGAAGTAGGCTCCAGGAATGGCAATATGTCATTGACTCACGAAATCACCGTACCTCTTCAATATCAGACAATTGACCACCATATTCAACTACAAGTTGGAGTGCATAAGCTTTCAAGAGTATTTTTGCCAAATTGTTCTTTAGGTCAAGAAAGTTAATTAGAAATTTTGGCTTTCAACCAAGACTCCAATTGGTGATCATGGAAAGCTGACTTTGCCGTACCATATTTCTCGGCACTCCTCTTTTGATTCACTCTTTCATGAATCATTTACATAAGTCTATTGCATTTGAAGGACGAATCTGTGATTGAGACTTGGAAGTGACCGTAAATGCAAATTTAAGCACTCACACAGTCCGATTGAGCTTATCCACCACCCAGCTTCATCAAGAAAAGCTGTTAGCTCTTTTAGAAAATCAAGGCGAGTTCCTGCTGTAAATAGAGTACACTGCCACTTACAAGCGATCAACTTGGGTATCGAAGATCATGAGAAAGTCTATATCACCTGTCCAGCTCACTATGAATGTTCGCTGATGTACAACCACTAAATTTTGGCTGTTTCATGTTGCCCGATGATGTATTTTCAGAAACGCATCACTACTAAAGTAGCCACTAGGCTGCGAAACGAAGCCCCATGAGCCGCACGTCACAGCTGCATATTCGCTTGTTCGTTACATCTACTGAGGTGGAAATATCAATTGCTACTTTTTTCTAAGTCAGATTGGAACAACATTGGTGTCTGTGGTGTACTTGGGATGTCCAAGGGAAATTGTGTCTGCGTCCAAATCGTACACAATATAGGCGCTTCTCATGAAAAAATCACCAAGAATGATTTCTGGATCTTTAATGTCCAGCTCACCAACATGATATCCACATCCCAAGTCATTTCCATCGTCATCGGTTATATCCTTGTAATGGAATGTGGAGAGAGGAACCTCAAAGTCAATTCCGTCGAACGAGAATTTCAAGTTGACATCCGGCAATGGTTCACCACAAGTTGTCTGATATAATTTGGAGGTTTCACTGTAATTGCCATAAGGAGAAAAGAGCTTCTTGGAAATCTCGAGAGGAAGGAATATGGTGGTGGTTCCCGAGTCCAAAAGAGCATCGTAATTGAACTCAGCTGTGACATCTCCAACGGAAAGGGTGTTCAATTTCACCGAAAGTTCGGTCTTTCTCGTGACAGGAAGCGTAACCAAATCTCCATCAATTTTGGCCAAATCCTTGCCGCCGAAAAGAACCAGTCCAGTACGTGCTTTGGCGGTATCCAAGTAGAACGAATAGGCGTTCTTGCTGATATAACCTTGGTCCTTCAACACTTGAGGAAAGTTGGGGTACTCGACCTTGGAAGCTTCGTTGGTGGTTTTGCCAATACCCAAGATTCCAACATCAGCGGTGTTTGTGGTAGTATCAGCAAACTGCAAGCCTCTTAACACATAGGGCGAGTCAGCCGATCCAAGGGTAATATCGTCGGTATAATAAGTTCCCTTGGCACCGGTTTTATCACCATATCTAATCGAAAAAGGGTAAAAGAGATTGTTGGCTGAAGAAGACGAACTTGGATCGTAAGTACCGTACCGACACGACCGGTAGGCACATCCAGCGTCTTTGTCAACGAACCACAAGTCTGAAGAGCCGGTATCAATGTCCACGCCAATTGGCTGCTTATTGGAACCAGCATAAACGTAAGTGAGGTAAAAGACGTTTTTGTTGAACAAAGTCTGAGTAATTGCACCATTTTCCCTCTTGGAAATACTAGGAGGGCCTCTGAGAACTTCGAACGCCAACTTGAGGAAACCTGGCTTGGTGGCATTGTCGGGAATAGCGGCCGACAAAACTGTCGCGACTAAAGTGGAAGCGGCAAGGAATGAAAAGTGAACCATGATGATCAAACAGTCATTAATCTGGGTTTATATACCCCAGCCACCCGACGTCGGAAGGGCTTTATCGGTGGTGAATGCCAAGATAAAATAACAGGACCAGTTGGTTGACATGCAGGGAAAAAACGTCAATCTACCCGTCTTGCCCACCGTGCATATGCAAGATGTGCTATTTGCAGCCGTACTTGGTGCCGCATAAAACACGGAGGCACATACTAGACAAGGCATACATTACTAGTCATAACTGTGAAATCAACCTGAACTGCTTCAACCTGCTCAACCTGCTCAACCAGGGAACACCGACGAAAGAACATAGTGCAACGACGACACACATCCCACCGAGAACAAAGCGGCACGGAAGCTACTAGCCCAGGTCCATTTAAGAATGTGCTCGTCAGAATTGACCTGAGCACTTTCGTTGGCCAACATCAGCTTCATTCTAGCCACTGAGGGATAAACCACCAACCAAGTCACGGGGAGCGGCGAGAACGATGCCAATGCACTGATCAAAAAATCACCAGCATACAACTGTGGACCATAAAAATATAACCACGCATACGAAGCAGTACTAACTAGAGCCGAACTTGCCATAAGCACGGCGCCACGGTCGTATAGCAAGCTGAATTGCTTAACTCTGGTGGAATCCGATACAAAGTTTTGGCGAAGAAGAGGGATCATGATGGAGACAATTGCAACATTTCCACCAACAAAAACCGATTGAGAAACGAGTCCTAAACCAAGGGCAACACTGGACATGATGAACAGAATAAAAGATGAGCGAAAGGGATCTGGGGTATGGAGGTGCGAATGCGACAAAGCTAGACGCAGGAAAAGGGAAGGCAGAGGCGAGGTTCGACCGAACCGGAGGAACCCGGGAGATAACGAGGTTTCTGCATGTCGCTTAAACGGACACGGATAAGCACGAATAAGGACGAATATGAGGTATTAATAGAATGTAGACAAAGATAAGGAAGTTCAAGCTGGATATGGGCAAATTTGCCTTATCATGATATGAGCATACTCTTGGTAAAGAAGAGACCTTAGAAATACAGCAGTAGCTCATCGATGTTTCACTCTTTTCGTATCTTTGGGCTGAGAAATTTTGCAGCAAATTCAATTTGGAATAGGTTCTGTTTCAGCAAACAAAGGTGAAAAATCAACTAAATAACCAATTGGATCCTTTAGATCACATCTGAGTCTATAACTCATTCAACACTCTTCAGCTTCACGATGAAGGAAAACACATCTTACAATAGCATTTCAAAAGCGGAATGCACTCTACGCAGCAAGAGCCAAGAAATCTAATCGTTAAATAGATCTCGGTAGTAACCGAGACACTGTGAAGCTTAACGATGCTTGGCATCGATCTAAGAAAGCTAGAAACAGCACAACAAAACCAAAAGATAAAAGAAAATTTCAAGCAAAGGACATCAAGCAATTGACTGCGAAAACTACACTTTCCTGCGAAATAACACTTTTGATTCAATAAATATTGATTGGTAAACAAGTTTTGAAGAAATGAATGGGAATTAGCTAATGTGGATGTTAAGAGCGTTTTGCTTGAGAAGGTTGATGATGACATGGTTAAGGAAATCAGTGGCTTCCAAGGCAGATTGAAGCGAGTCGAGGGTGATGATCTTGTCCTTAACAATCTTCTTGAGCAAGTCCTCAACGAAGGGGTGCATGTCTGGGTCGACAACGGCTTGGTAGACAACAGACATGGCCAAGCCAGACTTCTCCAAAGATCCCAACAATTGGTTGAGAAGTTCGTTATCTCTGGCAACAAGTTCCTCGATAGGAAGCTCTCTCTTGAAACCGAAGAAACTACCAATTCTGCCAAGGAAGCTTCCAAGAAGACCTCCGTTCTTAGAAGTGGAAGAAGACGACGAAGAAGATGGGGCACTGGTCAGCGAAGTAGAAGCGGTGGTGGTAGCGGTGGAATCGGAGCCGGAGCCGGAGCCGGAAGAGCCAGAAGTTACGGATCCAGCACCCTGAATAGCAGATCCCACTCCAGAATTAATAGCACCGGTAATTTTGCCAATTCCAGAGGTGATAGCAGTTTGTCCAGCAGACAAAGTAGCAGGAAGAATCGAGGTAGCAGCAGAACCAACGGCTTCATTAGCAGCAGCAATTGGTTGCAAAATACCTCCAAGAAGACCGGAACCGGCATCTGGCTTAACACCAAGACTGCTCATGGCCGAGCTCAACTCGGAAAGAGCACCAGGAACCTGGGCGGCAGTGGAAAGAATTGGAGCTACGGCAGAGCTCAATTGGAAAACATTCAATGTGTTTTTGGCAGGAGTGGTGGAAGTTCCACTACGCAAGTCTTGCACGATTTGATACAATCCTGGGAAAAACTTAGCATCGCTTAAAGCCTTGACCACAAGATCGACCGCAAGGTTGGACGAGTCCAATGCAGAAAGCAAGTCGTTGAGGTTGGAGATCTTCAAGAAAAATGCAATTCCATCAACCAAGAGAGGCTCGGTCACCTTGTTGGTAGCCAAGATTTTAATCACTGGAGGAACAAGTCCAGACTTGTTAAGGATGGTGAAAAGAGTGGTGAGAATGGGAATGTCATCTCTCTTTGCAAGCTCAAACTCCTCGACGTCAACAGTCTCACGCTTGAGCACTTGGTTGAAAAATTCATTTACCTCTTCGATGCTAGCCAACTCACGAGTGTTGGCATCAAGTGGTGCACTCAAGGTGAATGTCAAACAAGCGAAAAGGGCCAAGAAGAAAGCAGCAATCTTCATTGTGAAAAACTGTTTGTAATGGCTCGCTAGAATGTTTCAATGGATTTATATAATTGACAAATTATTTTTTAGGGTCTCCACCATGCAATCATCTAAACCCTATTGTTATCCCCTCACCATGCATATCGACAGAATTCCCCACGCAAAAAATGGGGAAATGACCGGGACAAATCAGAAATGTCATGGTCACCAGCTATTCAGCTTTGATCTCGCTTCGTTTCTCGATATACTAGCTCTATACTATCCAGTGTTGAGTAGGCGACCTCCGAGTTCCAACGTCCTTGCCGCATCGTGCATGGTGCATCGAGCGCGGGGCCAAAGAATTTCCTAATGCGGTAAAGTACGCACATAAACACCATCGCAAATTTCCCGCGAGGGTGCACCTTCGTTATTGACTTCTTAATGCGGGAATTTGACCGATGAAACGAGAGCCGCTGTGTAGAATGTAGACCCTCCTAAATTACATGTTGGGTTCCACAGTTTCGTTTATTTTTTCAATCAAGTTCTATGTGGCTTACAAATTCGATGCCCTTTGTCTCCTCGGGATTAACAAAGTGAACGTCTGAAGGTTCCCGCCTAGGCGTATCGAAGCTTAAAATCACCGTGGGCTCATCTCCCACACTTTCGATGCCGTGAACGACATTTTTGTAGAAAGTGACCATTTGTCCTGGATGAAGTTCACGAGGCTCTTCATCCTCAATGTAAAATTTGACTTTACCTTTAAGAAGATACAAATGCTCACTACATTGCTTGTGGTAGTGCTTGGGAAGATGACTGTAGAGACGGAACACCCTGCTACTACATTCGGGTGAATCGCTTAAATAGCAGTCCACAAGCATGGTATCTGCATTTTCTGGAAATTTTGCAACTGCTTTGTTCACGTCCAAAAAGTTAAAATTGGTCATGGTACAGGGCGTGCAACGACGTGGGGTCCTTTCTTATATCTGCGAGAATTATTTTTGTCGGTCGGTCCGTGCCGGACCGCCGAATCAGGGTCCGATGTAACCGCGTAAATTGTATGATTGCTGTTGGTGTGAGAGTTGACTTGATTTTGATTTTTGTTAGTGAAAAAAATGTAGAAAATGAAGCTTTAAGATAGAGCTTTATAGAGTTTTTGAACACCATCCTTCAGCGGTTTAGAGTCGATATTACAGAACCATACAGTAAGTGAATCGCACACTATTTTTTCCTATATATAAAACAAGATTCACCACATGGCTGAGTAGCAAACCTAATTGCGAAAATAACCATAAAACGGCCAAGTGCGAAGATAAGAATGCGAATTGACGACGGATTAGCCTTTCAATTTTAATGTTGTTGGACATTATACATTATTGATGTTGCTACGCAACCATTGGCTATTAAATGGCTCGGAAAATGAGATCACTGTGGATAAGCCTCCTTCAAGATACTTGATCATCATGACGAAAACGGCAATTTGCGACCTAATATCACATGACGAGCACGGCTCAATTGAGCTGAGCTCTTGCCGCCTGCAGTAGCTTCTGAAGAAAAGCAATCAAAGCATGAATCACCTCGAACACACAGACACCACCTCGATAAACCCAAAGTTGCAGTCTTATCTTTTTCTAGCGGCTAATTAGGTTGCAGCATCCCACTTGATCCTGCATTATGCACTCCACACTGCACGCTGCACGCTGTCAATTTCGCGCGCCATAGTCTTCTGGTGCAACTACATGGTCTCTTCTGTGGCGATTGTGGGCGGAGGTCCCAGTGGTCTTATAGCATTGGACGCGCTCGTGCGAGAGGAAAAGTTCGATGTCATCAAACTCTTTGAAAGAAGGTCAGAGGCTGGTGGATGTTGGGTATATTCCGACGAAAAACCCGAGCCACTCGGCGATATCAAACTGCTTTCAAAACGGCAATTGAAGCCAGAGCCTGTGCCTGAGGTGCTACCAGCATACGTGCCGAAATCAAGAACACAGCGGTTTATGGATACAGCAACTTATTCATATTTGGAAACGAATGTTGAAGCTGAAGCGATGGAGTTCTCAGAGGAGAAATTTCCACTGGGCGGATCAGCAGAATCGATTCAAAAGTATGGAGAGTCCACGCCGTTCAGACATCATACGGTGATCAAAAACTGGGTCCAAGACTTGTACAAGAAAAAAGGGTATCATGATCGTATTGCATTTAATACATCTGTGGAGTTGATCTTTAAAGTGGATGGAAAGCGGAAACTTGTGTTGCGTCGTTTTGGACCAGAAAACGACTATGTATGGGAAGAAACATTCGATGCTGTGGTGGTAGCAGCGGGTCATTATGACGTTCCATATGTGCCCGATATTGAAAATTTGCAGCAATTCATAGACCATCCAAGTCGGCAAGTTTTGCATTCAAAAGCGTTCAGAGGCCCACAAGACTTTGAAAATAAAAAGGTTGTGGTGGTAGGTGCATCAGTTTCTGCCATGGATGCAGTTCGTGATCTTTTACACCATGCTCAGTCGCCAATTATATCCTCAAGAAAGTCTACTAGTGGTCCTCATATCCATTTTGGTCTGGTGGCTTTCGAGCATCCGCTCGTAGAATCTAGAGGTCAGATCATAAAGTGTGAAGCAGAAACCGGCACTCTTTACTTTGAAGACGGGACGAGTGTCAGTGATGTCGATGCCATAATTTTCGGCACTGGCTTTTCATTTTCTTTCCCATTTCTTCCCGAGTTGAATCTCGCCCACAATCGAGTCCATAATCTCTACCAGCATGTATTCAAGATCGGAGATCCATCGTTGGTTTTCGTGGGAGCCATTACCCCAGGCTTGACATTTAAAGCTTACGAATGGCAGGCGGTTGCGGCTGCGAAAGTTCTTGCTGGAAGAGGGAAATTACCCACCACTGAAGAACAGCACCAATGGGAAAAAGATAGAATAGAAGCTAAAGGCGATGGTCCTGGCTTCTGTCTCATTTATCCCGAATTCGAAAAGTATTTTGAAGCACTTCGAGCTATTGCTGGTGACGAAGGTCCCGGAAGAAAGCTTCCTCGATTTGATCAAAAATGGTTTGATTCCTTTGAAAGGGGTCACCAGATGCGCCGGCATCATTGGCACACCACAAATGAGAAGTACATATCCTCACTTGAATGACTACAAAGTACAATTACTTCAATAGATTACAAACAGTAATTTTTGAAAGATCTATGGTTATTTAGTCTGAAAAAAATTGCCTATAATGCCTCCGATCTCCTTACCCTGGTTCACCATCGATGCAGTAGCTTGTGTACTTTGCTCGTACACTTCCTTGTCTATCGTGCCTGCTTCGTATTTGTATTTACATAATGCAAGCATCAAGTCTGGATGGAATTCTGGATGGCCTTGAAACGTCAAAATTCTGAGCTTTCCACCATTTGAAATTAGCCCTTGGACAGCACAGTTACTTGACAGTCCTATATTGTAGAATTCTGATCCCTTATATGGCTTTGGAATTTCAAAAACCACATCTCGGTGTGATTCTGACATTGATAAAATGGGTCCTTTCATCAATGAAAAGTGCGGGTTCAATTTGATCTCAGTGGTACCCAACTCCCATCCTTGGCCCAAATTACGACCCACCTTGGCACCCAAGTCTTTGGATAATATCTGGTGACCAAAGCATATTCCAACTATAGGAAGATTGGGTGTTTCAAATGCTACATTTATGACAAAACTGTCAAGTTTCTGGATCCATGGAACCTGGTCGTCAAACGCATCGGAACGAGACCCCGTCAAAAGTAGACCCTTGATGACATTGGACTCGAGTCCAGCCTTAATCTGTGAATATATTACTTCCAAGTCGTCATCATTATCGTTACAAATCTGGTAGCATATACCAGGATATGGACACAGTCCTCCAGCCTCCAAAAGGTCTCTGCAATTGTCCCCAAAGTCACCAAACTTGGAGGCCACACCAGGAATTGGCGTATCACATACAAGAATAGCAATGTGATCTGCTGTGACAGTCATAACGATTCTTCGTTGAAGAATTCACGACAGACTGATAAGACCATGCAGGACGCCGCCGCATTTGCGACGATGCACGCTGCAAACTGCAAACTGCAAACTGCAGTCTACAAGCCGTACTCTCGTAGCCTCAATCTTTGTACACCATTGACTTCCTCAACGTAGATCATGTCACCCAACATCAATTGTGTGATAAATTTTTGTAGAACTGCATCGGGTCTCACATTAACCCATTGTGGTTGTTCTGTGATTTGAGAATCGACGGCTGCTTGCACCAATTGCTGCACCAACTGCATACACATTGACGAGCCTTCCTTAAACTCAATGCTATCACGGTCCCATCCTTCGATCATCAATGACGTCACCACGAGCCGCTTGAGGTGTTTAGTAAGGGTTTGTTCGTGTTCAGATGCACCCACCAATTTGCGATCTAAGATGTCCAATTGGTGTTTAATATCCAAAGATGGTTCTTCCTCTGCATGCTGCAGACGCTCATTTTTTAGTTCATAATCTATTGCTTGTGTCACCTCACCATAGTCATCGAGGAGCTGGCGATAGGTTTCTGATATTTCATGGCGATCTTTTGCAAATGTCTTTAGATGCACATATGCATCTCTACTTTCGTCCACGAGTTCCTGCGTTTTCACAGACGCAGTGGCCATGCCGAGAACATCTCCCTTTTCAGGAATATACGACAATTTAGACGCAGCATGATGTAGGGCGATGGTATCGATCTTGGGATCCACGTTCGTTTGTTGAACGCGGCGTTGTAGAAGAGCTTCTGCAGTCTCTGCCTGAGCAAGAAACGCCTCCATCTTTTCAATGTCCTTTTTTAGACGCCGCTCGTACACTTCATCGGCAGTGGGTTCCATAGTATGCGCGTTCTGTGCATAAATTGACATGCGCATAAAAATGCTGCGTTGAAATTTCGATTTCGCACTCATCGGTCAAACCATGTCCCAGATCCCCCAAGCTGCGTTGGAGAACCTCGACGACGGATCCCGGAAGGAGATTCTCAAGTTTCTCGAGTCCGAGAACTCAAAGTCCAAAGTGCAAATGTCCATCCACAACTTTACCAATATGTGCTTCAAAAAGTGCAACGAAAATCGGCCAATTGCCTCCGGTTCGCTCGACTACAGCGAAGAACAATGCTTGACCAACTGCTTGAACCGGTATTTGGACACCAACATCAAAAGTAGTGCAATCTTTGCAGGGCGCAGCCAAATAGTGTATATAGGTGCTATGTAAATGCTACATTAAAGTTGGTTGAAATTGCAGAAATGGCCATTTGTAGTTGTTCATCTTGATCATCAGATTGCTTAAGCCTGCGGTAGCCTTCTTGAATGACTTTCCGTAGATTTTCATCATCGAATCGTTTGAGAGCAACAGCCCATGCGCCCAACATATCGAGTTTGTATGAAGTGACAAGCTTTAAATATTCATTTCCGTAACTTTCTGCAGTGGAAATCATGAATAACTGGACCTTGACAGCTTCTGTAACCATGAAAGTTCCCATTTCATGCTCGGTGGCTCCTGGGTTGACTATGACTTGGTTGAGCGTATAGTTGACTCTGGAGAGCGATGCAACAAATCTATGCTCAAGGGTACCAAGGCATTTTTTTAGCTTTTGTAAGAGCAATATCGGGAGCTTATATTGTGAGTTTTGAATCTCGGGCTCATTGATTTTGGAGAGAATTGCTCGCAATATTCCTGATAGCATGTCCAACATTTTATGAACGTTTTTTCCTTCAAGTTTGAACATCACCACATAAGCGATATCTAGCAAGGGGAGACTTTGATCCAAGGGCGTCATTCCAGGAAGATAACTAAGGCAAACTTTGGTGGAATCTGAAAACAAGTCTCGAAGTCCAGTACGGTCCAAGAGACTAGTGGCTTGCGGAAACAGCAAAAAGTGGTCAAGAAGACGACATCCTTGAATCTTTATGACGGCAGAAGGATCGTCCAATACCTTGAGAATAAAAGAAGTGACAAGAGACCACCGGGAGGAGTACCAAGTTCCCTTATGCTGACAAGAAATGCAAAAATAAATCATCGAATAAGTAGTTTCTGGAATGGAGAGCTCCTGTTCCGATTGAGTAAACCCTAATCTGGGCTTTAAACCACCCAAAGTTCGTTTGGCTGCGTATCCAGCAGAAGTGGTTTTCTGAGAGGATGGTAATGTCTGCATTCTTGGAACAACTTTTTCTTCAACAAAATCATCTATATTTTTTCCAGAACAGCTTGAATCAACGATCTCCATCACCAAGGCTGCTCCCTCACTCGAACACCACGAAAGATATGGATTAGCATGCTGAGAGATTGCTTCTATGGTATCTAGGTCAAAGTAAACTGGAGTGGTTTCAAGGTGGGATTTAAGTTCCGAAAGGGTAGCTTGATAAGATTGAGGCGACTGTGGTGAATCCACCGATAATCGATCGACAAAGTGATGTATTCGTAACATTAGACGTTTTAATGTATGTGGGTATGAAATATGCACAGTGGCTGCACTGCAGCTGTCAAGTGTGTCAAAATGTACAGAAAGATAGTTTTAACGTGCAGCTATTACGCACCCTGCTGCAGAATTTACTGCAGAAAACTTTGGGTCGCGCAGTCAATCTTGCAACATGAGGTTATCCCCTCGCATCTTTTACGCAGCTCGCAAACATCCAATTCCGTCAATTCGAGTGTCTGATGAGGTCCGACAAGCCCTTAGTGATTCCATGCCTGTGGTATCTTTGGAGCTGACTATTATTACCCATGGACTTCCCTTTCCCCAGAACGTCGATATGGCTCGACGAGTCGAGTCTGAGATTCGAAAAAATGGCGGCGTGCCCGCAACTTGTGCGTTTCTCAATGGCATACCTTACGTTGGATTGGGAGACGATCAAATGCAAATTCTAGCCGAAGCAGAAAATCCAATAAAAGTGTCTCGTAGAGACGTTGGACATACTATGGCGGGCCGTCATACTGGCGGAACTACAATTGCACTGACAATGATTCTTTCTCATGCAGCAGGAATTCAGGTTTTTGCAACAGGAGGGCTTGGAGGTGTCCATAAGGAAGGAAATATCACCATGGACGTTTCAGCCGATCTCACGGAACTTGGCCGTACTCCGGTCACGGTGGTGTGTGCTGGGCCCAAATCGATTTTAGACATTGGTATGACGATGGAGTACTTGGAGACTCAAGGAGTGTTTGTTTCCACATATAATGATGACGGTAGAAAACGGGTGCAAATTCCTGGATTTTATACTCGAGAATCGGGAATTTCATCACCATATTCTTTTACTGATTTTGAAGAAATTGCGGCAACGATAAATTACCAGAACAATGTCATGGGTCTCAGCTCAGGAAACGTCATTTGTGTTCCTCCTCCAAAAGATGTAGCTATGTCTTCTGAGTGGATCAATGAAATCATAGAAAGAGCCAATGAGACTGCGAAAATCCAAGGTGTTCGTGGTAAGGAATTGACCCCATTTTTGTTGAGCTCCATAGCCAAAGCCACCGATAACAAGTCTGTCACTTGCAACGTTGACTTCGTGATAAATAATGCCGGGAAGGCGACAATTTTGGCACGGCATTTGTTGGTAAGTAGAAAGCAGTTTTAACTGAGATTTGAGTTTCAAGACTAACCCAGAATCAGGTGAAACTGTCTAATGAGGACGATTTTGCACCTTCAAGTTCAAGATCAGGTTCATTTAGAAGTTCAAGTTCGACTATCAGTTCAAGTTCAGATTCAACTTCAGGTTCAAGTTCAGATTCAGATTCAGATTCAAGTTCAGGTTCAAATTCAGCTTCGTCTTCATTATCCTCGCCCTCGGCTTCGCCTTCGGGCTCGGGCTCGGTAGTGGATACCCTAGTTGTCGGTTCGTTGGCACTCGACACAATTTCCGTTCTCAAATCAACCACAAAATTAAAAGACTCAAATATCGGTTCAACTCGATGGTCTGTGGGAGGAGTGGGTCACAACGTTGCATTGGCATGCCACTACGCTGGAGGATCGGTAAGACTTGTTTCTGCTGTAGGAAACGATTTTGCTGGAAATTCTCTTGTGGAAAGAATGGCCGTGGAAAATTCTCTTTGTAAGCTTGATGCTTCCACAGCTCTGTACACCTCTCTTCACGACCACAAGGGAGATTTAATTGTTGCCAGCGCCGATATGAACATCATAGAGGCCGATTGGACCAAACATATAATGTTGCAAATTGACCAGGCTCAACCAAAAGTGGTGATAATGGATTGCAATTTAGCTGAAAATTGTATTTCGCAAGTTATGGCTCATATTGACACTTGCAGCGATGCCAAGGTGGTTATTGAGCCCACATCTATAGCCAAGGCATCGAGATTAGGGTCTTTACACTCCAGTTGCTTAAGAGTTTTTCCCCAAAATATCATCAAAATGGTGACTCCTACAGCCAGTGAACTCGGCCAAATTTACGATTCTTTTGCAAGAAAGGAACTTTTTGACGACTACGACGACTGGTTTCCTGTTCTTGACTCTTTGGGCATCACATCTTCTTTTCGGGAAAAGTTAGCTAGCAACAAGACTCTTGCTCCATTCTTATCGCTGGGTATTCTCCAACAAGCATTCAGTCTTCTTCCTTACTTGGAAAGAATCTTGATCAAACTAGGGCCCCAGGGAGTTTTGGAAGTTGCTATATCCTCAGATGTGAGTGCTTACAAGTCAATTCCAACCACTTCACAGTATAGTCCTCATTGCATAGTCACATCCGATGGACATAAAATTGGCGAAAACCATATGGGAGTGGTAATCCAGTACTTTCCAATTCCTACAGAAAATGAAAATATCACCATAAAAAACGTAACTGGTGCTGGCGATACATTTTTGGGAGTTTTAATGGCAGCGGAACCAACTTGGTTGCAACCAGAATTGACCTCTGTTGAACAAGAATGGGATAAATGGCACCAAATATATATAGCCCAGCTTGCCAGCGGACTCACGTTGCAGACCGACAGCTCTGTCAGCACAGAGATTGAAAAATGGAAAAAATAGTTTTGATAAAAGAGTCTTTTCGCAGCAATTCGCAGCTCCCAGTTCGCAGCTCGCAGCTTTCAGCCTGTAGGACTGCATACCCTATCCATTTCTCATCGCAACTCAACCCCACAAATCATGTTTCGCCAATTCGCCTCGGTTCTTAGAACTTCTTTCAGGGGCCAAAAGCTTGTTCTGGTTCTCAATTCCACCTCCAGAAACCACTATAGACCATTATTTGCAACAGGAGTGGCATTTGGGCTTTTCAGTGCCGCCACAACATCGGCGATATTTCTCGATGCTCCCTCCAATTTTCCACCAGAAACTTCTGTGACCGTAGACTCCTCCATATCGCCTTTCCCCACATCGCTCTCGCCAGAAGTGAACCCCAATCTCTCGCAAAAGTACGCGTTGTTGGGATATGGAGTGAGATATGTCACATTTTTGAGCTTCAAAGTTTACGGCATTGGCGTCTATATTGCCAATTCAGACATCGCCAAGGCCCGTAGAATTGTCAGTGAGGCCCTCAGGAGCGACCCTGGCTCGTTGGCTGACCCTGAAGAGTCGGCAAAAGTTATAGCAAAATTGCTCGATGAAAAAGTGCTGTTTGCGGTCCGAATTTGTCCGGTAAGAAATACCGACTACAGCCATCTTAAGGACGGATTGATCAAGTCTACGTTGGCGCATTCCTTGAGTAAAACTAACAGAGACGTGGTGGGCGCAGGACTTGACGAATTGAGACAAGTTTTTCAGGGAAGAAAAGGGTCGGTTCCCAAAAACCATCTCTTGTATTTAGAGGTTTTGAAAGACGGATCTCTTCTGGTGTCGTATGAAGACCCGAAGAAGGCGGTCGTGACCCCCATGGGTGTGGTTAAGGAACCCATGGTGGGACAGATCTTGATGCTACAATATCTCAGCGGCCGCAAACCATTGTCTGAAGAATTGCGTCGCAGCTGTGGTGAAAAATTGGCTGTGTTATAAAAGGGTATGGTATATTATATTGTTCCGAAGTGTAGTTAGGGTTTTACATGATAATGGACTCATGCTCAACGTTGGCGGAGATGGACTTGTGGGGTAACACCTTGGCACCGTTGACGTAGATTTCGTTTTTGATCTCGACATCGTCTCCCATCACGGTGATACCGTCGGTTCTAGCCCACTTACCGATACGCGAGTTCCAACCCACAATAGTGGACTTGACCCAAGCGTGGTCCTTAACCTCGGAGTTGGCTAACAACACCGATCTTTGGATTCTGGCTCCCTCACCAACAACCACATTTGGTCCGATGGTGACATTAGGTCCAATCAACGCCGAAGGGTGGATCTTGGCCGATGGGTCGATCAAGACGTTTCCGCCATGCACAAACTTTTCATTAGAGAGTTTTTCTGGCGACTTCTTGGCCAACGAGGTAAGGTACAACACTGTACCGGAAAGAAAGTCCTTGGGTTGACCAACGTCCATCCAGAAACCTTCCAAGTCGAACGAGTACAATTGTTTTTGTTCCACCAAAATGGGGAAGGTTTCCTTTTCGATGGAGGTGGGTTTCATCTCGATCATATCGATGACCGAAGGGTTCAAGATGTACAAACCCGCGTTGATTCTGTTACCAACAAACTCCACTGGCTTTTCCACGAAACGATCGATCAAGTTGGGGGTGTCTCTGTCGTGGACAATCACACCGTACTTACTTGGTTCGTCCACCTTGGTGGCCACAATAGTACCAGCAGCACCGTGAGCCTTGTGGAAATCAGCCAACTCCTTGAATGGGTATTCACAGATCACGTCCGAGTTCAACACGAAAAATGGTGAGTTGTCTTTTTTCAACACTTTTTCAGCCAACTTCAAAGGACCAGCAGTACCCAAAGGTTCCTCTTCCACCGAGAAAGTGATGGACACACCATATTCCTCCTCGTACTTCTTGAGGGTAGACACCATCACCTCGGGTCTGTAGTTGACAGCCAACACAATATCGGTGACACCAGCAGCCGCCAAAGCCTCGATTTGGTGAAGAATCATGGGTCTGTTTCCAAATTCCACCAAAGGCTTTGGCAATGTCAAGGTCAATGGTCTCAATCTGGTACCGTAACCTCCTACTAAAATAAGTCCTTTCATAGTGTTTTAAAGTTTTGATGAAAAACCGCCTAAAATCTATTAAGCGCAGAGACCTGGCGACACGGCGCGGTTTATATATGGTGAGATACGTGGCGGAAAAAAACATCGTGTTCGGTAGCGGCACGAAGGTGGAAAGAAAGAGAAAAGAAAAAGAAAAGGAAAGAAAAAAGGAAAAAAAGAGCAGAAGAGCAGAAGAGGAATGGAGTGTATGAGATGACATTTTGAGCTAACCGTTGTTGACTCGTTTAGATTGTTTAGTAGTCTTGTCTTGATACTAGGATTTGCACCACAGTCGCGCTGGCGCAGGTACTGCAGATTCGGTGCAGGCCCAGCATTGTCCAGCACGCAGCCCACGCACGCGGCAGGTGCAGGAGATCGGAGCTGGCGCTGGTTTCGGAGCGGCTGCGATAAACGCGAAAGTGAGTGGCTAAGCTGAAAAGGGTGATGGAGGAAATGAGTAAATGAGTAATTGAGTATAGACAGGGTACACGACATACATTGTATATGATACAGTACTGAAGGAAAGACTAGAATCAGCGTAGAAAGAGTGATTTAAGGTGGAATGAAAGTAGATTGAAAAGTGAAAAGTTTCTAATTCTGCTCGTAATGTGAATGATTAGAATCTCTATTAAATGGTCTGTCCATAATGTGTGAAATTGACCAGATTAGTGTTCATGGTTTGGAATAAACCATGAACCATATTTCAATCTGAGAGTGTATCTAATGCTCGATGGAAATGACAGTGTGGGTATCAATGAATTGATGCAATTGCTCCTTTTCTGCTGAACAAGGATTCTTTTCAAATATAATGACTGATTTTGTTATTCGTCTGTTCAAATTTTTGTTCGAATTTTTCTGCTAGTTTTTTGTTCGGTTTTTTAATTCCTCCGTTTCTTGACCATCATCGCCGCAACTAGCCCCAAGCTCAACACCATACTAATGGTGGTAATGCCAAAATACCTCTGCAAACACCCTTTTTGCGGACAGTGGCCGTCTGCTTCATGACCATAAAGAAGCAGAAATATCACCAGACCAATTGCTGGTCCCACCATAAAACTGCCCCAGATGGTGCCTAGCATATCTATACCCCAAATTGACGCTATTATAGTGGGATACACCGTAAAAAGCCCACCATATCCGGCTCCACTGACACCAGTAGCCACTTTCAAGTTGGCTAAATTGACGAGAAATTGTCCAATTCCAGCAACGATAATGGTGAGAGGAAGAACCACCAAAGCTCCTCCCGCAGACTCGTCGTTGCCGGGATGAAGCCAGTCACACAATCCGCCAGCAACGAGCCTGGAGACTGTAGAACAGGCTGCGAGAATGCTCACCATGGTGGTAAGGTTTTGGTTTTTCGAGATATTTTCCACGATCGAACCAAGATTATTTTGGAAACTTTCTAGGGGCCCAATACTAAGCACAAACGAAACCAAAAGAAGCCAAGCCCGCGGATCAGCCAAGAAGCTGGCAAAGCGACGACGCTGGTTCTGTGATAACGTGGACCGAACTGGACGCAAACTCTCATCGTCGGTGCATTCTTCTGGGTCATGATGGGCATGAAGCAACGGTTCATGGTCCGAAAAGATCACATCGCTCTCCATCAGCTCGAGCAGTGCTGCTAGGAAATTTACGATTCCCATGGCCAAGTAAAATGTGCCGAAAAAGCAGAATACTCGATAAAGATCGAGGTGGGTTTGCGGACGAAAATAGCCCATTTGGAGTACCTGCGACCCTATCAAAGACAGCAAGCCGTAGCAGGTGACCGGGAGCGAGATCGCAAGCCCCTTGTGGTTGGGGAATATTTTGGCACAGGTGAGAAGCGACAGAAAGTAGAGCGACGAAGTGGCCAAACCAATGAGAAGAAACGTCAATGAAAGTGACGCCACGCTTATTCTTTGTGAAGATCTGGCACTGGATTGCACCAAATAAGCGTTGTAGTAATAACTGGGAACAAAACAACAAATCAGGATCAACGATAAAAGCGGAGGTCCATGAGTGTCAGCGAGGTACCCTAAAATAGGAAGACACAAGTACATGCCGACGGCCGAAACCGATGCTATGGAGTTTATCTCGAGGTAAGAAAGACCTAACGAGTGCAACGAATACGAAAAAAGCAGAAATAGTAGGATTGAACCGGCCGAAAGACAGCATAAAAGTGAAGCGATGAAAGAACCAACTTTCAACCGTCGATGCGAAACATGGTAACTGAGGTAGTGGCGGATGCGGTGAGCAGTTCTGGAGATGAGTTTAGCCATGGGGAGCTCGGAACAGAATTTGTGGCGAATATGGGGAGAAAATGGAAGCGTGGATGTGGGCCGAAATGGGATGTACTGCTGAGACTGTGGAGATTCGAGAGATGGTGCACGGGTGCAGAGGAAGAGGAAGATGAAGGTATAAAGAGAGAAAGAGAGAGGTATGAAAAAAGGTGGATAGACTTCAGAGAAAGACCAGAAAGACCAATTGGTGGATCTAAAGGAGGAGCATACAAAAAACTATTATGATCGAAATGAGAAGTGAAGAGAGCTTCAGAGCCTATCGCTCTTTCAGTCCTTTTACACTTAGCCTCTTTTTCTCATGATTTCATTATATACATCTAGTTCTTCATGTACGACAAGAATCTCTCAATCTCCTTCTCGGATCCCAACCAGATTCCACTCTTATCGTGGATTCCTTTAGGTTCAATTTCCAAAATTCTTTCACCACGGTCGTTCACAGCAGATCCACCAGCCTGCTCCATTAACATGGCCATAGGGAAACATTCGTACAACACTCTCAATTTTCCATTTTTCAGCTTTGAGTCGGCTGGGTATGCAAAGATACCTCCGTAAAGCAATGTTCTGTGAATATCAGCCACCATACTTCCAATGTAACGAGCACTATAAGGCTTACCATTTTCCTGTGGTTTTTTCAAATCCTCCAAGTACTTCTTGACGTACTCGGGCCAGTAGTAAGAGTTACCCTCATTGACGGAGTAGATGGCACGAGACTTGGGGATGGTCAAATTAGGCAGAGTCAAAATGAACTCTCCCAATTGGGTATCCAAAGTAAAGCCATTGACTCCATTTCCGGTGGTCAACATCAAATGAGCAGATGCACCATACATGGTGTAGCCAGCAGCAACCATCTCGGTTCCTGGACGCAACACATCCTTGATGGAACCTTGAGAATCGTCTTTCAACCGGTAAACTCCGAAAATTGTTCCTACGGAAACACCAGCGTCAATATTGGATGAACCATCAATGGGGTCAGTACACACCGCGTAACGGCCTCCACCTTCAAAAACAATCAAATCTTCTTGTTCTTCACTGACCAACACCTTGACGTTGTTAGAACTCTTCATTGCATTGATGAAAATTTCATCACCAATCACATCCAATTTCTTTTGCACATCACCAGTAGAATTAGCACTGCCGCTGATACCTATAAGATTAACCAATTCGGCTCGACGGATGTTATGGGCAATAAATTTAAAAGCAAATTGTAACGAATTCAACAAAAGCGACAATTCTCCGGTAGCCTTTGGAGCTCTAGATTGTTGCTCTTGAAGGATGAATCTTGTCAAGGTGATGATGTCGGTGTCGACATGCATCTGTTCTGAAACTGTATTAACCATGGTGAAAAATGACATGGAAGTGGCGTGTACTGCTATTTATAATACCCCAGAGTTCCCCGGCGGTTGCTGCCACTAGCGCCGGGCGAGCCTCGCGCGGGGGTGCAGGACGGGCCAGTCCTTTTACCCGAGGTGGCCAACGGCCAATCGGCCAAAAGAGGCCATACACCAAAAATAAGGTAAAAATACGGCCAAAAAATAATGTGACTTGAATCTACTGCACTACTTGCGCCGCTGCTGCTGGTACACCAGTCGGTTCAATTCAAACAAAATGTCCACCTGCAGCCGGTCGTGACGTATAACGTTGCGCGCCCCGTTCTTTTCCTTTATGCTTGCTCTGCGGTCGACTTTTGTTTTCCATTGTGACGTTGATTCGAGGGGAGTGTAGATGACGGAGTCGGTGGAGAACCGGGTGTAGACTCCGCGGAGGTAGTTGTCGATTTCTGCAGCGTTGAACGGAGAAGCAGTGTTCGCAGTGTTCGCAGTAGACGCTGCCTCTGCGTCTGCATCACCTGCATGCTTATCACGTCTTTCAGCTGCACCCTTGGCAGTTCCGGTTCTGCTACCAGCTGTTGCTGCGCCAGTTGTCACTGCTGTCGCTGCAGCGACCGGCCTCGGTTCCCCAAGCTTCGCTGCCCAGTTATCCATGCCTCTCCAAGTCGCATCGGTCCCTCATCGGTCGCGGTTACCCGCACGTCGCCCACTACACCACTTTCCCGACGCGCCAACCAAAGGACAGCGCGGCCTCCACTTTTCACACTTGATTAGGTTCACCTTAGTTTATTTGGGTTTACAATTTCGATCCGTACTGGTAATCCGTTGGTTTCTGTTCTTCAAGTTGTCTTTCTAAGTTGTCTTTTTAATTTCTTTTAGTTGTGTTCGTCATGGGTTTCCGTTTACTAGATGTGGTAAAACCTTTCACGCCATTTGTTCCGGAAGTCATTGCCCCTGAAAGAAAGGTAGTGTTCCAGCAACGGCTCATGTGGACCGGAATCACCTTGTTGATTTTCTTGGTGATGTCGGAAATTCCGCTTTATGGAATTGTGTCTTCAAATGACTCCGATCCATTGTACTGGTTGAGAATGATGTTGGCATCCAATAGAGGTACTTTGATGGAATTAGGTATTTCGCCCATCGTTTCCGCTGGTATGGTGTTCCAGCTCTTACAAGGAACCAAATTGATTCACGTAGATATGTCCAATAAGGATGATCGTGAACAGTTTCAAACCGCACAAAAACTTTTTGCCATTCTTCTTGCCGTGGGTCAGGCTACCGTGTACGTGTTGACGGGAATGTACGGACCTCCTAAACTGTTGGGCGTAGGTGTTTGTTTGTTGCTTGTTTTGCAATTGGTGTTTGCTGGTGTGGTGGTGATTCTTTTGGATGAATTGCTCCAAAAAGGTTACGGTTTGGGATCGGGTATTTCCCTTTTTACCGCCACCAACGTTTGTGAACAGGTGTTCTGGAAAGCTTTCGCCCCTACCACTTCTAATACCGGAAAAGGTACCGAATTTGAAGGAGCCGTGGTGGCTCTTTTCCACTTGTTGGGTTCTCGCCGTGACAAAAAGCGTGCTCTTATCGAGGCATTTTACCGTCCAAACTTGCCAAATATGTTCCAGTTGTTGGCCACCGTCGGCATGTTCTTCTTGGTGGTTTATTTGCAAGGTTTCCGTATCGAATTGCCCGTCAAATCCACCCGCCAAAGAGGTCCTTACGGTCTGTACCCTATCCGGTTGTTCTACACCTCCAACATCCCCATTATGTTACAAAGTGCCCTCTCGTCCAACATCTTCATAATCTCACAAATGTTGTTCATGCGCTGGCCCGATAATCTCTTTGTCAAAACCTTGGGTTCATGGGACGCTCGTCAAGGCTCTTCTCAACTCTTTGCCGTTTCCGGTCTCGCCTACTACATGCAACCACCTCTCTCGTTCACAGAGGCATTGTTGGATCCAGTCAAGACTGTGGTGTACATTCTGTTCGTGTTGGGATCGTGTGCCATGTTTTCCACCACCTGGATTGAAATTTCCGGAAATTCTCCTCGTGACGTAGCCAAGCAGTTTAAGGAACAAGGCTTGGTTATTGCCGGTCACAGAGACACCTCGGCGTACCGCGAGTTGAAAAAAATCATCCCCACTGCCGCTGCATTTGGTGGAGCCACAATTGGCGCGTTGTCGGTGGTAAGTGACTTGATGGGAACCTTGGGTTCTGGAACCTCGATCTTGTTGTCGGTGACCACCATCTACGGGTACTACGAGTTGGCTATGAAGGAAGGAGGCTTCGGCAAGTCGGTTGTGTCGGGGTTCTCCGACGGTATCTAGGCATATATAGAAAGATTCAACTGCAAATGAAAAATATTCTCTGTTATGTACCTGCATATGCACCGCGGCTCACCGCACCTCCGCGGAGCTGCCGCCGCGCGAGGCCGCACCGCATCGGTCTTGGCGCCCCTCACTTACGTGCCTTTTTTCGTTCTCTACCCTCGGAAGTCGCGACATCCACCCACCACTGCTTTTGTGTAATGTCACCACCTCCTTTGCGATGCTAAACTTATTCAACCTACAGGAGCTTTGTGGTATGGCCAAAATAGCGCCCTTGGTCAGGCGAATGTTCAACCCTAAGCATGTCAAATTCATCCTTATAGTCGTGGCTATCATAAATGCTCTTTATCTTGCATCTTTGTACCTCGGAAAGGGACCGACTTTGCCTCGATGGAGTTCTTCAATTTTACGTTCCGGGAAGATTTCTGGTGGTCAGTCGTCTCTGTCGCAGCAGGCGATGCCAATCACGTCTACTGTGGAAAACGGGGGCGAAAATGACCAACTGACGAACGGGGAGAAGCAAAATAATGACAAATCGACGACATCGCCGATGACGAAAAAACTTTATGATATTCCTAAAAAACCGTATGACGAGTTGACGGACGCAGAAAAGATTCTTGATCTTTTAAACCAGGTCACGCTTGATAAACAAAAGTATTGGCTAGCCCATACCGAACTTACACATAATGAGCTCCAGATCAGAGTGCACGATTTTCTTCCTCAAAACTGGGTGGATCGGCCCACGGTGTTCTATGACCCGCGGTTCACGTTGGCGGTTTATGTGAGCGAGATCAAAAACCAGTATCTCCGCAAAAACCCCGAGAACAAAAAGTTCAAAATCCACGAAATCGTGGTGCCTTTTGCATGGTCCGACTGGGTCGATCTCACAATGCTCAATGAGGAGCTCGTCAAGCCGGAATCCAGCCGTAAGAACTGTGAGTATATGAAAGCCGTGCATCATATTCCAGCCAAGGATCCAAACTACTGTGTCAATAATGCCGATTTGACCGAACAAGATCTCGAAGAAATGGCGCTTCCTTCGACCAAATTTGTGCCTGGATTTGTCGTGAAAAAGTCACCCACAAACAAGGCTTCCAACGAAATCCGTATGTGGGAAGGAAAGTCGCATCTTTTGACGTATGCCAAGAACCCATTGGCCATGATAATTTTGAGTAAAGACGGTGTTTATGAGGCAAAGATAGACACCAAGAAACGCATTGTCGACTCTGATCTTTTTGAAAACTATTTGCGGGACAACGAGATCACCTATGATGACCCCGATACAAGCATTATTATGGACCCAGTGAAGGAATTTCTCGACTTGTCGAACAAAGTTTTACCCAATCCTCTCGACCCAGAAGACGACGAATACGGCATGGTGGCTAAAATCAAAGAAACAAACCCGGACGTTTCCAGGGAATTGTATCTTCCTGACACCGCTTTCGACTACCGCCAGGACAAGATAGACAAGCAGATTGCTGAATACCAGGAACGGATCGACAAACTTCATGATCTCACGAGAGACGAGCTTGCATTCGACCAGCATTCCATCAATCTTCTCCGACTCACCAGAAACGAAAAGTTATACTTTGACGGGCTCAAGTATGCCAATCAGTTTCCCATCGAAAAAGAACAGACGTATTTCCGTATGGCTCGGCTTATTTTCGATGTGCCTGAGAACGACAAGGATGCCGGGTGGCATTACGAGTGGAGGTTTTTCAATGGTGCGTTGAGATACTTGAAAAAAGGGTGGAATCAAGACGAGCTTTTGATTCGTGAAAAGGTATTATTGGACAGAATTTTGAGAAACTGGTTCCGATTTGCAAATGAAAAAGGAATCATTTCCTGGATCGCCCATGGGCCTCTTCTTTCATGGTACTGGGATGGACTTTTGTTCCCGTTTGACGAAGATATCGATATTCAAATGCCAGCCGAAGAATTGGCGCGGTTCTCCAAGCTTTATAATCAGACATTAGTGATTGAAGAAATCACCGAAGGATTCGGAAAATACTTTATTGACTGTTCCACATTTATCCATCATAGAGGAAAGTCGTACAAGGAAAACCACATCGATGCTCGATTCATAGACATTGACACAGGCTCTTATATCGACATCACTGGATTAGGAGTTAGTGACGAGCCAGCACCCGAAAAGTATAGCGAAATGATTGCGGAATCGGAACGAGCTGGTGAAGTTAAAAAGGTTTACAATTGTCGCAATCTTCACTTTTCACTGTACAACGAGTTGCTGCCATTACGATTCACCATGATGGGAGGAGTTCCTCTTTACATTCCAAACCGCATTGAGGAGATTCTTCGAGATGAATACTCACAAGGAATGACATCTTATACCTACGAAGGGTTCTTTTTCGTTGATGCGATCAATTTATGGATTCATTATCTGAAGCTCGAATTTTTGTTCCCCGACCACAAATACTACAAGGAAGATGGCGCATTGGATACCGAGGTATTCTCGCTGCTAGTACGTTCTATGGGCGATGCCCATGTACTCAAGCTTTTACAAAAAGACGAAGATATTCTACTTGAATATTACCTTACGAAAGACGTTACAGAATTACACCGAAAGGAACTCACGTATCTTTTTGACATGCCGCACGGAGAAAAGACGTTGATGGGAGACGTTGGACATCAACGGGCAGAGGACGAAGTCAGTAATAATGTTGAATACCATCGACTCACGTCACAATTTAAGTTTCAAAAACCGTTTAGACGACCATTATTCAACTACGAGCACATCGACAAGCCAGCACATCACCGGGACTAATGTAATATAGATAGTAATTGTATAAGACCAGTTATAGAGACCCACTGACTGAATTCTGATTAATTTCTGATTGAATTTCTGACTATTTCTGATTGAATACTACTGAATTTACTGTGAATTTTCCCAATTGGGCATCTCCTCGTCGTACATGCACGGCGAGTCTATTGTTCCACCTTCCCAATCAATCTTATCGTATTATGTACCTGCGGCTTCAGCCCGGTCACGATCCATGCGGCATAATGCAGGGTCGGAATGAGATAATTCCGATGCTCAGCGCCACAGTACCGACCTCACACCTCAGTACCTCAATACATAGTCAGCGTCAAGATAACGCCCCTCAATGCCCCTCTCGCCCCGCCCCTCGATCTGCGATGGCGCCCGCAACCGCCCGCAACCGCTCGCCAATCGCAACCGTCATGCATCTCGGTGAAAAACCTACTCCGCGCCCTCGGAACTCGTCGAATATCATCACTTTTCGGGGGTGCCGCATACGACACATGTGCAGTCGCGTGTGACCGGAAGTCGCACTGCCTGCTATCTCACCCCTCGAAAAAAAAAAAGAAAATCCACTTGTCACACGACGCAAAATATTCACGAAAACATCATCAAAACTAAAAAGCAAAATTCAGGCCCCGCGTTCGAAATCACTTCACCATGCTCTCCACACGTGTAGTGAAGGTCATTCTAGGTGTTGCGATCGTGCTTAATCTTGCCTACTTTACTCATATATATTCTAATGAAGAGGCAAAGCTTCGACAGCTAGCATTGAAACACGCTACTTTTCAAAATTACCAAGCTGATGACCAGGTAGAAATCCCCAAAAACAAACCTTACAGCGAGTATACACCCGAGCAAAAGGTGGCGGAACTTCTTCATAAAGTGGAACAGGACAAAGATACTTATTGGTTGGCGCAGACGGAGGTGACGGAACCCGATTTGGTCATCCAACCAAAGGATTTTTTGCCTGGTGAAGAAGATAGAAAAACCTGGGTGAACCGACCAGAGATGTTCTACGATCCGAGGTTCACATTAGCATTGTATCTTGACGAAATCAAGCACCAATTGGTGACGAAAAATCCCAAGAATGAAAAGGCAAAAGATGTGGAAATTACAGTTCCTTTTGCTTGGTCGGACTGGATGGACCTCACCATGCTCAACGAGGAGTTGGCAAAGCCCCAGGAAGAACGGGTGGACTGTGGATGGCTCCAATCCAAAATCAACAAGGCCACAAAATACCCCAGATTTTGTAGCAATCATCGAGATATCACCGATGCCGATGCCCAAAAACTCGGATTACCGTCCAAGGACTTTCTTCCTGGGTTTGTTGTACACGGCTCTCCCATGAACAAAGCTCCTCATAAACAGGTGATGATGCAAGGAAAAGCGTTCATGTTGGCGTCACAGGAAAACCCCATGTCCATCATTTTCTTGACTAAAGACGGAACCTACGAGGCTCAGGTTCTGGAGAAAAAACGAATAGTCCACACTGACATGTTCGAGCGATACTTGGACCGCAAAAACATCAACGCCAATCATCTTGATGACATCGGAAATAGTTTGGTGATAAACTGTCAGGAGGAATACCGCCAGCTTCTCACCACGGTTCCGCCTCGTCCGCTCGATTTAGGTGATGATATCTACCGCATGAACAGCATAGCGAGAAACAAGGACGTCAATGCTTCGAGGGAAATTTTCCTTGAACCTGAAGCCTTCAATTATCGTGAAGATAAAGTAAACCAACAGATCAAGCAGTACGAAACAAGACTCAACAAAATGGAGCTTGCCATGACATCGGAGCTTCATTATGATCCAGCAGTTCTTGCTGAAAACCGCTTAACCCGCCATGAACGCAACCATTATGATGGGTTGAAAATGGCCAGTATTACGCCGGTTGACAACGAGCCCACCTACTACAAATTGGCAACTTTGTTGAAAGACCAAGATAACAAAGATCCCGGCTGGCATAACGAATGGCGTTTTTTCAACGGTGCTTTACGTTATGTTCGCGAAGGCTACACTACGCAAGATTTGGAGATCAGAGAGCAAATTATATTGGATCGTTTGATACGAAACTGGTTTCGTTTCGCGGAAGAAAAGGGCATTATCTCATGGATCGCTCACGGACCTCTTCTCTCGTGGTACTGGGACGGGCTCATGTTTCCATTTGACATTGACGTGGATATTCAAATGCCTTCATCGGAATTGAACCGCTTACTGAAAAATTATAATATGACTTTAGTAGTGGAAGACATTAGTGAGGGTTATGGTCGTTATCTTATCGACTGTTCTACCTTTATCCACCATCGTGACAGGCCTCAGAAAGACAATCATATTGATGCTCGGTTCATCGATATCGATACCGGAACCTACATCGACATCACTGGAGTTGGCAGAAACAACGAGCAACCTCCTCCCGAGTACGAAACATACATTCGCAACAAAAACTCCAAGGGAGAAGAGGTGGAACTTTACATGGATCGTCGTAAACACTGGTTGAGTTTCGAGCAAATTTCACCATTACGATACTCGATGTTGGGAGGAGTTCCCGTATATGTTCCCAACGATATCATGTCGATGTTAAACTACGAATACAGCAAGGGTACCACGGCCTACCATTTCAATGGCTACTACTTTGTGCCACAGGTGAGATTATGGGTACTCGAAAATCATCTTACACCACTCTTTGATGAGAATCTTTACAAAGACGGCGACAAAGTCAATCCAGATAAATTGGTGGAATTGGTCACCCAGATGACCATAGAAGATAAGGTTCGGCTTCTCGAGCTGAACCAGGACGTTTTGATGGAGTACTACCTCACACACAAGTACACCATGTATCATGACATGGAGAAAAAATTCATGTTGGACCATTCATTACAGCATCTGATTTTAGAGTTGAAAGACAACAAAAACTACCATCGACTCACATCCAAATTCAACATGGGCAAGCCCTTGCGCAAGTGCTTGTATGATTTTGAATTTATCGAGCGGTTGAAGCATAAGGAGCAATAGCATAGAATATAGGTTGCACCAGTGGAGAGTGTAGTATCTTTTGTATGGGTGCAGTGGGTGTGCGCTCCCATGAAATTCATCTCATTTATCAACGCGACTCTCATTTTATTCGAATGTTACGACAGAGTATCGTTTTTGGACGTAGAACGTTGGTCACGTCAACCAGGCGTACGGCATACACCGCAGTCAGAAAATCACCGCCTCCAGCAACTCCTGTGGTAGAAACCGTTCGCAAAGAAACCGAGCCAAATTCCACAGAAAAACCAATTTCCTTCAATGACAACCCAATGATCACCAGTATTTCTAGTAACGCGAATCCACATGAGAATGCCATCGACTGGTCAGGCTCGTTTCATGGATTGGGAGCTGCGGCTTTTCCGAAGGAAACTATCGACATTCTTCTCGCCCCCATTTCCAAAGAAGATATCGAAATCAAGCCAGATGGACTTCTTTATCTTCCTGAAATAAAGTATAGACGAATTCTCAACCGGGCGTTTGGTCCAGGAGGCTGGGGGCTTGCGCCGAGAACAGAATCACACATTACACCCAAACAAATATCTCGTGAATACGCCCTTATTTGCAACGGAAGACTTGTCAGTGTGGCCCGCGGCGAGCAGGATTACTACGGAGGCGAGGAAAAGATCACCACTGCGTTGGAGGGATGCAAAAGTAACGCCTTGATGAGATGTTGTAAGGATTTGGGAATTGCCAGTGAATTGTGGGATCCCAGTTTTATTCGTAAATGGAAGAAGGATTACTGTGACGAGGTGTTTGCGGAACATGTGACCACCAAGAAGAAGAAGAAGCTCTGGAAGCTCAAGCTGAACAAGACGCTCGACTATCCATACAAGATTGTGTAGGAAGCGAGAATAGAAAGTGTAAAGAAGTGTAAATAGAACTGAACAGAACTGAACAGAAAAAGTGACAGACACACAGAAAGTAACAGATCAGAAACAGAAACAGAGAAAACCTCAAATAATACTCTTTTCACCGTTTATCTTTCTACTAATCTCATTCATTTATGCTATGGCTTAAAGATTCCACGTCCCGCTCCCAACTCCTCTACGGTCTGCGACAATGGTCTTCTCTTCCAGATATCCCAGAACTGCTGTTTGGGCACGTCTTCGTCGCTGTTAGCCTTCAAATACTTCGCATCTCTTCCAGCAAAAGATGGCGATTGAGCCCAGAAAGCATGGTCCAAAAACGCCGTGAGCGCAGCACCGCCAAGTCCCGTCATCACCTTATGTTTAGCAGGCATGGACTTGAATCCAGCAGATAAACATACCAAATTTCCAGCACCAACGGCCCAGAATGTGTTCCACGCATCGTTCTTTTCCCGCAAGTTGGTGATGATTCCTTTCGTTCCCGTGGCCACGGTGGCAAACCCAACCACCGTCAATGGCAAACCCAACTTGAAAGTGGTTCTTTTCCAGAAATATAACCAAGCATACGCTCCAACAGTGGTGTAGAACGAGAAGCGAAATACTTGTAAAGTTTCCTTACGAGTATCCACGGGCTTCCATGGTGGATATGCGTTGCTATTGGTGATGTTTCCTAGCTTTGGAGTTTTGAATTGAGAGCTGGGGTAGCTTGGTGCAGCTTCGACCTCAGACATTAGGGAAAACGTCCAATCAAAAGTTTGAGAAACGATGGTAATGGTACTGCAGAGAAGACAAAAAAGTGCAAAAACGACACCCTTCAATTGAAAATTTTAAGAAAGTTTTCACGGTCTGGGAAAGTCCCGGACCCTTCTTGTTGCCTCTAGAATACACCAACAAACTTTCAGCGTTTCAACTTCTTTCTAGGCCACTAATCTCCCACCATAGTTATATGGGATATCTACTGCATATACCGCACAATTATCCTGTATATATCCTCCTGCATACCACCCGCTCTCACCTCAAAACTTTTCGGCAACACTTCTCCATAATGAGCAAATTTTTGACATTCACAGCCGTGGCCGCCACCGCGGTTGCTGCATACGCGGTATACTTCGACTATAACCGTAGAAACTCCAAGGAATTCAGAAAGTCCCTCAAAAAGAAATCCGTAAAACAGGCAAAGCAAGCTAAGAAGGTGGAAGAAGAGTCCAAGAAATCCAAACTCGATTCCATCAAAAAAGCTTTAGCCGAGGAGCTCGAGAAGAATCCAATCCCCACCGAACTCAGTGAAAAGGAGAACTTTTTTATGCAACAGGTGGCGTTGGGTGAACAATTGCTGTCTTTGCCCGGTCAGAAAATGGATGCTGCGTTGTGTTTCTACAAAGCTTTGGCAGTGTATCCCAACCCTACTGATATCTTGGGTATCTACCAGCGGTCTGTGCCCGAAGAAGTGTACGAAATTGTGGTAATGATGATTGCCGTGCAACCGCCAGCGGCAGTTACCAGTATTCTTGGATCCAACAAAGAGCCAGAAATCAAACCATCGGAGGCTGATCTTGATTAATGTACATATGGGGGAATATAAGCAAGAGGATAGAATACTTTATGAGTAAATAATGCAAGTAATTGCAGTGTAGTAAGAAGTTGGTAGCAACGCTGTTGGTTAGTTGAATTATTCGCCATGGTCCTGCAGATAGACTTCCCATTTCAGGTACAGATTGCAGCATCAATCATACACAACAACCGTTTTGAACACATGGCAAATTCCGGGCCATTTTGTTCACTTTCACATCCACAGTGGCTCAAGATAATAGATCTTCATCATCATAAACAGAGAATATTATAAACCAACAAAGTTCAAAGCTTATTGAATTTCTACGACGAATCACACAATCAATTCCATTCCCAAATCCAGCTTCTTAGGGTTCTTTCACCATGCTTTTCACATTTTTAGCAGCATTTCAGCTCCTAGTCTCCGTGCACGCGTTTCTGTACAGTTTAGCTTCCAAAAACTCTTCAGATGTTACTAATTCCACAAACTTAAATGACACTACAGGCACATATCCACATATTCTTCGAGGAGTCAACCTCGGTGGATGGCTCGTTCTCGAACCCTATATTACACCTTCTCTTTTCCTCGAGTTCAACAGCACAAATGGTACAGAAAAAGATATACCAGTGGACGAATACCACTACTGGAAGAAACTCGGTAAAGAAGAAGCTGAGGTTCGTCTAAGAAAACATTGGGACAATTTCTATACAGAAAAAGACTTTTCAGACATCAAGGGTGCTGGGCTCAATATGGTTCGGATTCCAGTTGGGTATTGGGCGTTTAGCACGCTAAAAAGTGACCCATACAAGTCTGATATCCAGCAAGAATATTTGGATCGAGCAATAGAATGGGCTCACAAATACGGACTCAAAGTGTGGATTGACCTTCATGGTGTACCTCAGTCGCAAAATGGATTTGATAACTCGGGGTTGCGGAGTATTGGGTACCCTGGATGGTTCAATCACACCGAAAATATTGATCTTTCCAAAAAAGTTCTCCACAAGATTTTTTCAAAGTACTCTGGCAACTTCAGCGCGGAATACCCTGGCACCATAATTGGAATTGAGCTAGTAAACGAGCCGCTTTCCACCAAACTTTCGTTAAAGAAACTCAAAAGCTTTTATGAAGACGTTGTGGACGATTCCAAGAAAGTCAATCGGGCCAGCCATACTCTCGTCATTCAAGACGGGTTCCAGAAAATTGGGTACTGGGACGAGTTCATGACCAGCGAGAACATATTGATTGACCACCATCACTATGAGGTGTTTTCCAGCTCGGCGCTCAACATGCTGACCGCAGACCATCTCAAATCGATCCAAAATTGGAGTGCCGATGTGAAAAAAGAGCTCAAGCATCACCGTGCAATAGTTGGCGAGTGGCTGGCAGCACTCACCGATTGCACCCCCTGGCTCAATGGGGTCGGGTTAGGAGCAAGATACGCAGGCGAAAAGCCGTACAACAATAAGAAAATTGGTACTTGTGCGGACATCAATGACTGGAGTAAATGGTCGCTGCAAAAAAAGAAAAATTACCGAAAATTCATAGAGATGCAACTAGATCAGTACGAGCGGAACGCAAATGGCTGGATATTCTGGTGCTACAAGACAGAAACCTCAATTGAGTGGGATTTTAGCCGGTTGGTCGATTTGAAGTTGATGCCGCAGCCATTATCGGATCGCAAGTTTATCGTCAACGGACAAGATCCGGACGCCAAGAAGGGAGAATCCGGCGATTTAGCTATGAACAAGTGGATGTTGTTTATATTGGCAGTGCTAATGCTGATCATTTGAACAAAACGAACCATACATACTTTTGTCCAAGTCGATGTACCAGTCGTCTATATACAGTCCCGGTTTTGCAGCATTTTTATCGCACCGCCAAAATCATCTCCACACTTTTCACCACATGTCCAAGTCTGTAAACGTTGCTATAATTGGTGCCGGGGTGGTCGGCTCGGCTTTCCTCAACCAGCTCAAGAACCTCAAGTCAGCCATCAAGTTCAATGTTGTTTATCTTGCCAGATCTTCCAAAGAAGCCATTTTTTCAAACGACTACCAGCCGGTCGATTTGGCTAACTACAAAACCGCCAACGCCAAACCACTTTTGAGCGTCGATGACTTGGTCAAGTTCCTCAAAGAGTCCAAGAAACCATCGATTTTGATCGACAACACCTCCAACTCTTCGATTGCCGAAGCGTACCCTCGTTTTGTTGAAGCTGGAATCTCCATTGCAACTCCCAACAAAAAAGCATTTTCCTCAGAATTGTCTCTTTGGAACGCCATTTTCAAGGCCCTGGAAGCTCCCTCCGGCGGCTTGGTCTACCACGAGTCCACGGTGGGTGCTGGCTTGCCTATTATTGGTCCTTTGAGGGACTTGGTCGCTACCGGCGACAAGGTTGAAACCATCGAGGGAATCTTTTCTGGCACCCTTTCGTACATTTTCAACGAATTTTCGACGACAGAAGCTTCAGATGTCAAGTTTTCCGACGTTGTAAAGGTTGCTAAGGACTTGGGATACACCGAGCCCGACCCTAGAGACGACTTGAATGGTTTGGATGTGGCCAGAAAGGTAACTATCTTGGCCAGAATTTCTGGTTTCAACGTCGAGTCACCTACGTCGTTCCCCGTGGAGTCTTTGATTCCAAAACAGCTTGAATCTGTTGAAAGCTCGGACGAATTCATGCAAACGTTGCCAGAATTCGATGGTGTCATTCAAAAAGTCAAAGACGCTGCTCTCGCCGAGAACAAAGTTTTGAGATTTGTCGGTAAAGTGGACTTCAAGAACAACAAGGTGTCGGTGGAAATTGGCAAGTACGGCTTTGACCATCCTTTTGCGTCGCTTAAAGGTAGTGACAATGTTGTGGCTTTCAAGACTGAAAGATATCCCAACCCATTGATCATCCAAGGAGCCGGAGCCGGAGCCGAGGTGACAGCGCACGGGGTGTTGGCGGACGCCCTCAAGATTGCGGAGAGAATTGCATAAAAAAGATAAAGGTAGAATAAATGCAGATTCGATTTTCCGTTTCTCACTTTTTCAGATTTTTCAGTCTTTTACTTTTCGGTTTCATAATTCTAAATATCTACGGGCAACGTTCCCGCTGAGTATTCCTCGTTCCACGCAGTGAGCGCCTCTTTGAATATCATTCGAAGTCTGTTACTGTTGGTACATGTAGCACGAAACGTCATCATCACTTTCTGGGCATCTAGAGTCTGATATTTTATGTGCGCATCAGAATCGGGCATGGTACTCAGTATGGAGTTCAATCTCGCCAAGTGGATATTGTTTGGTGCCAAGAACAAGTCTCCGTTGTCTCGGAGCTCAACAATATAAGATCCTGTCTTATGAACATACTGAGCATACTTGAAAGATGGGTTTCCCCAACTGTACGTGATTTCTACCTGCTCTTTCAGAAAGAATAAAGCCGACCGGTTGTCGAGGAAAAAGTCACATTTCTTGAGGAGAAACACATGGTAGTAAAACTTGTTGTTCTGGAGTATATGTTCGTGGGAAAACTCTTGTTCTGTCCATGGATTTATAGCCAATCTGAGGTCCACGAAAGAGTGAAGTGGTGCAACTTTGGGAAAGGTTCGAATTTCTTTCCACGGAAGCTCCACCAATTTGAGTCCATGGCGCTCACAGAGTCTTGACCAGTTAGTAATAGTATCGTCAATGAGCCTGGCTGTGGTGTTTAGCCATTGCAATCTTATATGGTAGCAGTGCTCTGGATTGTGGACTCTATCGTAGTGAACTTTGATAATTTCTGGTCTGAAAGAACGGTTGAGAGGATCCACATTGAAGTCCACACATCGACTCAAAACGAACTTTGTGGTAGGTGGTTTTTCACTACTGTTTTCCTGTCCGGAATTTGTATGAGGTGACTTTGGGTCGGCAGAAACTGAACTTTTTCTGGACTCGGTGGGTGTAGAAGGCTTCTTTTTAAACCACGACTTGTTGCTGCTGGCGGCTCTTGAAGAATGGTCTACGTACCCATCCTCAAACTCGTAGAAATAGTATCCATCTAAGAAACTGTGCCTGTTTTGCACATGCTTGAACACCCCATTTTTCATCATTTCCTGCCCAAATTTGGTACCTTCTTCTCTACTATCGATATCGTCCAAATTTTCGATCAACCACGAAACAAGTTGACTTCCCAAAAAACAGTATGGATGTGTAGTAAAGTGCCATGTTCGATCCACCAAATTAAGCCCATTGCTTCCCTGTAAAAGCTCTGCAAGGTAGACGAGATCAGTGGACTTATTCAAGCCTTTCACCACCAATTTCCTGGCTCCGCTATACTCATTGAGTTCTATATGTCCACTGAGATAATCGTACAAATTTCCCGTGTAAAAATTGATCTCTGGTAAAATTTCTTCCTTCCCACGAGGCTGTTTGTCTGCTGAATCGATAACTCGTCCTTTTTCAATAAGCGCTATGAGTTTCCGAAGCCCTTCGACTCGGATCTCTTCTTCGGTTAATTTTTCATTTGAGATATAGTAAGCATTTTTGGGAATGTCTGACGGCATTACCACAAACTTCATCCTGTGGAATCGCTTCATTTCTTGAGGCATAGCATCGTCGTACCCCGCAAGAAGCTGGTCAAATTGGTTCCAATTAAAACTTGGTGGTTCGGTGTTGATGAAATTGACCAATGAAGGTGAGAAATCGTCAGCGTATCTGGTCCTAATTAATGGCTTATAGTCTTGAGCTCGAAAGTCGTGATATCCTAGCCTTATATGATTGGTTTCATTCTTTCGTTTGTGGTACAAATGAATGTGTAAATGCCCATTGACATCGCAGAGAATCCGGTGGATTTGGTCGTCCAACTGGAGATATATTCTGGTGTCGATACAGTTTCCTTGAGGGTAATATTTGAGAATTTTGTCGGGATTTCCACCTCTGGCCGTCTCTACTTGCTGCACATGGTCTCCGTAACATATCTGGAATCCTAAGCGTAACCTTAAATTTATCATTTCGTGCATCAAGAGGTAATTGGAGTCGATGTGGTTCAGATTTTCCCAGTTGAGTAAAACAGTATAGAGCTGGAAGGTGTACTCTTCTTCAAGCTGTGAGGTGGTGGGAAAAGAATCGGTGGTTAATGGAAGCAGAGCAGGCGCTTGTAGAGATTTCCAGTTGATTTGTCTTCGTTTGACACCGTGAGGAAAAACGTTTTTCCAGCGACTTTGACGTAAAAACTCAACAATGTCAAAATGCAGCTCTTGTGACGGGTTCTTGATCTCTGTCCAGTAGTCCAATCGTTCCATTCTGGACAAATATGGTTGGTTTCGACCCGACGCATTTTCCGTTGCCTCGAATTTTTCACCAGAGTCTCTCCACTGGGCCAATTCTTTGCCCTTGAACTCTAACGAAGATCGGAGCAGACTCTCGTGTGGAGACGACTGACGGCTTTCTACATCATTTGCAGTCTTTTTGGGTCGTGAAGGTATAATGTGCTGACTTTTTTCGTTTTTCGCAGCCAAATTTTTGACAGGTTCCAAGTTCAATTTGCTGGAAACGCTTTTCATCGAACGAACAGAAGGTGCTTGTTTCAACGGGTGTTTCAAATCGGGAACCCGATTCAAATAGTACAAGGAATTAAGCGCCGAAGCTTCAACACCGCCCTGTGCGACGGTACCCAAAACGCTAGAATTGGTGGTTGTGGCATCGAATTTGGCCGTAGAAGCTCTCGTGCCCAAAGCCACCGATTTGCTGCCTATGAGAGAAAGCGTAGCATTGGCATCTACCGGTCTGGGTAATTTTAATGAAGGAGTTTCTTCCTTGGAAGTTTCATCTTTGGTAACATTTGTCTTAAAGACTCCCAAATCGTACCTATCCATAGCCTCGCTAATGGAACGTATATCTCTTTCCACACTGAGACGAGGCACCTTGGCATCATTGACTTCGTTTTCCATAACTCCCATCATCTGAAGTTCGTATATCTTGCACCGAGGAATCCAATGATTGGTAAAGTCAGACGACTCTCCAAAGAAGGAAATATCACACCAATGGGGAACACATTGAGAAACAGAGCCGTCTTTGTTTGGGTTTTTAAACCTGAAAAGTGGAACTATATGCAAAGGCGGCTGGCTGAGACTAACTATGTCGAGAGCACAGTCCAAATTCATCATTTTTCTGCTTGTTTGTAAAAGCAAATCGTATTCAACGTCAAACACTCCAGTTCCTGGGGTTATAAGTATCAAGTTGTTGTTGGTGTGTTTCAAATCCGTATCTCTAAACCTGTCAGAGATGTGAACTATTCCCAAATTAATAGCCTCGAGAACATTTCCCTTTACCGCTGGGAGGGACTGGCCCTCCATGATATACTTTCTGCTGTCTTCAGTCTTGTGGAGCATAATATCTCTTTTAAAATTTGCAAATTCAATTCTCAAATTTCCCATTATTCTGTCCCATTGATTGACGTTGACGGTATCCACCACCACCCGAAAATAGTCTCTGCGGTCACTGGGCCGTTCTCCTTGTCCCAAGGATACCCAGGGAATATTTGTGAGATCCACACTGGTGAACAATACAATTGAGATGGAATGGTGATCAGCATTGGATCTCCATTTGCGAAATAGTTTGGGGAAAAGTGAATTGACCAATTTGTGAAACATGATTTCGCCATTTTCCTCAAAGTGCCACATCTCCCTCGAGATCTGAACCAAAAATGTCATGTGGGCACCTTCAGAACGGAACACTATCCGGGTTTGATCGTTGATATAACCAGATGCCTGTTTCTTTCCGTTTCTGTAAATGGCTCGAATGGTTCCACATCTCGTTTCCAAGTAAGAAAGTCTTTTGTCTACAAACACACAAGTGTTCACCAACGTTGCTGAGAGGTTCCACATTGAGTCTCGTGAGAGATTGATGTCTTTGAGGTACACCTCAACCGTCTCCGCAACCACACCCGAGGTATCTGAGAGCTTGCAGATTTGCATGAGTGCCCGAGGAGGAAGATCCAAGAGTTTCTGCAATGGGTTTGAAAGGAGCGATATTTGAGATGGTGGTTTTTTGGTAAATGGTGCATTTTGTGTCAGCGATGTATTCGGCTTGGACTCTTTTGCGGACAGTGACGTTCGAGGAATTGTGAACACAAGCCGTCGCTGGGGCTTCTTATGTCGACCAATGGGCTCGAGGCGACATATATCTCCGGGATTGAACCCAGGTATGGAAGAACAATCGAAAATGACATCTTCAACAGATGTGCTAGCTTCATGGTACCACACGGTTACAACTACCGGTTCAATCTGGCGGTCTGGCTTTGGTACCTCGGTTTCAGGTACGCTGATGTAGTCAATTGTTGGTTCAGGAAGCAATTCTGGTGAATCAGTGGTCTTGCGTCCGATGGTGATGGTGGTTCCAACTTGTTTTTTCATGGTACTAATCGACGAAGCCGTTGCAGAAGACACGCTACGATGAGGGTGTAGTCGTGGGGATCTATGCAGCAGCAGCGAGGCATGCTGCATGTTCAACCTTCGAGGCTGTTGCATGACTTTGGCTAAGTTATGAGGATCAAATGTTCTGCGCGGATTTGGTTTCACTGTGCATGAAAATGTTGCAAAAATTGGGGGAATCATGCATAAATAACTACGTCAAACCTACATGATGCATATGTCATTATGCATGGGCTATATAGATGCTAATACGAATTCCTGTAAGAACCACTGGTGAAATCTGCTGTCTTCTCCCAATTCAGGGTGGAATGATGTTCCCAAAACTTGTCCTTGACGAACGGCAACGATAAGGCCGGTATCGAGCTTATGGAGCACTTCCAATGGAGATTCATTCTTGTAGTCGAACGGAGCCTGTATCACTTTCGAGTCAGTTACATGCTTGTCGGCCGGTGCCTTGGTGACCACCGGTGCTCGTATGAAAATTGTGGGGAAATCGGTGACCCCCTCGATGAAAGAGGAAAAGTCCAAGTCGGAACTAAAAGATTGAAGCTGTCTTCCAAATGCATTTCGAGTCACCTCGATATCCAAAGCTCCCAAAATAGTCTGTTCGGGCTTTCCATTAACAAGCTGTTTCGATAAAAAAATCAATCCCGCACAGGTGCCCCACACTGGACGTTCCGACTTGATGAACTCCATAAGTGGCTCTATAATTCCGGTCCGTTGAGCTATATGAGACATGGCGGTGCTTTCTCCTCCGGGGATCACCAAAGCCTGGCATGTTTTTAACTGGTTGGCCGTTCTGACCTCTATAAAAGAAAATTCATGGCCCGGAATTTTTTGGGTTGCAGCTTGAAACAACTTTATATGTTCTATAAACGCACCTTGAAGCGCCAATACTCCAACAACTATCGCCTGTGTCATAACCAAGTTGTATGTCGCCAAGGTGTGAGTGTCTCAGATGCCAAGCAGAAAACGCTCACATAATGTTCACCTATGTGCATATATGCATCTCGTATGACTCGCTCGCCGAGACTTGCCGATACCGGGTGAAAAATTGACTCGGCGCGGGCCCATTCCCCACTCATTGCTCACATCGTTTCCGATCCAACTATTAGTCATATATTGTCTATATATCGATTGGTGAACCCTTGCTAGTCATTGAAATGTCGTTCAAAGTTAAGGCCGGTTTGGCGCAGATGCTCAAAGGTGGAGTCATCATGGATGTGGTGACTCCAGAACAAGCGGTGATTGCTGAAAAAGCTGGTGCTTGTGCCGTGATGGCATTGGAACGTATTCCTGCTGATATGAGGGCATCGGGTCAGGTTTGCAGAATGTCCGACCCCAAAATGATCAAGTCAATTATGGAGGCCGTTTCCATTCCCGTTATGGCTAAATGCAGAATCGGCCATAAAGTTGAAGCCCAAATTTTGGAAGCATTGGAGGTGGATTATATTGATGAGTCGGAAGTGTTGACTCCTGCTGACAAGAAACATCACATCAAGAAGGACCAATACAAAGTACCGTTTGTATGTGGAGCTAAAGATTTGGGAGAAGCGCTTCGTCGAATCAATGAAGGTGCTGCGATGTTGAGAACCAAAGGTGAAGCCGGTACCGGAGACATTTCCGAAGCAGTTAAGCATATTACGGTTATTCAGGAGCAAATTGACGAGCTTTTGACGAAAGATGAAGCCGGAATTGAACAAGCCGCCAAGGAAATGAGAGTTCCTGTCGAATTGGTCAAACAACTTGTGGCCGACAAGGGTAAATTTCCCGTGGTCAATTTTGCAGCCGGTGGTGTTGCTACTCCTTCTGATGCTGCGCTTTGCATGCAGATGGGATGTGACGGAGTTTTTGTGGGCTCGGGTATATTCAAGTCCAAAAACCCAGAAAAGCTTGCCAAGGCCATTGTCAATGCAGTTACCCATTATGAAGACCCCAAGAAGATTTTGGAGTATTCTACTGACTTGGGTGAGTTGATGTTCGGTGTGGCTATCGACGGGTTGGACGACAAGTCGAGGTTATCCACCCGTGGATGGTAAGCATGTATCTACTAAATAGCAAAATAGTGCCGACTGGCGTTGAAATTTTATTTGAACTGGTAGACTGACATTGATAACTTTCTGTACTGGCAGACTGACATTGACATTGACGACTTTACTGACCTGGTAGAATGACACTGACGACTTTATAGGTATGTGACATCGACAACTTTCTGTACTGGCAGACTTAGACTTTAATTAACTTCCTTGATATTGAGCATCGAATATTATCTCCCTTAACATACTGCCTGAATCATGTCCCTACTTCACAAAGTACGGATATATCTTCGAGTAGATATCTTCCTTATTCTGGTCAATGTTGATAATCTCCTTGACAAACCGGTTGATGTCCCGAGGTACAGCCGAGGTAATGCCCAAATCATCCGAACATACGAGAAGCGTATCTGGTTTCAAGTTCTTGAGAAGGTTAAAGTAGCCCTGAATGTTCTTGCAGTTGAGAAGCTTATAGTTCTGGATGAGCGTACGAGGTAACTTGGTAGCCAGCCCATCGTTTTCGTCGCTAATATTACATGCTAAGTCATCCAATGATAAATTTGGAGGAAGAATAAACGTCACGTTTTCAGAGTTCATGAGAATATCATTTAGTGGAAGTTGCGAGTTGAGTACCGAGTGCGAAAGCGTCAACGCTACCGACTTATTGGTATATTTCTTGCGACTGATTTCCGAGGTTTTTTCTGATGGTTTTAGGTAGTTGTTGTAGATGGAATATGAAACAGCCACGGCAGTCGATACGGCCACCGCTACTAACCATGCTCTGGGGTTCTTCTTGCGTGCCATTATATGTTAAAAAAGCGAAATTTGGATATTAATTGGTGCAAAACAACCCCTTGGCGATACAATCACCTTATGTAGACAAGCGGCTCAGAAATGTTGACCCGGCCGCGCGCGACCACGTGACTGCCCCATACTAAGAGCGGCGGGTAACCGCAGGGGCGCGAAATTACCGACCCAACATCCTGCATCTGCCGATGGAGGGGAATGCAGGAGGCGGAGGGGAGTAGAATCAGGGTAGTTTTACGACTAGAAAATGTGGGGGGGATCACAGAAATTTAAAAGTGTGACATCTCCCGTTCACAAGCACAAGGTACATTGGTACACCAGTATTAATACAAGACTACACTGAAATATTCGATCATCTTCGCATTCTATGTATTTTCAGAATTTGCACAGAATTTGCAGCCATGTAGATATTCTTCGAATTTCTTCACTCGTCTTCGATATGCTTCAAGCATGTGTTCATCTCGTCCTCATCCAACGATCTGATATATAAGCACTTGGATAAGAGGTCGTCATTGACGTCAATCTTGTAATTATTTGACCACTCAATGCATTGCGACAACGACTTGACAATGTATACCGAGGTTCGAAACCGGGAAAAGTTAATCATCTTCTCTTCCAGACCAGACTTGATGGTAGCTGGTCTCTCTGCGTTGAATATCAAATCCGACAAGTAAAGTCCCACGAATGGAATACAACCTTTTGACGGCTTGATTTGGTTAATACTCAACCTAATGTTCAAAAAGTTTTTCACCGGTGAAGTCAATTCCTCCAAATTCTTCAAACTCAAGATGTCTCCTGGCAGAAGGTTTTTCCACGTTTCCTTCAAGTGGCCAATTTTCTCCGACGTGAGTGCAAGTAAAATTTGCATCATGCTGGCGTAATTCTGCATAGCATAACAATGCTGAGCTATATGGATGAATCTGGAAATCAAATGGATCCGCTCACTTTGAGCCTTGGTCAATAAGATCTCGGATATCACCCAGTTGACCATCAAGTTGAACCGAGATATCACAAGATTCACACCTTTGTTCTTGTTGTAGTATATTTCGTCAACGATTATCTCGAGCCAACTGTTGACCGGTGTGAGCTCTTGGCTCCACTTGAGCTCGATGAGCTCCTTCCAGTCGATATCCTTTAACATGTCACTCTCTATGAACGTAAAGTGCTCAGCCACCGTTTTCGAGTCGTAGTTCAACACAAACGAAACGTGCAAGTTTGCGTTCAAGACGTTCTCCACAGCCAACACTTCGTTGGAGAAAGTATATGCTTCCAAGATATCCTTTGGTGAGATTGTTTGGGGACTCGAAGTGCTCAGAGGCATAAACGTGAGAGGCCGGTCGTTCATCATGGGAGTGATTGTCTGCCGTTTAGCAGTCGATTTCTTGGCGGGAGTCAATGGAGGTTCTTGAGTCACTTCACTCAATGTCGAAACCTCAATAACGTCTCTGGTATCAGCATTATTAATTTGCTCCAAAATGTCCTCGGTGTTTTCATAACTGACGTCGGCGCTGACATCCGCAACTTGCTTCTGCCCTTTAGGAGTAGAATCTCCTTCTAGTTTGCGCAATGCAAAGGTGACTGGGTTGTTGTTCATCGACTCGTCAGGAATCGCTGCAAGTTCTTTCAAAACGTAGTTACTGATTCCCGGAATTGCAACAGAATTGGTAGAGCTTTCGCTATGACCATTTTCAGTCTTGAACTCACTCGCAAGTTCATTTTCCCCATATTTTCCTTGCATTGAAAAGATCGAACTGTCAGAGATTACCAGAGTCACTTTGTTGTGTCTCTGAGCCAAGTTTATCGAGCTCTCAGACGCTTCGGCATCTTGGAAAGGAAGCTCTGTGAGAGCACAGAGAGTACTCATTCGAATGCTTTTCCTGAGAGAAGATGATCTCGAAAGAAAAGACGCAAACGAAGCAACGTTGGCACGTCTCTCCTCATTGGTCCTAGGAATCCCCACTGCTCTCAAATTATTGAACCCTTCCATTCTTCTCAAATTTCCATACTCGTCTTCTTTAGAGTGACCGTTGCTGATGGAAAATGCTGAATCGTAGCTGATATACGATTTTACCGATCCTCTACTGCTCATTCTCTTTGCTGAGGATCCTCGGGAGTACATGGAAACCCTCCTTCTGTTATCGTTCATACTGATTCTCTTCACCGAGTCGACCTTACCGCGAGGACTGAGAGCAATTCCCAAGTCTGCTACTTCAGCCTTGTACTGGGTGATGTTGCTGAACGCTGACATAGAAGACCCAGAAGAGCGAGTGAGCTCTTTAATAGGTTCTGGTAGAGGACTTGTCTCACGCTGTGAAGTGCTGTTCAGTTTTGACATAGATGGCAGTTCTTCGAGGTCCAAGTTCACCTCGTCGTTCCAATTAATGCTTGTTGGTCTCCGAAATGATGGGTCTGTGGACCTGAATTCGGGTGTTGGATTGTCGTCATATTCCTCATAGTTAAGAAGATTGTCGATCTTGGTGATATTAAGTGAGGAGATGTCATTAATGTCCATGTTGTTTGACGAAGCAGTATCGTTGGGCATGCTTTGGTCGGTCGTCAACTCGTCACTTGGCAACGGTGGTAATTGTTTGGCAGGTGATCCCAAGGTCCCAAACTGAAACTCATCTTTTTCCAGGTCACTTTCAAAGTTTTCCACAAACGCTGAGCCGCAGCTTTGTCCTTTTTCGTCGTTGGTATCTTCGATTTCTCCTTCCAATATCGTCTCACGAGCAGGATCATTGTAAACGTAGAACCTAATGAGATACTCTAGCTCGTCCACAATTCTAGCACTCAAGATATCTGACCGTGGACCCACAAAAGTTTCTTGTTCTTCCTCGTTCTTTGCAATTCTCTCGCCGGCCTCTAAAGGTTCCATTTTGGAGTCATGGTGAATAAAAGATTTCTTCCAGCCATCTACAATTTTCTTCATCGATGAGCGTCTGCCAAACTCTTCGTCCTCTGGCGCCCTAGGTGGTTGCGGCCGTTTCTTTGTGGGAGAATCGAGGTCTTTAATCACGTAGTCCATCTTCTTTACTGGCGTTGGTGGAAGAATAAAGTTGACTCTTGATGTTGGCAATTTAACTTGTCCATTGGTAGAGAACCCATCCTGATTATAAGTATGAGTGGACTGGATAGTAGTGTCTGCCGACTCGTTTGGAGCTGAAGTTTTCTTGAGGCCCACGGAGGAGTCTTTCAATGTCATATGATTATGTCGGGTTGTCTTTTGAAGAGGCTTTCTCTGAGCCGGCAATGAGGATTGTGCTTGAAGCTGACGAACTTTATCGTTTATAGAAATGCGAGATGATTGGTGCTGAAGGAGTAAGGTATTAACTGAAAATTGAGGATTCTCGCTTCCGGCGGTGTTTTCGTCGACAATTAAACACTTGTGGAATTTCTGGTCGTAGAGAGAAAGCATGGCCGACCGTCGGTACGAAGGATTAGTATGGATCGACATTTCGGTATTGCTTTTGGAGATCTTGCGCAGATGGATATCCGATGTGAGCGGAAGGTAAAAAGTCGTCATATCGTGGATCAGGTCGATATCTATGCCTGCACCCCATAGTTCGTTGATCAGAGACAACCAGTGTACTTTGATATCACGGACTATTTTCAATTCGAAGTACATGTTCGGCTTGAGTAAATTCGACTCGAGAGCCACCAGATTAAGACCCTTAACAAAGTAATCACATAACTGAGGGTCGTTGTTAAAATCATCGACAAAATAATTGAGCAACCAGTGCCGTAAAACGACAAATGTTCGGAGAAGAACAAGACGTCCAGTATCATGTTTTGAAGCATCATTGGCGTTGATGTACTGAAGAGACCAAATAAGTCGGGTAAGTAAGAGTTCCATTACTTCGTGGCTATCTGTAAATGTCCGATACGTGAGAAAAAAGTCACATACAAAGCTGTAGTCGATTACATCGGGAGATGTGAGGTGGACAATCAATGCCTTCACCGTAGCATGATTAAGTACTTGTGGATTATTTTCATCGAACTTGGCCACTTTGGAAGAATTGAGTGCCAGAAGTGAAGGGAAAAATTGTTCGTCATCAAAAATACTTTCGTTGTGATTGTTGTAAATGTATGCGAATTGTTCATTGTTTTTTGTTGGTTCAATTGTCGATAATGATGGTTCTTCAAGTTCAAAGGAACCAGGAACCTTCACCAGACAATCAGGAGACATTTCCAGTGTTTCGGCTTGAAGATCATCCTCTGGAGCAAAAATAGAAGTTGAATCACCAGCGGATAAACCGCCGTTTGCCTCTTCCATAACACTTTCGGTCATCTTTTTCGTGCCCACGACCACGTTCTGAGCTTTTACTTGCAAAATAAGCTGTAAAACAGGGTAAAACCTTGCTTGTTTCTCAGCTAGGACTCTCCGGTGCTATTGGGCAGGGTGTGTGTTTGTTTGTTTTGCTTCGCGGTTGACGAGATCTGGGTTATATGCCGGATTTCCTATGATTAAAGTTTCAATTATAGCCGAAGCACCGAAGACAATTGAAGGGAGCCCGAAGGTGAAACAAAGGTGTAAACAAAGTGGAGAAAGAATGTTATGATTTTTTAAGTTGAATCGCAGCGATGCGACTGTTGCATAGATATACGTACGGTGGCTGCAACTTCATGCACAGACGCTGCACCTTCGGCGCGAGATTTGCAACTGTCAACAATAGACAGGAATGTAGATTACGAGACTATTAAAATGCTGAAGAAATGAAGACAAAGCAGGAATTGTAAATTGCGAGAAAAGATCGTGAACGAGATCTACAATTAGAATCTCAATTAAGATTTGTAGTAATTATTTCTATAATTCTATGGTAATTATTCCTTTGTAGTATATTCCTAGTTTATACAGACCTCTTTTCTTCTACTGTCCAGTTTTCATATTATTGGCGATTGCCTCTTTCAACGCTGCAAATGGTGAGGTTTTGAATGTGGGATTCTGGAGAACATGGTTAAACTTTTCGTGCTCTTGGCGCATTATCACATTACGGCCGCTTCTTTTAACGGCATTAGGTGCGTTGTCACGCCCCTTTGTTGAGGCTATAAACTTGGGCTCGTCATCATTTCGTGGTACTTCAGCCGCTATGGTGCTGAGAAGATCATTCATTTGTGGCTTTAGCTGCTCTCTAGCCTTTCTTTTACGTCGACGTAAAGCAGATTTCGAAATGCCTGAAAGATTGCTAAGCGCAATCAGATTGTGGAAACTGGTTGATTTTTCATGCTGTTTGTCTTTTTTGGACGTTTTCAGAAGTTTCAAAAAGGGATTTTCGTGATATGGTTCGGGTTTAATGATCTTGGAAGACGAGTCCGTAGACTTTGAAACTTTTTCGCTTCTTGCAGACTTGCTGCGCAACGTAGACCTTTTCTTGGTAGCCTGGGTTAGAAAGAATCCCTATTTGAGACCAAATATTGTAAACTTACCATTCGGTGTAGACGTTGGTGAAATGAGAGAGATGAGATGAAAAATACGGACGTACTGCATAGTTGCGTTCCCCGGATTCTGAGAATAGAGAGAAGAGTAAAGTGAGGAATGAAGAAAAAGCCAGGTAATTTGGCTAAAATTGGTTTTCGTTTGATTTTGCTTTCAATTCATGTTTGGCAACGAAAACTTTTATATTTTATGTTTTGGAAAAATTGCAGAAATTGCAAAAAAGCAAATTAGGATTAATTGAAATTTAATTTCATATTTTTAAAGCAATTCATATAAACACCTTCTGTTCTGCAACAGCTGATAAAAACGCTCTCACTGCTGTTTTATCTTCTACCATTTTCTTATTTCTTGTCCCTATTCCCTCTCTTCTCCCCACGATGTGGTGCACGGGTGCTCGAAAAATCAAACTTATCAGGCGAAGAGCTGATAAAAGTACCTTTAGCTTATACTCAAAAGCACCATATTTTAGATTTTGAAGCCAGTAGACACATTCTAAGACGTCTAATGGGCCTGAAACAACCTCTTGGAACTCCGTTTAGCATTTTGGTATTGTCTATTTTTTGACATGAGTTCGATCGCACATGGCGATGAGCTCAATCCGGTGTCCTTTGGCCGTGAGAAAGAGGCGTTGGATGGCTACGGTGACGAAATATCCGCAGATCTATCGTTACTGAAGATGCTTGACGAAAACTCGCCGCAAATAATCGAGCCAGAAGCATCGAAATCTTCATCGTCGTCGGTGTCGGTAACAAACGAATCAGTATTGGGATCCATAAATAAAGTCAAAGATGAAGACCAGTCCAAGATCTCCGCATACGCACGGCTAGATTTCGAAAACTACACATTCTACGTGCAAACTTTGCAAGTTATACTCGGACGACGGTCAAATGATAAACTCATGCAAGGGTCCCACCATACGGTGGATGTTCATATCAGTTCCAAAAAAGCCATTTCGAGAAAACATGCGAAAATCTTCTACAATTTTGGTACCCAGAGGTTCGAGATCTCGATTCTTGGCCGAAACGGGGCGTTTGTCGACGACTTATTTGTGGAAAAAGGTGTTACTCTTCCTTTGGTAGATGGTACTAAGATTCAAATTGGTGACATTCCTTTTGCATTTCTACTCCCATCCATCGATCCTCCCGATAACGTTACCGTTGCGGCAAAACCATTCAATCCCACCGATGCCATAAACTTGAGAACAAACTTGTACTCACGATCCACCTCCAATTCTCCCACCACCAAGTCGTTGGAATATTCCGATAATGTCGACCCCAGTCTCTCGGATCTCGACCGCCAAGTAGCCTCACTCACACCATTAATCGAGGACCATACTGGTGTCAAGGAAGAAACGAAACCTCCACTAATGGGCAAACCTGCCCGAATGGGTAAACCTGCAATTCCTCCTCGATACGGCCGACCCGCCAATCTTTCCGGCTCATCTATGTTAGGAATACCAGCGCATTTGGTCCAGGGAGGTTCTGCTTTGAAAGTAGCTCCTGGATCTTATCCTGGGGGAATGGGTTATCGTCCTTCCGTACCTCGCTTGGAGGCTCAAATTCGAACATTGACTCCAACCCAACCAACCAAAATTAGCCCAGCACCAGTAATAACAGTTTGCACTCAACCTGTATTGCCGTCGGTGCTAGCTCCCACACCAGTGGCTACAGACGGTTCATCTACCATCAAAAAACGTGAACCCAAGAAAAGTGTTCATACCGCTGAGGAAATACCAGAAAAGTACCGTATCAAGCCAAATATCCATTTTGTGTCCATGATATCGTTAGCACTTAAAAAGGGTCCGTTGACCATCAGCGAGATTCAAGAAACCATCAAGGAACTTTTCCCATACTACAAGTACTGTCCTGATGGATGGCAGGTTTCCATTAGCCACAATTTGCTTCTTAACAAAATGTTCTCCAAGGTGGACCAACGAGAAGATGGTTGGACTTGGAAAGTGGACGAAGAATATTTCCACGAAAAGGAAAATGTTCGCCAAAAGCAGCAGGAACTCGCCAATGCTCGTGCCAAAGAAACTGCTATACGGTTAGAGGAAGCCAAGTTGCGCAAGCCTACTTTTGGAGCCCAATCTCAATTTCTTTCACAATTACGCCAAGGAACCCAGAAACAAAAGACAATTGCAGAACTTGCCAGCGAGATCAGTCGTGATGGACGCAGTCCGTATACCAGCTCGATAAAGGAGCAGCTAGCTGCGAACCGGTCGCAGTCACCAACCACCATAAGCCCAGGAAACCATTCAGGAAACAACCCCATAAACTCAGGAAGCAGCTCAGTCCATTCTCCAGTCAATTCCGTCAATTCATCCAATTCCATCAATTCTTCGAGTCCTTCACCCACCACCAATTCGAGTGGTGACACCAAAAAGGCACTTGCCTATGTCCAAAAAGAGCTTTTTACCCTCTACAAGGCACGCAAACTCAACTACGATACCACAACAACCACCGAAATCATCACTAAAGCACTTACTACCACCATTGCTCAGGTCAAAGTAGTGGGTGCAAAAGCTGGATGCGGCGATAATGCACTTGGATTTTTGGTGGAAAGAGCTCCACAACAAGTGAGCAAGATCCTTGATATAGCATTGAGCAAGTCTATCCGTGACAAAGAAGCTTCTGTTTCTCCATCCAAACGGTCTTATGAAGAAAACTACCCACCGGCAAAGAGATAATAATCAAGTCGCACTGCAGATAATAGATTCGCATATTTAATCCATCAATGCACCCGTAGCCCGCGCACATTTCGTGAACGAGACTCTCATCCACTGTTCAGTGGCAACTACTCTTTCTCGCCACATATTTGTTCAGAATGAATTCCATTGCACAGAAATACTCCTACGAAAACAGCGATTCGGTATTGGAGGCCAAAAGTGCCACAAGTGCACATATGGCTGATCTTCAACGAGGTCTTGCCCCCACCATCCAAGTGCCTCCAATTTCCCAACCAGCAGCTTTTCTTCGGGCTCACACCGACGACGCCTCCAACCCCGACTGTAAGATCAAAATAGCACACGGAACCACCACACTTGCTTTCAGATTCAAGGGTGGAATCATCGTGGCAGTAGACTCGCGAGCCACGGCCGGCAACTGGATTGCGTCCCAAACCGTGAACAAAGTCATCAGAATCAACCCAATGTTGTTGGGAACCATGGCAGGAGGTGCTGCCGATTGCCAGTATTGGGAAACATGGTTGGGAACACAATGTAGACTCCATGAGTTGCGGGAAAAGGAGCGTATTTCCGTGGCAGCAGCATCAAAAATATTGAGTAATTTGATCTACGAATACAAGGGAATGGGATTGAGCATGGGTACGATGATTTGTGGTTATACCAAAAAAGAGGGCCCCACAATCTACTATGTGGATTCCGATGGAACCAGACTTAAGGGCGATTTGTTCTGTGTCGGTTCTGGTCAAACCTTCGCCTACGGTGTGGTGGACGCCGGCTTAAAGTGGGACATGTCGGTCGAAGATGCATTGTATTTGGGTAAACGAGGCATTCTTGCAGCCACTCATAGAGATGCTTATTCCGGTGGTTCCATCAACTTGTATCATGTGACGGAACAAGGTTGGGTCTACCACGGCAACCACAATGTGGGCGATATCTTCTGGGACATCAAAGAACAAGAGGGTTCGTTCAATAACGTGGAAGCTTAGACAAGTTTAGTCTCCACAATATTGATAGATCGGTTGCATAACGCTCACGTGCCAGGGCTCGGCCCCACACGTGCGATTATATACACAACCGCAGCCACCGGTGCACCAGCGTTTGCTCGCTGGAATGGCGGTGCGAAATCTCTGAAAAATTTGCGAACCATAATATACAACCATGTCTGCTAAAGCCCAAAACCCTATGCGTGAGCTTCACATCGAGAAGTTGGTGTTGAACATCTGTGTCGGTGAATCCGGTGACAGATTGACCAGAGCTTCCAAGGTTTTGGAACAGTTGTCTGGTCAAACCCCAGTTCAATCCAAGGCTAGATACACCGTTAGAACTTTCGGTATCAGAAGAAACGAAAAGATCGCTGTGCACGTTACTATCAGAGGCCCCAAGGCTGAGGAGATCTTGGAGAGAGGTCTTAAGGTTAAGGAATACCAATTGAAAGAAAGAAATTTCAGTGCCACCGGTAACTTTGGTTTCGGTATTGAAGAGCACATCGACTTGGGTATCAAGTACGACCCAGGTATTGGTATTTACGGTATGGACTTTTACGTTGTCATGGGAAGAGCCGGTGCCAGAATTGCCAGAAGAAAGAGAGCTAAGGCTGTCATTGGTAACTCTCACAAGACCAACAAGGAGGACTCTATCCAATGGTTCAAGCAGAAGTACGATGCTGATGTGTTGGCTAAATAAGCACTAATATAGGTGGAATCTTTGGAAAGCTGTAGTATTGTAGAGGCAGACATGTCTTTTTCCACTAATGTTCAGCATGATCGATGAGGTTTAGATCCTTTGAACTGAATAGTCTAGACATAAACTGCTGGTTAGCTCACTATCGTAGTCGTCAAGGGAAGCTCTTGAAACAAACCAAAAATCATATCGGAGTCATAGTCAAAGTAGCATCAAATCAAAGACTTTGGTAAGATATTTCTGGTGGAAAATGAAAAATTTGTACTTTTGTAAGATTTTGGAATCTTTCAAGACGAATTGTCTGCTCATCTCGTCAATGAAATCTACTTTAGCTGATCAGAGCATTCAAAACAGCTCTAAGTCAGCACAATACGAATGAAGACTTGAATGAGAGGTAGTATACTTGAGTCAAATTTATTACTAGCCACTTCAAGTATAGTATTATTTGATTTGAGCTGTTGCTTCTAGGGATTTGTGATGAATAAGAATTAAGTATATGCTTAAAGTCAGTACTTTTTTAGATTACTTTCTGTGTGTAAGTAACGTTTAGGTCTCTTGTTCGTACTGTATTTAGGCTTCATTTCAAAGCAGTACCCTACTACTTAAATGTTCCGTATTCTTTGATGGCGAGAGAGAAAAGTAGTAAGAACCCTATTACGGCATTATAAAATCCATGACCTATTAATCTCTAAACTGTTGCAGCCATCTCTTATGGCCCGGACGAACTACGATCACATGACTTATTTTTTCGTGTGCGGGTTAGATTCGTAATTTAAATCTCTGAGATCTTGATTACACTACTGAGGAGACTAATTTTACAACTCTAATCTGTCGACTTTTCTGTGATATTTTGGAGGATTCTACACCATATCAGCACCCCAAATTCAAATAGCTGGTCTATTAAGTCGAGAAATTCATTTTGATACCGATTTTTGTCACTTTAATCGGTTACCACTTTTTACTATATTTTTATTGACGTCATTATAACGTTTATTAGCGGTCATTTTGCACAATACAGATTATGGTAGCGGATACGTATCATAGTTTGGAATATCTTCCTTACGTTGATAATACTGTAACTCCCGAACAAGTTGCTGAAGTTGAGTCACTCATCCTGAACGAATTACGCAATACAAACACCACAGCTGTACATCCGCTAGTTGAGAACCTTCTCCCGCTACCGCTGTCCCGGTCAACTTCGTTGTTGAGTCAAGAAATAGAGCGCTACGAAGAAGAACAACCAGAAGAAGATGAACCAATCATAGACGGCATCGACACTTCCCGATACTCCGACGACGTCGACAACTATACCAACCTATCATATTCCATGCTTGAAAAACGCAACTTGGAACTAATGGCACAGAACCAGCAAAACATGCAAGCGTCGTGGCGCCGACATCTTCAGCATTTGGGAGAGGTGGAGACAAACTACGAGCAAAATTTGGGAGACAAAAGAATTCGCAGCGAAGAAGTCTTGTCAGAGCGTAAAAGAAGGCAATTGGACTTTGAGCCCGTGGGAGAGTACCTCGAGCATAGATGGCGCGATGGCTTGCGATCGATGGTGAACATGGGGATGAATTCGGAAATGAAGTAGCTAAATAGAGTAACGAAAAAGTAAAAAGGGCATAACTTGGTTTAGTTATATATAGTACAGGAGAGGCCGGCCTTCTCATCTATAAGTTCTTGTCAATTATTCTGCCGTCTTCGCTTCGCTATCATGTCGCTCTTGCTGCTTCCCACGTTAGTAATCCGAGGACACCCCTCCCTGTCCTTTTCCATCTGCACACACTCCAAACAGTAGTACGCTACAGATCCATACTGGCTATTGACTCCAAGACCATTTCCACAAACTATACATTTATTTCCCATATGGCCCAAACCGCACTCATCGCAGATTCGAACCCGAGCTGCGGGTTTTACGAAAGAGTCACATATGGGACATCTGCCGTCACACAGCAGACATAGCATGCCTATGTGAGTGCCTGGGCGCTTCATGCATTGGATCAAGTCGTACTGGTGGCGAGACATAGGAGTGGTTACTGAAACCTAAAGGTTTGTTTCTGTGAGATGGCACCAGTGCACCTTTTCCGGGGTAAAGAGTATAGGGATTTTAAGCACAAGTAACATTGATTACCACATTTGAACAAGTATTTTTGAGTGGGATTTTTTCAAAAGTCATTTGCAAGTTGCTGAGAACCACATAATATTCTCAGATCAAGGACAAGTCTCGCTCGTACATGTCAGATGGAAGAGTGCACAATTTGCCTCGAGGGTATTTTGCCACATACCGATCTTGGAGTGGTTTCGGGGTGCCGGCACCATTACCATGAACACTGTCTACTCCAGTGGTGCTCCCATTCGAATTCGTGTCCTTCTTGTCGACAATTATTCAACGCTGTGTTCGTAGTAGACCAGCAGACCGGTTCAGTAAAAAGGCGAGTGGTGATCCAAAACAAGATTTTATTCACAGATTCCATAGAAAACATTCCCCTGGAGTATGTCAACCCGCCAGCACCTCCGGAAGACGAAGATATACCTGCTGGCTTGTGTTCTCTTTGTTCCTCTTCAGATGTGCGAGCACTGACAGCGCCGATGATGAAGTGCAATTCTTGCTTTGCCGGGTTCCATTTGCGATGCTTGGGGATAACCAATGTCAGAGATAGCGGGATGGATCCTACATGGTGTTGTCCAATGTGTGATGTTTCTCAAGACGTGGTGATTTCCGGACCGTCTCTTCTCCCACATCGACCTCATCGAGTTCGCAATTGGCGACCCACTTCGATGGCTTCGGCGTCTTTGGTGCTGGCACCAAGAAGAAGAAGCAGCTCCGAGGGCTCTACAACAAGAATCCCAGCAACAACTGAACGCTCGGGACGACTTATTATCCACAACGAGAACGGCGAGCTTGATGATTCGTTCTTGTATACCGACACTCCCCATACCCAGTCGCGGCCCATGCTGCTTAATGGAGGCGTGCTCAGTCGTCGAGAGACCCGCCAATGGCAAACTTTGACCCCAGAAGAAATCCAGTCGTGGAATATGTTCCACCAGGCGAGAGAAGGTGCCGACCAAGAATACACCCAACCTTCACCCATCAACGATTCCAGACGAAAACGAAGAAGAAAACGAGACGTGAACACAAGCAACGCAACACCCACCAATCAAACTCTCGAAAACTCTCGAGCCTCAAATATGGTGCGACCCAGTTTTTCTTCAATCATGAACCAAGTCCGCAACGGCCTGTCTCATTCCCAAATTCCCCATTCGTCTCCTCCTCGAAGCGCCAACCATTCTCCACCGGGAAACAGCCCCATGGACGGCACGGGAAACGGAGACTCAGACTCTCAACTGGACGCCGACACTCGGACTTTTCACCAAAAACCCGCACTCACATTGGATCAAAAAACCTTGATTCAAAAGCATATAAGAAACTACCTTCGTCCGCTCTACAAACCAGGAAACACCCACAGTCGAATATCAAACGAGGAAGACTATATTCGCATCAACAAAAGTGTTTCTCGCAAAGTTTACAGCTACGTCTTGTCGTTATCGTCGCCCGAGAATGGTACGATCCACGTTACATTCATCAACGACTACCTCCACGACCAAACCAGCTTGAAGCAGACGGTAGACCGGTTTGTGGAGGAGGAATTGCGGCTAGCTAACAAGTAAGAATACCTACCTTCTTCTAGGACCCTTGGGACGACTAATGCGCTTCACACCGCCAATTTCTCCTTCTTGTTTGCCCAGCAACGAGCTCACTTCGATCTCATCGACGTCTCCAGCATCAATGACTTTGTCTACCAGAACTATACCCTTGATGTGGTTGATCAAACCTTGCTTGTTGGAGGCATATATCATCCTTTCCTTCACTTTTGAACCAGAAGGGCAGCAGTAGATGAATGCAAAATTGGCATCCCCATACTTGTAGACAGCGTAGATTGGATGCGGATCTTTCAGAATAATGGAGTCAAGGTGGCTGATCAATGACGATGTAGATACTTGCAGATTTGAATCTACCAAATTGACGGTTTCTTGGGCAATATCTATATCGAAAACCACAAGGTTTTTTTCGGCCAAATTTGCCAATTCCGCCTCAAGTTGCAGGCTCAATCGAAAGAGCAACATACTACCAGCTTTCAGGTTCTCCATTGGCACCATGCGACCACGATCTAAAGTCTGGATGTTCGCAAGGTCATGAACATGTTTTTCATCCAGCGACAAAACAGCTTCTGTCTCATTTCCATGAACAAAATTCGAATGCGACACCTCGCTGGGCTCCGTCCACGCAAAAGTGTGCTTGTTCTTAAAGTTACTGGTTCCCAATTGTGTCATCAACGTATTCTTCGTCGAAGCATAAAGCATTTTTTCTCTAACCGGAGCCAGATCCGGGATGAAACTGATAAACCCATAAGTATCCTCATGGGGCACCACAATGTAAGCCGGACGAGGAAAAATCTCGTCGAGATAGCGATTTAGTTTGACAAAATTATCGGCTAAATCGGTACCGAAATTTGGAGCGTTGTCATCGGGGACTAGTTGCGTGTTGTCCTCGGACACCTTGATCACAAGAGGACTGCTGATGTTTTTAAAGGCGTCCAAAAGACCCTCGGAGGCTACAATTCCCGATTTGGTAGACATGTATCGAAGTCCGGAGTGTTCGCGGTGTAAGGATTTCAAAGTTGGTGAGAGTGTTGTAGATCCACATGCAGGCCCATCTTCTTCAGTATGATTCGGAGGTTCACCACTATTTCAAGGCAAAGCAATCTTTTCGGAGGCAGGGTGATTGGCCAGAAATTGCAGGCTCCGTCCGGAAAGTCGCAAACAACCGCTAATCCGGTGGATATGATAAAGAAGAATGATATTCTTATGTTCTCTCAAAAGCCGATGAACTATGTCGAATCGGTGAAAAAAAATGGGTTTCATTTGGCCAATAATCTCTTGATAACATCGCCCAATTCGAAGGGAGACATCGTGGGAACGCTTTTGTTGGAAACAGAGTCTTTTGAAGTGAACTTATCTAACGCATACAAAATTATTAATGGATTTATTGTTGAATTTGATGAAGAAATTCTTCAAATTTTCACAAAAGTCCACCCTAAACCCGAGTTACTTGTAGTGGGACTCGGGCACAAGTCGCGGATCCTCAGCGAAGCCAATCGAAAGTACTTGTCTTTTCTAGGAATGCAACTCGAAGTGAGCGACTCCAACATTGCGGCACAGAATTACGACTTGTTAGCTACAGAAAGACCAAATGTTATTGCTGCATTATTACTTCCGCCCAACGTGTGAGCACGAACACTCACTTTTTGGTTTAAGACTGCTTCTCATCGTACCGCATGGGCACGAGGATGGGCTGGCCATTGGCACCCATTACAGGCACCATCTGAGAGAAGTATTCGTCGTCTGGAGATGACTCGTTATTAGGTACCGGGTAATTTACCACGTTCTGGTGTTGTGGAGTGCTCATCATCATCACCATCGGTCCTTGTTGCATGTCGTGGTATGTAGGTGGCCTCGATCCCGCTGGTGGAGGGGGCATGTTGTGGTACCCTTGCATGACGTATTGCCCATGGTTTGCTGGAGATGGCTTCTCAAACACCTTGTCGAGAAAATACTTGCCGTTGGGAGTGGTGGTGGATGCGTGTTGGCCGGCAATTTCAAATGAGGTGTGGTCTGTGCTCGCGGAAAGATTGAGATGGCTGGTGTTCATCGAATTATTGACACTATTTTCCTTGGAGTCAGACATTCCAGGCTGGAGCGATGCAGGTGGTGGAGGCTGGATAGGCCTCGCTTGGTGAATGACATGATTTTGTGGATACATGTACATTGGTTGCATGGGAGCGTTGTGCACGTCAGGGCTATCGTCCCTTTTCTTCTTTTGCTTTTTCTTCTTGTTGCTCACTAGCGACTGGACGTCTGTAAATACAATTTGAAATTTGTTCATTCCCGCTTGCATCTGTGATCGATTTTTCATCACCTTATTCTTTTGTAGCGGAGGCCGGTAATCAGGTCGCTTGGTTTTCTCGGAAAATACTCCCATACGAGGCTTCAAGCTCTCGTCAATCGCTGTCTTTTGAGGCGTAGGACTGGCTGGAACCGTCTTTTGGCGTTTTTCTGAAGCTGGTGGAGAACGCACCGCACTCGACATGATGAGAGTAGAAGGAGACGAAACTGGCGCTGGCGCTTTCGGGGTCTCGACCAAACGTTTACTGGGAGTGGTTGTGTCTGTGTTGGTGTTCTGAGCATTGAAAACCGTTTTGTTCGTTTCCTTCAATGGAGGCCGAGACGGGGTCTCTTTGGCCAAGTCTTTGATGACGACACTGGAGTGGCGTTGCGGAGTGTCGAGCTCTGTGATGGACCGCTTCTGGGCGCTACGAGGGTCGTGGAATATCGACTGTTTAAACGTCTTTTTGTCGCTTCCAAATTTGAATTTGGATGGAGTAATCGTTCCCACGTCTTTGAACGGGGTCAGTTTGATGGGAGTATCGATGAAAAAATCCGTGAGATGAAGAGATTTGTCGTAAAAGGGTGTCATGCTAGGAGCGCCGGCGCTATTAGTGTTGGAATTGGCATAAACATTTAGGTTGTGGGTGAGAAATGGCGTCAAATTGAGCCCCAGTCCGTAGTCTCCATCGGCCCCCAGGTTGGCAAGAACACCGTTAATGAGTTTTGATGTGGGTGTGGAGCTGTACGAGATCACCTGGTCGTTGTAGATGGTTCTAGCAATAAATGGTGAATATCCGCTGATGTTGGAAGGAAGTTGTTTTGTAGCAGAAGGCGGAGGAAGCACCCTTGTAGACTTTTCTTTGTCATTCCCCAGTCTTCCGTCGTTGTAGAGCTCCGGATCGATGTGCCGAGAAGGCGACGAGTTTAAAAAATCCGACATGGGCGGTAAAAGCAATTGGAGACGTTTTAAGGGTGGATTATATGAAAGGAAGAAAACACCGGAAAAACACGGCTATGCAAACAAATAAGCAAATAAGCAATGACTTGTGGAAAACGAGGGAATAGATCAGTATATGTTTTTTTAAAGAAGAAAATAGTCAACTATATTCATCAATAGCGATTGTTGAGGATCGAAGCTTTGTTTACAAAAACTGGGCGGTACCATCTCTCCTGCATGCAGAAATTCGCGTTTTGTGTCACCGGGACTATTCCGCGCAGCGCAGTGACACTAGGTGTGTTCCCCCGCGCGGTGCATAATAATGCATCAAAATATTGCATCTCAATGCTTCACTTACAGATTGATTACAGATTGACACAGATTGACAACGATTAAAACAAAACTAGTAGTACATACCTAAGCGGCAACCTTGGCATCGTTCTCCCATTCCTGCTCGGTCACGTGCATGTTTTCGGTGTCCTCAGCCAAATCATCGGCGTCGTAATCGTCATGGGCAGCCAATGACAATGTTGGTCTCACCACGGCGGAGTCAAAAGTCCATGAAGCCAATGCGTTTTCGGCGTCAATGATGATTTGCTTAGAAGCTTCATAACCATCGTAGGCAGGACGGGTTTCACCAGGAGTGACTGGGGATTCGTCCAACAATTCCAACAATGCCTTTCCGTAACCAGCAATCAAGGCGATTTTTTCAGCGTGCTCGCGAATCGAGTCAAATTGGTAATTGAAAGCAGTCTTCAATTTTTCACGAGTAATGTTGGACAATTGAGCCTCGGCAACCAACGACTCGGCCTCGGCACGGACCAATTCCTGTTCCAACACGTTAATCTTGGGAGATTGAGGATCCTTGTATTTCAAGTAAGCAATTTGGTCGGTGATTTTTTGCTTTCTGTCACGCGAAGGTTGAACACTGCCCTCAATATCTCTAATGGACTTGATGGTGATACGGTATTGGTCGTATCTGTCGATGAATTGGTCTTCCAACTCACCAATCTCGTAGATAAGAACTCCCAATTTGTCAGTAATATCGGAAATATCATCATCATTTCCCTCACCCCAAAGTGACAATTGCTTAGCAACATCCTTACGTTCACCCGAAGTAATCTCAATAGATCTCATCAAGTTTTTCTCCATCTTGACCAACTGAGCCAACTTTCTAGCCAATTCTGGTCCCATGGCACCAGCAGCCGACTTTCTCAAGTTGTGAGAAAGAGACCCTTTACCAAAAAACCGGGATTTGGTGGACGAAGGAGGAGGAGGAGGCAGCTGCAATTGAGCGGCGGTAGGAGCCCTCTGGGATCTCAAAGAATACGTTCTGTGCATAGCGATTGGTTTTTTTTGCGGAGATTAAGTTTGCTGTACAATTCGAGACGAAGTGGTGCCAAAAATGTCGCCCCTTAAATGTGGGCGGGACGGGGGTCACACCCCCCGGGTGGCTGGCTGCTGGCCTTGCGACGCGCGTTATCTAAGCAGCGCCGGGCTGAGGTGGAATTCTTACATCAGCGGTTCCGTTTGCGGAAGGTTGTAAACATGGGACAATTGAGCTTAAAGTTGCAAACGTGCAGACAGCAGCATGACAGCAGCATGGATAAATTATGCAGTAAAATGTAGTAGGCTTGCAGCAGCATTATTGGACCGGCTGAACCCATGCATAACTTGGACGCCATCTCCATAGTTAATATGCACGGCTTAACGGCGATACGACCACCTCCATCGCGGTGCACTGGGTGTCCATATCGGACAAAAAAACCATATCGGGCTTAATTTTCAAGATCAAAAGAAGAAGCTAAAATGTTGCACTGGTACAGTCTGCTTTTCAAAAAGCACCCATTCAAAGCCAACATGACGTCTACCGGTATTTTTTTTGGTACTGGAGATGCCTTGGCACAGTTATTATTTCCTCATAAAGACGGCGATGAGTCAGAATTTAACTTTCAGCGTACTTTACGAGCCATGATCTATGGATCTTGCTTCTTTGCACCGATGGGAGTTTTATGGTATGGCCGCAAGCTTCCACTGTTAAAAAACCCATTTTTATCAGCAACTCATCGCCAGCAATGGCTGCAAAAGAAAGTTAATGCGGCTGATATTTTATACCGAGTTGGTTTGGACCAACTTTTTGTTCCAGCTTTGGTGTGGATACCCATGTACAACATTGTGATGACTACTCTTGCAATGCATGAACACCCGTTGGAAGTTGCTGCGGAAAAATTGCGTAACAATTGGTGGAATGTACTCAAGGCTAATTGGACTGTATGGCCTATTTTTCAATTGGCAAGTTTTACATTGATTCCCGTTCACCTTCGAATCGTGTGTGCCAACGTGTGGTCTGTGGGATGGAATTGTTTCCTAAGTTTTGCCCACAATACTCCTGGTCATGGAAAAGGAAGCGGCCATGTCATTGAGGAGTTGGTGGATATAGAGGATTCAGAACAGGAACAAACCATGGTTTATTCGTGAGGATATGATAGATTATAGAATAGAGTGATATCAAGTGTATGAGTGTATTGAGGTGAAGTGTACTTAATTGTATGAATGGTATTGGACAGTATTGGAGTGTGAACTGTCGAACTGTAACGGTTGCGAATTTATGAATTGTTGAAAGTGAATTCGTAAAGATTGAACTGTAAATTGTATGGATTGCTGATTATTAGTCTTTTCCTGTACAGTTTTAAAGTTCGATCAGTTGGAATTGTAAATTTGTTTGAATTGCTAAAAGGTTGCAAAATGCAAAGTTTAATTCAACGGCTGAATTTAACTGTGATTGGTAAATTATTATTCGAAAATCAAAATGTATAGAATAAATTCAAATACTAGCAATTTAGTTGTGTTTCAAGCTGACAAAACGCATCCGACTAATCTCCTGACTCTTTTCAAGTGCAATATTGTTAATCTTAGTGGTGTCTGTATGGTCTAATCTCCTGCATGCAGTCGTATATGTGCGTCGCGATCTCGGACTTGCTCCGTTTTTCGAGCATGTACTCGGCCTATAAAAACCTCCTTAGAACAAGACCCCTTACAACCAATTGCATTACTACTGGATTTCTATTTGCTACAGGTGACATTCTTGCACAAACTCAATTCTCCCATACTGATGACAACTCAAAACCACCATTTGATTTTAACAGAACTTTGCGGGCAACCATTTACGGAAGCATCATATTTGCACCAATTGGCGACCGATGGTATAAGACCCTAGCCAAAATCAAAGCACCCAGATCAATCTCCAACTCCAAAACAGACACTTTGGCAAGAGTGATGGCGGATCAGTTGGGATTTGCTCCTTTTCTAGGAGTTCCCTTGTACTACTCGGCAATGACATTTCTTGAAATGCGACCAAACCCAGCCAAGGAAGCCATTGAAAGGGTGGAGAATAACTGGTGGTCCACGCTTAAAGTTAATTGGTGCGTTTGGCCTGTTTTTCAACTATTTAACTTTGGGTTGGTTCCTGTTCAGTTCCACTTGCTCACAGTGAATGTAATTAGTATCGGTTGGAACTGTTATATTAGCATGCTCAATGCACGCCATGGAAAGATCGCGGGTGTTCCATTGGAAGAGGAGCAGGTGATGATGTGATCAGAAGGACCAACAATAAAACCAAAATTATTCAACTGAATAATTTGTCAAAGATCAAAAATCATTAAAAGTTAAGAATTGGAAATAATCACTAAAAAAATAGGGACAATTGACCACATTGACCACATAGGCCAGAAGCACAGAAGCACAATTGACACAATTGACCAGAAGCACAGATCACCATTACGTACATATTCTTATCTGATTACTTCATTTGCTCGTCTATCTTACATACACAAAACAACGGTTCATTCAAATTTCCAAATTCCAAACTATACATTACAATTGACCCTTTTTCAGAATTATTTTTTTCCACTTTACTCTCAGCTTCTCCATATTCTCCCTCTCTCACCTAGCTCTGTCTCCACCACCTCCCGTCCTGCATGCCACTCGTGTCGTGCGCGCGCAAACGGTGATCAAATTCCACAATACTCAAAACAACGTCCATAGTACTGTAGCCTGATCTATTCACTGCAGACTGGTTTTAACACTCCATTGACACCCCAAGTGTGCTCCAACAGCATACAGCTGGTCTAGTACAAAACTATCAATTTTCAACTATCATAGTTGTCGACCTTTTTTCGTGTCGTTTTCTGGACCCGATATAAACGCCAGAATCTGCCCGATTGAGCTCAACTAATTGTTGCTCACCCAACTGAACCAAGCACTAAACAAAAGCACGTCTCCGATTGAGCTGGTGTTGATTAAAAGTGCCATATTTGTCGACTTTGACTCTTGCTGTGGTGTGTTTCGGCTCCTAATTAGCCCCACATTTGCTCAACAATCCGAACAAACAGTCACTGCACCAACTCCCGATAAAAATTCACTCGTGGTCCCTATAACCACCCCCATCACTCATACCGCCCATCATGATGAAAGGCTTCAAGAACCGCCTTTCCCGCGGTAAGGGACAATCTTCCAAGAAATCAGACAAAAAAGAATCCAAAGACAAATTGGAGAAAAAGTCGTCTTCGTCATCGTTGGCTTCGACTACTTCGTCTCAGAACCAGAAACCAACGTCGGGAACAAATTCGGCATCTCCCTCGCCGTCTCGGAACGATAGCTCCAGTTCCATCAAGTCGCTAGACTCCGGGTCGGGTCGAAACACTCCCACCAACCAGGGAACGGATCGCGCTGCCTTGGCAGACCGCACACCAACGCAACTGCCAGGCCAGGAATCTCCAAAGATTGTTATCGACAACCCTAGTACTACAACGCATATTAACCCCGTTACACCAACCCCAACGTCTCCAACCACAAATGTGAATTATACGGCATCTCCTCCTTCCAGCATGGTTGGCGAAACTCTCAAGCCTGCCCCGGGCCACGCCGTCCATTCCCAGGCTCACTCTCCTCTACATGGACTTCAATTGAATCCTAACATTGCATCTCCAAATAGGGAAAACTTTGACATCGATTTGATTGTCACCCCCAAGAGACACTCCTCGTCGCGATTCGAGCCTTCGTCCTCCGACCGTTATCAAGAGATAACAAAACTTCCTGGTTTCGAGGAGGTTTTACCTGAAGAACAAATCAAGTTGTTCATCCAGAAGATTGACCAATGTAACATCATGTTTGATTTCGGAGACCCAACACATGACATTAGAGGTAAGGAAATCAAGCGTATTACTTTGCAAGAACTCATTCAGTTTATACTGAACAATCGATTCACATACACCGAGGAAATGTATAAGCATGTGGTAACAATGTTCAGAAACAATCTTTTCCGCCCAATTCCTCCCCCAGTTAACCCTGTGGGTGAGTTGTTCGATCCTGATGAAGACGAGCCCGTAAATGAACTTGCATGGCCCCACATGCAAGCTGTGTACGAATTCTTTTTACGCTTCATCGAGTCACCCGACTTTTCTCATCAGGTTGCCAAACAATATATCGACCATGAATTCATACTGAGAATTCTTGAGTTATTCGATAGCGAAGATCCTAGAGAAAGAGATTGCTTAAAAACAACGCTCCATAGAATTTATGGCAAGTTTTTGAGCTTGAGGTCGTACATCCGCAAGTCGATAAACAACGTTTTCCTTCAGTTTGTCTATGAGACTGAACGTTTCAATGGTATTGGTGAACTTCTTGAGATTTTGGGCTCCATCATTAACGGATTTGCATTGCCTTTAAAAGAGGAACACAAGATTTTCCTCGTGCGGGTGTTGATGCCGTTACACAAAGTCAAGTGCCTTTCGTTGTATCATCCGCAATTGGCCTATTGTATAGTTCAATTTTTGGAGAAAGACCCATCGTTGACCGAGGATGTGATCATGGGACTCTTGCGTTTCTGGCCCAAGATCAACTCGCCCAAAGAAGTGATGTTCTTGAACGAAATTGAAGACATCTTTGAAGTCATGGAGCCAAGTGAATTCCTCAAGATTCAGATTCCCTTGTTTGCCCAGCTTCTGAAGTGTATTGCCTCGCCTCATTTCCAGGTCAGCGAGAAAGTATTGTGTTACTGGTCTAACGAGTATTTTTTGACATTGATAACGGAGAACGCCGAGGTTGTGCTTCCTATTGTATTTGCAGCTCTCTACGAATTGACAAATGCCACCCAACCGGGTATTGCTACCGGTGCTATGCAACAGAAATTGTTGGAGAATCCCGATGCAACCACCGATGCCAATGGAAATCTCATTGATCGTGGATTGATATTGAGCGATATTAGCCACACTTCAATGGAACGCCATCATCATTTGCTGGACCCAATGGGAGCATCCATGAGAGGGATCTCGGACGAAGAGTACTATGATTCATTTTCGTCACCAGATCAAGCTGGTAATCTTGAGGATGAGTTTGGAGCTACAGGTCTGCTTCCACACAACTCCGCCACCTCCAACTGGAATAGGAGTATCCATCTGTTGGCATTTGGAGCGTTGAAGGTGTTTATGGACCATAATCCAATTCTTTACGACCATTGCACCATGTTATATCATCAATCATTGGAGGAACAGAAAGCCAGAGAAGCCGCCAGGAAAGAAGGGTGGAAACGCATCGAGGAGTATGTGAAGAACCTCAAGCTTCAACAGGAAGTCAGGGATACCCCAATGGCGACGTAGACTTTTTGGTGTTGCATTAGTTTATAAGAAACAAGAGGCTTTATCTAGTGGTGCATCGATGTAAAATCCGACACTATAAAAATATCGTGAGACTTGAAATTTTCAAGCATTCTATATTTTAGTATGTGCGACAAATGATGAATCTTAGCCTATGACTGATTTTCATGAAGAACAGTAAAAGAACCGCTACACTGATGTCCTCATGCTACTCACAATGCTATCTAGGTAGATTGTAAATTGGTAAAGTCACAAGTCCTGCAGGTAAGACTCTCCGAGGAGCTCCTCGGACCAGTTTCTGTGGTTTCTTATCGTAGCTAGCACATTCAAAGAGCCCTTTTTAGTGGCATCTTATCACCAGCAGCCAGTAATTCACCTCTCCGAGCACTATACGGGCATCTTCATCGCCCCAACGTAAGCTGGTGGGTGGATGTAAAATTTTCCCAGATTATAAATTAGCCTCATCTCGCATCTTTTTTTTTTGGCAAAGGCTGCCCATTTGCATACCCAGAACATTATTATGGTATTGAACGCATCGTCTGCTACTGCTCACCTCAAAACCTACAAGTCCAAGGATGGTTTGGACGTCAAAACCTTGATTGACTCCAGCAACTTTGGTGGCTTGACTTATAATGACTTTTTGGTGTTGCCAGGTTTGATTAACTTTGCATCTTCTGGGGTGTCATTGGACACCAAGCTCACCAAGAAGATCACTTTGAGATCGCCTTTCGTTTCTTCGCCTATGGACACCGTCACTGAAGAAAACATGGCCATTCACATGGCTTTGTTGGGAGGTATTGGTATTATTCATCACAACTGTACTGCCGATGAACAAGCTGAAATGGTCAGAAAGGTGAAGAAATATGAGAATGGGTTCATCAGTGACCCAGTTGTGATTTCTCCAGATGTTTCTATTGGAGAAGTGAAGCAAATGAAGGCCACCATGGGTTTTACTTCGTTTCCTGTAACTGGTAAGTGTTGAGTTTTTCTTTTTGTTTGTTTTCTCTATGATGATCAAAATCACATTTTATAACTTTCGTTCTACCGATTTCATCAAACGATGATGTGGAGAAATTTGTTACTGAAGAAAATCGAGATATTCTTTTGTGCTTTTACTAACTTTAGAAACAGGCAAAGTTGGAGGAAAATTGGTTGGTATTGTCACCTCGCGTGATGTCCAATTCCAAGAAGACCTTGATGCCAAGGTCTCAACCGTCATGACTACCGATTTGATCACCGGAAAGCAAGGTATCACTTTGACTGAAGGTAACGAATTGTTGAGAAGTTCCAAAAAGGGTAAGTTGCCTATTGTTGATGGACAAGGAAATTTGGTTTCAATGATCTCGTTGACCGACTTGCAAAAGAACCAGACCTATCCTCTTGCCTCTAAATCGTTCCACTCCAAGCAATTGTTGTGTGGAGCTGCCATTGGTACCATTGACGCTGACAAGGAGAGATTGGAGAAATTGGTCGAAGCTGGTTTGGACGTGGTTGTTTTGGACTCTTCCAACGGTTCGTCGATTTTCCAAATTAATATGATCAAGTGGATCAAGTCCAAGTTCCCAGAGTTGCAAATTATTGCTGGTAACGTTGTCACCAGAGAACAAGCTGCTTTATTGATCGAGGCTGGTGCTGATGCCTTGAGAATTGGTATGGGATCCGGATCGATTTGTATTACTCAAGAAGTCATGGCTTGCGGTAGACCTCAAGGAACTGCTGTATACAATGTGACCGAGTTTGCCAACCAATTCGGTGTTCCTTGTATTGCCGATGGTGGTATTGGAAACATTGGACACATCACCAAAGCTTTGGCTCTTGGTGCTTCGTGTGTCATGATGGGTGGTTTGTTGGCTGGTACCGCCGAGACCCCAGGTGAGTACTTTTACAGAGATGGAAAGAGATTGAAATCTTACCGTGGGATGGGTTCCATTGATGCTATGCAACAAACCGCTACCAATGCCAACGCTTCGACTTCGAGATACTTCTCCGAGTCTGACAAGGTTTTGGTGGCCCAGGGTGTTGCTGGAGCTGTTGTGGACAAGGGATCCATCATCAAGTTTATTCCATACTTGTACAATGGATTACAACATTCTTTGCAAGACATTGGTATTCAATCGATTGAGGAATTGAGAACCAAGGTTGATGCTGGAGAGGTGAGATTTGAGTTCAGAACTGCTTCTGCCCAATTCGAGGGTGGTGTTCACGGGTTGCACTCTTACGAAAAGAGATTGCACAACTAATAGTTTGTGTATTCAATGTATGATAAGCGAAGGTTGCATTTTCCTGCATGTAAAAGGGTTAAATGGGTGCAAATTACCAATGGGTGCAAATTAACCATTGGGTGCATTATTAGACACGATTCATATATACTCTATTTCAAAGTTCTTCTTCTCATTCCTATTCCTTTATTTTAGCGGAAGAGATACAATATCTTTTCCTTTGTTGTTTTAGGCTCGTACTTTTCCTGATCGGGCTTGGTTGGGTCCTTTCCGTTCTGGCCCTCTATGGCATTGTGAGTATCGCCCAAGTAGTAGTTGGTTTGCATGAAACTGATGAGGAAATTGAGAAATTCCAAAGCAATTGGAGGTGCAAACATGTAAACTGCAACATACGAATATGCTTTGATGGCACCTTGTCTTGCATCAGAATCATAAGGTAATGCACGCAACGAACTAACGTCAGAATAGAACCCAAACACTTCTTCATCACTATAGGTATCAGGGATAAATCTTCTCAAGTAACCAGGCAACTTTGACGACCAAATTGGAGCAGAAATGGTGTACCCAATAGCACTTCCTACTGTTGACCAAAGAAGTAATAAAGACATTACCAACGACAAGTCTTGATGAGGTACAGATGCCTGGGACGAGATTTGGGTACCAATGGTGGAGTATGCCGAACCAAAACCCATCAATACCTGACACATGACATACAGACCAGTATTAGCTGTGGTTCCTTGTGCGCGAAGAGGAAGACAGTAAGATACGCATCTGATCAAGATTCCAAACGATTGCATGTACTTGTAACGGTGGGTGATTCTGCAAGTGATTCCAGCGACAATACCAAAGAAACACAACGACATGGTCAAGGTATTATTAAAGTAGGTCCAATTTTGGTCAGACCAGTCTTTGGCAATCCACACGATAGTTGACAAATACTGCAGTCTGATTCCATCTGCCAACATGTAGATGAAGTTGATGATGATACAGGTTATGAAAGTCTTATTCTTGATGATTCTTTTTGGCATTGAAGGAAAAGGAGCCCAAAAGATTTCATAAAACACAAAAATGATCAACAATAATGGTCCAACAACAAGCATAGCAATGAGACTGGGATTCTTCCAGCCATCTTGGGCGTAAGTGTACAAAGAAAATGGTAACAAGAGCAACGACCATCCGAAACCTAAAAGAAGTAAACCCAAGGCATCAATTTCAATGGCAGAATCCCAAATAATCTTTTGAAGAGTCTTCTTTGGTCTGACAACTTTGGGTACGTATTTTTGTGCCTTGTTCTCAAAATGGTACATTACACCAATTGCTGGCAAAACCACTACTGGCATAATAATGGCAAACATACCGTAACCCCACCGCCAATTGCGTTTCAAAATGGCTTCCACAATCAACCCGGAAAACCAAATATTGATAAGGTATGGACTAGTCATGATTCCATTAACAACTCCTCTCCATTTCAAGTCGGTCAAGTCAGCTACAATCACATCTTTCAAGAAAGACACTCCATTGGAACCTACGGTAGTAAGTACTGAACCCACCACATAAGCTCCAATGGTAGAAGACGAAGCTGCGATAACGGTACCAACTGTATAAAAGAGCAAAGAAACTCCAAAACAGATTGGTCTTGAAGTAATATCGGAAAACTTTGCCTGAAAAGGTTGCACAACAGAGCCAATAATCAGGGTAGCGATATTGACAGTGGATATCATCGAATGTCTACTGAAACTCGAAGTCGCTGGAACAGAATAATTGCTGGTAGTAGACCCGTCTAATGACAAAACCCAAGCAATTACCAAGAGACATGTACAGAAAGCAATGGTGATGATTTTTCCATTCTTGGCCGAGCTCATCATTACCTTGACATTTTCAATTCTTCTCACTCCTCTTGACTTTACATACTCTGTGGAGGTGTCGGAGCTCACCAAATGAAGCTCTGTTTCTGATTCTGATGCATTTTGAGCATTTTCGGATTCTGATTCAAGTTTGTTGGAACCAGAATTAGTAGAAATTGCAGTAGATTTTGCAACCGCTGGTTCCTGAATACTTTTTCCAGAAATGGAGTGGACAGAATCAGTGATCTTTTCCGAAGACATTTTCAGTACAGAAAGTTGAGAAGATAGTCTTCTTAAATACTAGTTGCAACGGAGTTAGTGCCAAGATTTGCGGGTGCTCATGCAAGTGCCATGCAAGTACCATGCAACAGGATGAGGCGGCTAGTGCATTAAGGGCAATCCAAAGACCATTGAGCTCCAGACTTAGAAGGACAATTTTAACAAACAATGAAAGTATCTCATAGCTGGAAAGGTGCTGTGGCAGGTAAACTGGCAAAAATGGCATTTGGTTAAAACTCGAGTGCTGCATTCCGGCCCCGTTTTGACAGATGCGGCTTGTGCATTAGAACTGAAAAAATCGAGACAACATTCTCATGATTGGATAAATTTCAAGCCGCAAACAGCAAAATTCATGCATACGAGCCTCTGAGAGAGGTAATTCATGCGGATGCATGCATATTTAGAATAGCTGAAAAATGACAACTTGATGGTTTTGGCCTCCCCAAAAACTCTCTGAGACAGTTCCAAGCATGCACAAGTCATTTCACTACGTGTGGCTATCTTCGGCGCTTCCCAAAAGCTTCATCTGGGCCCAATTGCTTGACTCGCATTTTTCTTTTTTTTTTTCACTGATGAATCTGATAAAGCGATTTCGGAAAAAGCGAACTCGGAAATAAATTTTCTGCATTGTTCATGCAAACAATTTGAAAAATCGTTTCCAAGACTGGCATTTATGCATACTATCGTAGCCGCAATCGGATCAGGTTACAGTTACGAGCTTGAAATACTAAGAACCTCAGGATTGGTGGAGTGAAAATGAGAGTCCAGAGTATAGTCTGCAATAGCATGGTATGGAACCATTCTCAACATTCCGGTCAAAGTGAGAAATTACCTTGGCACAAAGTGCGTTGAATAGCTAACAGAAGTAGCTTGGGGTATTCTTCTTAGCCGCATTAACATGGGATGAGCTAATTGATGCACAGTCTATAAAACTTTCTGTGCAGCAACAGGAAATGGAAAAGAACAAACCAGGTACACACAATGACCACCATAATGAAAGGAACGATAATGACTAGACATGCAAAATTTCCAGAGCGTTATGACCAGAAAGGGAAGCAAGCATCAGCTGAGTTAGACATACTCAAAGCTAAAGCTGATCTGAGTAAGATCATGTCAAAGCTTAAGACCTGAGTTGTCCCATTCTCGCTTTCCTCTATGCAGCTACGGTACATGCCCCAGGATTTTTCAAGCAGTACTTTGGAGCCACTGGTGTTGGATGATGACCAAGACTCACCAAATATTCTCGAAATGCGAGAAGTCGTTGTCCAAAGTCTTCTAGACGCAATTGGCCCTTTTCGTTCAAGTTTCCACTCCAGGAGAGTTCTGCTAGTGCAGCAGCTCGGGGCCATAGTTTCTGGGTCAAGATATTACTGTCTACTTGCTCAGACCAAAGTGGAGCTTCATATCCCAAGATATGACTTTTTTCAGTTTCCGTCAACGAACCAGTTATGTTCATGGAGTAGATCCGCTGCCATGTCTTGTAGGGACCACACCATGAGTCTCTTCCATTATAGTTCCAGTTGTAATTTGTGACGTTTTCGACATACCTAATGTCGTTTGTGAAGAAAGTTCCAACTCCACAATCGAGATATAAGAACGAGGAAGACGAAATTATTACATCATAGCCACGAGAGGCTAATTGCTGGATATTAGTGTGTTCTCTCCAAGACTGCAAAATAACGTCTTTGGGCAAGTTAGATGCATTGACAGAAGAAAGTAAAACGTCTTCCCACATAATAAGCCTTCTGGCTTTTTTATTTTTGAAAATGGGTAACGCTTCATCAAGCCAATGGTCTATCAAACCCAGAAACCCTCTTTTGCTGTGACTCTCAAGCCATGTTCTAATTGACAAAGATGAGTTATAGCACCCAACAGACACCTCATCGGAACCGACATGAAAAAGATTATCAGAAAATGCCAGTGAAACTTCATCATACACTTCCTTAACCACATCATAGGTTTTGTTCAAGATCAAATTCAATTGACCAGGCGGTGGTTCTACTGCAGTTGACTGCTTTTCCCAGTCAGTATCACCACAAATCACCAACTCAGCATCGTTTCTTCTCCATCCTGCTCTAGCATGGCCTGGCATGTCGATCTCAGGAATTATTCTGATGGCTCTTTGGCGACCATATGAAACTATAGCTTGAATATCAGCTCGAGTGTAAACTTCCTGACTAGAGTATGCATCTAGAGCCATCTCTGGGTGAGATTCAAGTACTATGGGCCACGACTGGGTATCCACAAGGTGCCAATGAAGAGTGTTCATTTTGGAAAGTGCCATGATATCGATCTGTTCGAGTATAGAATTGACCGTCAAGTAATTTCGGGCACTATCTATCATAAGGCCTCGATGTGGGTAGAGTGGTTTGTCCTTGATGTGCAACTCTTGTATAAACAAACCAGCGGCCGCCAATTGTTGTATTGTTGTAAAACTGTGTAGGATTCCCCATCTGGTTTTACTGCTAATTTCAATACTTGATGTTTGTGGCTTTACTTTCACCTCGTATGATTCATCTACTCCCATTTGAAGATCAGCATCAGCATCTTCAATATAAACATTGAATACACACGGCAGGGCATTTAGGGTTAGTTTCTGGTCAATTATCGCAGACACCATACGGTCAAACCCTTGAAGAACAATAGAATCAAGAACATTAGAATTCAAATAACAGGCTGAAGACAACTTTAAGTGTCCATTTCCTACTTTTTCCACGTATTTGGGAGCAGGAAGAAGACCCACCGCTGCAAGAATTACCCCAGCATAAAGTGCAAAGATAAGATATCGCATTGTAATGAGAAACGATGTAAGATAATTTGTGCGAAACAAAGGTGACGTAAGAAACTGCGATTTGAGAGCATATGAACAAAACATACCTGGTATTAGCGAACGCAACAAGAAATGTTAGAACAAAAGACATCAGAACAAGAAACAAGAAACATCAAACATCAAACAATAAAACATCAAAAATCAAACAGATTTGCAGCCAATCTGCAGAAAATTTGCAACCATTTCAAAACCAATTTGCAACCATTCAGCTTGCATTAAATCAAGATTTCACTTATTCAACAAGTCCCGCGTGGACGCAGCTACTGATTCAGCAGCGGGAATTGGAGTCCAATCAAAAAATTCCTGTGCTTTTTTCAGCGAACAAGATTGACGTAATCCCAAAAGAGGCACCGAAGCCCTCAATGGTGGAACGATATATGACAACGCTCTGATCAAATAACTGGAAGTGGCTGATTTGGGCAAGTTGCTGATCTGTTGTTGAGTAAGTTCGGGTTTCATCATGTTTGCAATATCCACAAGTGAATAAACCTTCTCTGATTCGCTAAGAATAAACCGTTCATTCTTTGCTTCCGGCTTCTCCATTGCCAAGATATGTAGTTTAGCAACATCCCTTACATCTACAATACCATATGCAACATCGGGACACACCCATTTAAGTTTTCCCTTGGCAAAAAAGTCAATAATAATAACCGAAGAAGGTGCCTTGCTTCTATCATAAACTGGACCATAGATTCCCACGGGGTTCAACACCACCAACTCAATTGGATGAGAAGACTCCATATTGTTTTTGGATCTGACAAACTCCCATGCAGCTCTCTCGGATTTGGCTTTAGACTTGATATACGCATCTTTGGTGGTACTTTCATCAGAAAAGTCATCCTCGGTGTAGATGTCTTTGGGAACTTTTGAGGCTGTAACAGCAGCAGAAGAGGACGTTTGTACAACCCTCTTTACCGATTTTGATTCGGATGCAAATTTTAACACCCTTTTAGTCCCTTCCACAGCAGTAGCAATCATGGATTCAGCATGAGGATTTTGTGACGAAGGAACCGGAGAAGCCACATGACACACATAGGTCGCTCCCTGCATCACCTCTGCCCATCCCGAATCATCTTGCAAATCAGCCACCATATATTCGATTCGATCTTCGGGGTCAACTGCGGCTTGCTTAAGTGCATCTTTCAATAAAGCCTCTTTTTTAGCATCTCGTACAGTAGCCCGAACATGATATCCCTGCCGAAGAAGTTCGGCTACGCAATGCGTACCCACGTACCCAGTTCCACCGGTCACAACCACTATTGTCATGTACAAGTTAACAATATAGGATCGGACTCCGCGGCGACTCTGAAATGTCAAATGCACCACCCTGCATGCACAATGCAGGGCTTATGCAGCTTCGTTTTTGACACATGGAAGCGAGTCGACACTGGCACCAATTGGACCCCGCACAACATCCTAACAAAAGCCTCCAATTTTTCATAGCAACCAGTTACCAGGTGAAAAGCGAATTGCACTGTCAGTAGCAGCAAAATCATCAACTTTTCACAGTCACTTGCAGTAAGTTGCTGCAATTGCCTCATGCTCTCACACTGGAGTCGACTCCGCAATCTCCGCTACGTGCATCAACCGGCCGGCATACAATACTTGCATATGATAGGTGTGAACCCCACATATAACTAGGACGGCGCCAACTCCTTTTCTTTATCTGAAAATGTTGAGTGCTACATATGTCATCTTGACACTCGTCGCATTTTTCACTGTGAGACAGGTGATCATCACCATCAAGAGGCGCAAATTTGCGAGAGAACATGGCTGCCAAAATTTTACCAAAACCGTAGGAATGGTGCTGGTAATTGACAATATTAAAAAGGTCTACAAAGCTCGTCGCGAGGGTAGACTCACGGAGCAGTTGCAGGAATCTTATGACCTTTATGGAGTGGACACTTTTCAGGCTCGTGCCATTGGAACGCTGGCGGTGTTCACTCGTCACCCTGAGAACATTAAGGCGATGATTGCAACTCAATTCGACGACTTTGATATTGGAAAACGCCAGCAAGTGTTTAGACCCTTGTTAGGTTTTGGTATCTTTGCTGCGGAGGGACAAAGATGGAAACATTCAAGAGCAATGTTGCGGCCTCAATTTGCTCGGGAGCAGGTTGCTCACGTCCAGCTGCTTGAAGTTCACTTGCAGAATTTCGTCAAGCTCATAAAAGAGCAAAATGGCAGTTTTTTCGATATCCAGCATTTGTTTCACCGGTTGACAATGGATGCCAGTACCGAATTTCTCTTTGGTGAATCTGTGGGTTCGTTGAAATCACCCAATAATGAATTTGAGGCTGCTTTTAACACCTCCCAACACTACTTGACCATGAGAGCTACTCTTCGTGGAGCCTACTTTCTCGTTAATCCCAAAGAATTCAGAGATGCCAACGAAGTTATCTTCAAGACCGTTCGTTATTACGTCAACAAGGCCCTCAATACCAGTCCCCAGGAGCTCGCTAAGCAAACAGAAGAGGGCTACACTTTTCTTTATCAGCTCGTGAACCAAACTAGAGACCCCCAAGTACTTCAGGACGAAATGTTGAGTATTATGTTGGCTGGTAGAAACACCACCGCCAGTCTTTTATCGTTCCTTTTCTTGGAACTTTCCCGCAACAAGCACATCTGGAAAAAGCTTCGTGAAGAGGTTCATGAACACTTTGGAAACGGAGAAAATGCCCGGTTGGAAGATATTACTTTTGAATCGATGAAACGGTGCAACTACTTAAAATGGGTCATCAATGAAACTCTCCGTATGTATCCCTCGGTTCCTACCAATTTCAGGCATGCTGCCAAAGATACGACGCTTCCTAGAGGTGGAGGACCCACTGGTGACTCGCCGGTTTTCATCAAAAAGAATACCGACGTCTACTACACCATCTACAGTACTCACAGAATGAAAGAGTACTATGGAAAAGATGCGGAGGAGTTCCGTCCAGAGAGATGGGCCGATTTGAAGAATATCGGTTGGGCATATATGCCGTTCAGTAGCGGTCCTAGGATATGTTTGGGACAGCAGTTTGCTCTCACCGAGGCATCTTACATCACTATTCGTCTAGCACAAATTTTCACCGAGTTGGACACTAGCGACCATGCGTACCCGCCTTTGAAAATTGCCAATGCCACAATGAGACCAATGAACGGAGTGAATGTTAGATTTCAATGATCTTTATATGAAATGAATATTTGCAGCCATTTAGGTACTGCACAAACTCAAAACCGTTGGATCGAAAAGCGGTTCTCAGCGCACAATTACATAAACACCTCATAAGTGGCTGGAGCCAAGATTAGCCAAGAATATGTGCGATGCATGCATGACAGGTCTGTATGCAGTACATTGACTTCAAAATATTTTTTCTGGACAATTTTCTTGGCGCCTTGCATCCTCGGCCAGTGTTTTTAGTTTGACGAGCCAAATGCGGCAAAATCACTGCACCAAGCTGCGCGCGGTGCGGAGACGAATTGAATGCCGAGACCAAGTCAAAATCGTGTGGCTTAAAGGCGCGGAGACGGAAACGGACACCACCTGGCCGGAACCCGGTGCGGGGCTATTGTGGGGCACCTGTCGATATTTTCCACCCCGCGTATGACCCCACCTCATTCGTCAGATAATGCGAAGCACTGTAATATGCAGCGCCAATATAGAGATACGTATGAGCCCTGCGCCAAGAACTAACACCGAAATAACTTGGTGATTTACTGGAGATGTGAGTAAATTGTTGGTGATTTCTCCTCACTTTGACCCCGGGAATGATCGGCTCGCCACGTCTTGCCTGAGCGATTATTTTTGCAAAGGCTGAATCCCAGCTTACGTACGCTAACCCCACCATTCGACGCATGGCCCCAATGGGGTATCGGCCATGCCTGCACACAAGCCGTGCGCGCGCCTCGCCTCGGAACCCCAGCTATAGTTGCCGTACGAGATGGCGGGCGTGCGGACGTTGGGTATAGTGCAGGGCCCATTGTTTTTGTTTCCCCCCAACACACGGTATATGCAACTATAAAGCAACAATGGCGTCACTAGCCCTTTCCGGAGAAACTTACATATGCATTGTTTGGGGAAGTGGGGACATGTCGGTATGCACGCCCCGATATCTATCATTTCTTTTTTGCAGAAAAATTTCTTGACATAATGTCAAGTGTGCATGAAGCTGCAGCGGCCCGACCTCAGTTGCTGCGACCCCGCGTGGTTTTCTATAGGCAGTAAACATCACCAAACATTCCAAAACATCACCAAGACCAACTCCAGAGCAGTATGGGACGGTGTTCTAGACCACGCGTCGAATGCAAAACCCCACATGTATCTTTGGCTCGGGACCCGGGTTCATAAATGTGCAGTCTTCGTCCGCGCGGCGCTCGCAACCATGCGGCGCGGCTACCTAGAACCAAACGTCATCATGCGTTGCAAATGGCGCTAGATGCTACCAGCTTAGTAAAAATATTATTCGCTGGCTACTACTATATAAATGCCGGTTCCTCGGCCACCAGTTTCTAGTCTTTTCTTTTCGCAAATATGGGTATCGATATATTTTCGAGAACAAACACTATGGGCTTGACGAACCGCTCGTTACGAGTGGCCGTTACTGCCGTTGCAGTTACTGGTTTCTCTTTGTTCGGTTACGATCAGGGTTTGATGTCGGGTATCATTACTGGAGAACAATTTAACGCTGAGTTTCCACCTACCGGAGCAGTTAATGGAGTTACTAGTCACCATACTACCGTTGTTCAGGGTGCAGTGACCTCTTGTTACGAGTTGGGATGTTTCTTTGGTGCTCTTTTTGCCTTGTTCAGAGGTGACCACATTGGTAGAAAACCTTTGATTATCTTTGGTTCGCTTATCATTATTCTTGGAACCATCATTTCCACCGCTGCCTTTGGTCCTCATTGGGGTCTTGGTCAGTTCGTCATAGGTAGAGTCATTACTGGTATTGGTAATGGTTTCAATACTGCCACCATTCCTGTTTGGCAATCGGAAATGTCTCGTGCTGAAAACAGAGGTAGATTGGTCAACTTGGAAGGTTCCGTGGTGGCTGTGGGTACATTTATTGCTTACTGGTTGGACTTTGGATTGTCTTATGTCGATACTTCTGTTCAATGGAGATTCCCCGTTGCTTTCCAAATTTTCTTTGCTGCTATTTTGTTCTTTGGAATTATTCAATTACCTGAGTCTCCAAGATGGTTGATCGCCAAGGACAGAAAGGAAGAAGCCATGACAATTTTGGCTGCTTTGAACGGTTTGGAAGTAAATGACGATGCTGTTCATGCTGAAGCCGTGGTTGTGGCCGATGCCGTCAACAGATTTGCTAGATCCCAAGTTGGTGTTAAGGAGTTGCTTTCCGGTGGAAAGACCCAGCATTTTGCCAGAATGGTTATTGGTTCATCTACTCAATTTTTCCAGCAATTCACCGGTTGTAATGCTGCCATCTACTACTCCACCGTTTTGTTCGAAAGTACCGTTTTGGTCGATGAAGAACCAGGATGGAGAAGAAGATTGTCATTGATTTTGGGTGGTGTTTTCGCTACCATCTACGCCTTGTCCACCATCCCTTCGTTTTTCTTGATCGACACTCTTGGTAGAAGAAAATTGTTCCTCATCGGAGCTATTGGTCAAGGTTGTGCCTTCATCATTTGTTTCGGTTCATTGGTCCACAGAACTGCTGAGAATGCCAAGGGTGCTGCCGTTGGTATTTTCTTGTTCATTGTCTTCTTTGCATTTACCATTCTTCCACTTCCATGGATCTACCCACCAGAAATCAACCCATTGAGAACCAGAACCGTGGCTAGTGCTGTGTCCACTTGTACCAACTGGATCTGTAACTTTGCCGTGGTCATGTTCACTCCTATTTTCATCAACAGATCCGATTGGGGTTGTTACCTCTTTTTCGCTTGTGTGAACTTCCTCTGGGTTCCAGTCATTTTCTTCTTCTACCCAGAAACCGCTGGTCGTTCTTTGGAAGAAATTGATATCATTTTCGCCAAGGCTCACGTTGACGGTAGTCAACCATGGAGAGTTGCTGCTACCATGCCTAAGTTGTCTTTGAGTGAAATCGAGCAACATGGTACTCAATTGGGTCTTTACGACAACGATTTCGAGAAGGAGCAGTTTGAGAAGAATGAGAACGTTTCCAACACCTCGTCTGACGACGCCAAGGAAGGTGTTGACACCCCTGCTAATAATGAACCCATGATTAAACCAGCCGAGGTTTAATAATCGAGACTGTAACATATAGATTGATTAATACCATACACAGTGTGAATAAACTACATAAACAAAGTCTATACAAGAAAACTATACACAAACAATATCTAATCTATACAAGAATTCTTATAAATCTCGATTGAAATGAGTATGTAATTCGATTATTTGCAGCAGTTTTCACTTGATATTAAAGTCATTGGTGTACCAAAAGATTTTTCAATGAATGTGTTTCCTTTCTTTTACGAATGGAGCGTCTCAAACATTCCCAAAAGACTAAAGTAGTGTCCAAGGATTCCCAAAAGGACAAAAATGTGCCATATACTGTGGCTGGAGAAAAAGTAGTCCACCCAGTACAATGACCAAAAGTCTTTGTGATATACTGTCTTTGTTGGCTCGTCGGGGAAATGTTTGTCGATGATTTCTCTGTATTCTTTGGACTGTGTGGGGTCTTCTTTGATTCCGAGATTATCGTTGGACTCGTCGTTAGTCGAATCTTCCTGTTCATGTAATTCTGTTTCCAACTGCTGGAATTCTTCTTCACCGCTGTGTTCAATATTATCCGTAAGAACATCACGAGCTGTATGGTTGTGATGACATGGGCCATCTTCATTGATAATCACATCGTACCGCCATCTTTCTGGTATCAACCCTCCATAAAAGACGACACCTGCCAAATATGCGGTACAACTCTTGAGAACAAGAGGCAGGAAAAACTTGAGCGATACCATTACTCCCTCATTGAAGCACATGGCAACGAAGGTCGTAAGTCCCACAAACGCCAAACCAACAAAAAACCCAATTCTCAATGGCCTACATTCTGGTCTGTCAAAATAAGACGACCAATTCAACGTTAAACCACCAAGGCCACAGAGGATTGTAAAAGTCATCACTATTTTCTGCAACTTGGGGAAATGGTACAATGAGCAATATTCCGACGAAATCACCGATGCTGAGATCAAAATAGTGATTCCAGTGTAATCTACTGATGCACAACTCGATCTAACTGGCAACTTTGCGAAACATGAATAAGTGTGCCATATAGTAGAGCATGCTAAACACCCAAAAGCAGCCGCCAAGAACATGTACACAACCACATTGTCTCTATAACTGTTTATCTGAAACAACTCGGTGCTGGGCAAATGGACAGCTCCCAAAAATATCACAATCAATGCGCCTATAAGATGGGTCCAAATGTTCATGGATTCGTTATGGTTGAACTGGAATACAGATTTGAGCATGGTTTTATGGCTCAAGGAGAACCTGTACCCGTAGATGATGTATCTATTTTCTCTCCAGCTTAATGGAATATCGTAGTAATGCAAATACTCTTTCTCGGCCTTCTGGAGAGCTTTATTGAAATTGTAGAAACGAAAGTGCTGGAAGCTAGGGGCATGGTAGTCTGTAGTGGCCTGAGGGGTCTTCTCCTGGATCAAATTGTCAACTTGAGAGAGTTTCTCGTCAAAGTATTGGATGGTGGTGATAATTTTACGAGATAGAATTTCTTTGCTTTGCGAGAGTTGAGTGGTTTCTGTTGCTGGCGAGCCTGGTTCTGAGGCGGGAGAGCTGAATAAATAGGTGTACTGGTCATCTAGCGTGTTGTAAAGGTGTTCAAGGTTTGTTATCGATGACTTTAAGACGGAGGCTTTGATCAAAGAAAGCCGTTGGTGAACCGTACTTAAATTGGGGAGTGTAAATGACCTTAACGAATTAAGACTGGCGCTGCTGTTTCTCCTCAGAGTGCTCGACTTCTCCGGGAACTCATAATTGTCGTCGTCAGACGCTCGGAGCCGGAAATACTGCTCAAAAGTATCCAATCTCGATTCGATCGAAGACAAAAAACGGTCGAGTTTTTCTACCAAAACTTCTTCTGTGGGCTTGGCAACCTCCTGGCGTTCTTGAGACGAAGAAACGCCGTCGCTCCGCCGGTTTCTGAGCGTATATGTTTCGGACATGTTTACTAAGAAAAAGTGTTGCAAGGAGTTGCTCGAGCGGAACCTGTGATTCAGGTAGCGAGAACCTGCATACAGCCGCACGTTTTAAGATCGTTTCTTTTCCCGACCGGACCGGCCCCTATTGTTCTATGCAGTATATTATATAGCGACCTATTTAATGGTGTTTAAGGCGTTCAAAGTATTCGTAGTCGTAGAGAGATTTTCGAATAGGTTTTCTCATCTTGAACTGAGCAGTGAACTCGTTGTATTTCTTCCTCAACTCTGGGTTTGTTTTGAGCTCCTCGTTATCCCGGCCGAGAGAATCGAACAAATACTGGCGTTCTTTAGTGTGTAAATCAGTAACCTCTTTTGTAAGATAATACTCTGTTAGTATGTTGTCGTTCTCTAGGAGCTGGAGAACCTGGTCGTCTGTCATGTGGGTGACTTTGTTGAGCAATTTGTCGCGATTTATACCATTTTCGTCCGTTACTTCTTCCTGGTTAAATACTGGCGCCAACTGCTCTTTTCGCAACCATAAATTCAATCGGTTGACAAAGTACCAATCGTGGAATTCGTAGTCGGACAATCCCTTGGAGTACTCGAATATCAATCTGTCTGTGATAGTCAGCGGAATAAATACTGGAACCCCTCCAAGCATAGAGTATCTGAGTGGTGAGAGTTGCTCGAGCTTGTAGAAATGCTTTCTACGGTCGTTGTAAATTTCAACCTGATCATCCTCGAAACCCTTTTCTATGTTTGCCAATCCATTGTCGTTATACTCCTCGGGAGTATTTGCTTTTGACTTGCTCAAGCCGGTAATATCGATGTATATGCCTGAGTCGACATCGACAAACCGAGCATCGATATGATTCGATTTTTCTGAAATTCCCCTATTGTGGATGTATGTTCCAACGTCTATCAAGAAGCGCCCGTAGCCTTCTGTGGGGTCCTCGACTACCAAGGTTTGGTTATAGCTTCGAGCAAGACGAGCCAACTCCACCGCCGGCATTTGGATGTCGATGTCTACGTCAAAGGGGAACATTAATCCATCCCAGTACCACGAAAGTAGCGGACCATGCATAATCCAGGTGATGATCCCCTTTTCCTCAGCAAAGCGGTTCCAATTTCTCAAAAGACGATCGAGAATAATATTGGTTCTGGTGGTGAGTTCTCGTTCAGTCCATCCAATTCTGTCATAGTTGAGGGCTCCATTGAAGAAACGCCAGTCATAATGCCAGCCCCATTCGCGGTCTCTGTTTCTATCGTCGTCGATACGGATAGTAGCCATTTTGAAGTAAGTGGGTTCGGTTTTATCGTCGTAATTCGAGCATTCGACCAACCCATTATAGTACAGTTTTTCTTGGACAGAAAGCTGGTCCAACGGTATTTCGTGGCGGTTCTCATAGAAATAGATCTGATTTTTGATCATCGACAGATGGTAGTTGAACATTTCTGGTGTGAGTTCTAATTCACGAGATGCCTTGGGATCGCTCTGCTGTCTCAACACCTGGTACATCTTGTGGGTGTCGTCGTCTTCATTCAAGTACCGTGGTGTCACCTTGGACTTCAAGTCCTCAAATTCCTTGGGCAAATCAAGACGTAATAACGTTTGTTCGTCGATGGACTCGATATCAAAGCCGTTAGACTTGATATAGTCGGTGACTATAGGAGAGCTGGCCAACCGCTGGTTGCTGTTTTGGTCCACCTCGAACTCATAGGTTCCACCTTTGTTGTCTCCATTCAAGAAAACCACCTTATAAGGTTTGGGAAGATGTTGAGTTAAAGCGTAAGACTTGCTTTCAAGAATACGAATATCATTGAATGGTCTATCATCATGAGTAGAATGCGAGTGGATGACAAAACCAGGCAATTGCTCACGTCGGCGGAACCCCATTTGACTGATTTGGTCGTCGGTGTAGTTGTTGTTGTTGAAACAAAAGTACGAAGGGTCTGGATCATTATTGGTGAACGAGCGGATGATCTCGCAAGTCATACGTTGTTCTAGGGGCTTTGAGAGGTCCTCGTTGAGTACCGTAAGGTCCATCCAGTCAGCCCAGTTGAAAGGGAGCTTGGGGAGATCATATTTGTTGGAATCGACCGGTCCATCCGACAGGTCAAGTTCACGGTACCGACGTTTAATTTCATTAAGATACATCAGAAATGTGAACCTGGGGTCATAAAAGAGCTGTGGTTTGTTTGCCCAACTGTTTTCCGACTCCTTTTCTGCAAGAAAATGAGATATTTCCACATCAACCACTGGTTCGGTGATGTCTGTCTTTGCTAACCAAAATCTTTCAGGGTCATCTTCCACCTGTTTGAACTTCTTTTTAACCTTGGATTCAAACGACGTACTCGGCGCCGGCGGCGTATTGGATATGGGTTGCTGGGGATGATTATTATCGTTGTTCAACGATTTGCTGAAATCTCGAAATTTGGCAGGGATGAGTTTGTAGCCGTAGAAATGAGAAAACGACAAAACAAAAACATTTATGACTAGAAGGAGACCCACGATGATCTTGGCTAGTCTGAGCGACAGCCTCGACTTTATTCTGGATGCTGCTCTAGTAAACGTTGCCAGAAGCAGCATGATCGCTTAAAAAAAAAAATTGTTGACGAGCCAAACGATCGTGGCTTGAAATCGTGGCGCTTGCTAGAAAATAAGACCGCTGCTAATCTGGGTAGTTTGCCGAAGTTTCTTTGAAATTAAAACCTTCGAATTCAAACAGCGTCACACGATACTTATGTGATGGCTATTGTTCTCGCGCGACCGCGCACAAATTGGCTCAAACAGGGAAGGCTATGGCGGCCTGTGTTACGATGCATGGTGCGGTATGGGGCTGAGGGAAAAAGAAGAAGAAGAAGAAAAAGAAAGGGAAAGAAAGAAAGAATAAGAAAAGAATAGTAAGGCTCTTTAATTTTATTAGGACTTTACATGAGCCGTTTCTTGGCACCGACATTTTCACTATTTTCCAGTTTTCGCTTCGCACAGTTTTAAACTTCTCATCGTTTGTTGCCCGTTTTAAGATGCGAATTGTTCGGGCGATCAACGCGCACTGCCTGCGTTTGAAGCATTGATGAGGCGGTGTTAAAGCAGACGGATTGATGTATTCACAATGCTCTACATAATCTGAACCACTTGGAGCTGATAGTGATGGTTCTGTTATGTAAAATAACTTTAAAGTTGGCTTTGAACCACTGCAATTCAGACCTTCCCACCTACACATAAATCAGCCTCACACATAGAAAACAAATGAACTAAACTAATTGTCAATGTAGCTTGGTCAACAAGCTCAGCTACATTAGGTACAACTTTGTAGCTTTCGTCTCAAGTGCTCAGCTAGTCCTGGTACGTCGTGGGGTCCCAGTTGGTAAACCGCTGGCTCGACTCAGGATGCGAGAGAAGCTTCATGTCTTGGCTCAGAATGTCAAAATCAAAGACATTAATGTTCTCAACGGCACGGTCCTTCTTCTCACTCTTGGGCAACACAACAAACCCTTGTTGCAATGACCATCTGATCAACACCTGAGCTGGAGTTTTTTGATACTTTTTGGCCAATTGGACCAAGGTAGGATCGTGAAAATTTTTGCCTCGAGTAAGTGGACTATATGCTTCCATAACGATACCATTGGCCTTGGCATAGTCAACTATATGGGTCCGCATCAACCATGGATTCAATTCAACTTGGTTAACCACAGGCTTGATCTCCAATCCGTCCCATTCCAACAACTCTTTCATGTGGTGAACACCATAATTCGATACACCAATCGACTTGATTTTTCCACTCTTGACAGCTTCTTGCAATGCTTTCCACGTCTCCAATCTCTTCGTTCTGTTCGATTGAGGCGAGTGGATCAACACCATGTCAATATATTGCAAATCCTTGACTTTTTGCAAGCATTCGTCAATGGCTCGCTTGGCTTTTTCATATCCATGGTTAAAGTCGAAAATCTTGGTGACGTAAAAAACGTCCTCTCTCTTGTTGTTGGGACTTTCCTGAAGCCATTTACTAATTCCTTCACCAACTTCCTTTTCATTCTTGTAAAATTCCGCCGAATCAATGTGCCTATACCCAACCTTCAAAGCATTGTATGCGACTTGTGAAGCTACACCGGCGGGTGTCATGTAAACTCCCATTGCAATCACGGGGATTTTTAAGCCATTGTTAAGAGTGAGCTTTGAGTTCATGGTGAGGGAAGTCATTTTATGGTTGCAAACTTGGAGGAATGTACTTATATAGATTGTGCCGTTACGAGCATTGGACTTTTTTTCTTTGGCAGATACGGTCGGGGTTAATTCAATACGGTACGGAATTAATCCACAAGTTATTGCCGTCACGAATGGTCCTTTAAAGTGGTGACAAATTTCATTTTCGTATGTCAAAAACCCTTACTGTTTCTGGGTTGCTGACAAATATCTTATGCGGCTCAATTACGAACGTAGGCTGAGTTAGCCATGGCATAAGTGTATAGTAAGTGAGCTGTGAGAGATCATTGCAGTATCAATTATAGTAGAATCAATTCTCTTAAAACATTAACTAAGAATCAACTTCTTACTCACATCAAAAATGCAGAGCTAATTTTTGGCTGCAAAAAAATGAGTACCCTCTAAGTAAGCAGTTGTGCAGATTCTGTCTGATAAGATGGATTCTGTGATCTAGCTTTGAGGACTCAAATACGAGTTCGTGACTATTCATGATCGTAATCAACAAGGAAGATAAGATTCAGCTAGAACTTTGTAGAAAAATCCGAAAACATTCAGTGAGCTAGTTGATGAAGATGAAATAGCTATTAAGTTGGCACTGATTCTCATACCAGAATTCACCTACTCATCATTAAACCGCTTCTGTTCCCCACATTGACCGTTTCCTTTCTATGCTGTCCCTGGCATGAGCTGTTCATCCAAAAGACAATCAAGTGCAGGGTCAATGGGTTGCTTATATCCATCTGGTTTATACGGAAATGTGTCAGGATCCAATAAGTTTGTGCTGCCACCGTTGTCAAGCCAGTCCTGCTGCCAAAAACTCGGGATGTCTTCAAAGCTAAAATTTAGTATATCTTCAGGAGTCAATAATTCGATCTCTTCTGGCGATGAGTGGTCGTTCATAGCCGCATTTGAATGATCACCACTTTCCTCATCTTGTGAGTCAGTACCCTTTCGACGCATTCTTTGCAAATACTTTTTTGTTCGTATCAACGGAAGCGCCTTTCTCTTCAAAGGATCATTACCCTGTAGACACTCTAGGTAGTATTTTCTGGGGGTTTTTCCCGTGTAGTTTTTGAACAGTCTACAAAAATGCCATTTGGAAGCGCCCACCTGCTGCGCTATTGCATCGAAGTCCGGCTTCTTTCCTGCTCTTGCAGCTCTGCCTATAAGTAAGCAACCTTTGGCTACATTTTCTCGTGTTGTGTTCCAGCCACTCATTTTTTCAGGTTTGCACCTTTTGCACGGTCTGTATCCCTGCTCGATAGCCTCTTTTAGTGTGTTACAAAACTGAACATTTTTAAGATTGGGAAATCGTGAGTAGCAGGTGGGCCGACAGCATATTTTTGTAGTGGCCACCAAGTACAAAAAATGACCTTCAGCATCCGGTTCTCTATTAAGAACTGCTTGTAGTTTCTGATCAAACGTCTCGTAGCGTCCCATCTTAGCTATCAATAGTTGGAGATTGGTGATAAAATTGTTCCAGTTTTTGGTTCCAGTTTTTTTAATTCAAGTTTTATAGAATTGCTAGATGCCTTAAATTAATATTGTATTCTCGTTTCTGCGTTGTTAAAACTCAGCTCGTGATTAGTTTACTTTATCACCGTGAGGCTGCGCTGCATGGTTCACTATATAGGTGCTTTTTTGCTCTCAATGTTGAGACTGAAGTCACGTTCAATTCCAGTGTTCTATGCAGGATCGCGAGTAGATTAAATGGCTGCAAATTATGACAGCTGACCAACTTTCCACTATTCAATTTACTAGTAGCAATTTATGCATTTCATATACATCTACAGTCTACCACGTCTTTCTTCGAAAAATCTACTGGATTCCAATTTATCGAGAATTTCGGCCACCCTGAGTCCAAATGACTCTTCATATGCTTCCACTGCATCAGTTGCACCCAGAGTTCTTTCGTCAAGTTCTTGCAACTTTTTGTATAATTGACGATCAAGCTCGGCAGTGGCATCGTCTGCACTCACATTTTCGACTTCTTGCATCAAATTAAAGTCGTTAAGATCATCCTGGTCTAAACCAAAGTCGTTGGCTTGGCCTTCACCAAAGATATTTTCGTTGTTCTTTTCCCACATATCATTCAACTTATCTTGGTCACTGGCATTACTGAATTTGAGCTCACTCTTTTTCTGGAGATACTCTTTGTAAAGTTTGCGCTTCTCCACTGTTCGTTCCACAATCGAGTCAATTTGCAATTGAAGCTTCTCCTCGCTGACAGGTTCGCTTGCCTGAAGATTCAGCATGTCAATGTTGACCAAAGAGTGATCCACAAACTTGATTCTTAACGCAGTAAGGAACTTCTCGATCCATTGAGCAAGCCCTCTAAACACATGCTCGTCATCATTGATATACAAGTTGTGAACAACACCGTAAAAAAAGTTCTCATGCTTATCCAATACTGCAAGAAGTCGGTTAAAAATCTCCATCGAACTCATAAAGTATATTCCTCCGTTACTCAACTCGGTAAGCACATCCAAGTTTTCGTCCACAAACTTCTCCCACTGCCGGAACATCACATGTACATCTGCCTTGCCCAAAACTCGAACAAATGGTGAATAGAAAATAGTCACAAACTTTTTGATTAACTGGGTCATCTCTGGTTCCCGCCAGAGCTCTTTCATTATGTCTTTATCCTTTCTCCGCAACTGGATCAACCAGTATTGTTTGATCTTCAAATACAACTTTGCTTCCTCAATATTAGTGTTTCCTGATATCTTGGCGAAATGCCAGTATGAATCACTTATATGGTCATAGATCTCTTTATGCGACAGTTGAAGCTTTGGTCCAATTCTATCTGTATGCAAAATTGTGAGTAAAAGGTCTTCATCTTGCTGAACACTTTCTTCCTTAATCTTATCGATTTTATCGCTATCAGCCATGACATAATTATCGACTCGAGACAACAATATATGATATTCCTTGGGAACAGACTTTCTCAATTCTTCAACTTCTGCCAAAAAGTCGTTCAAGTCTTCGTCCAACAACATGACGAACATAAGCGAGAGAAGGTTCTTTGCTCCAGTGGACTTGGAAGCTTCCGTTAAGTCCTTTTTCCCACTGAACGGCATCGACAAGGATAACGATGGAATGTTGATAAGCAAAAGGTCAATAATTCGTGCCATCATCTTCATAGGATTGGTGAATCGAAGAATACCGTAGACGATACTATAGGGAAACATTGCATGGAATTTTCTGCATTTAGCGAGCCATTCGCTAGCATTGTCCAGACTTAAAAAGATTTGGTAATTGAGGGCAGCCAACTCAAGTTTGCACCATCTAACGAATGTGAAAGTCATGGGCGATAAATCTTCAACTTTCTCAACAGAACCGAATTCTTCAAAAAGCTTGGTGAGAGTGTTGGGTGTCATGATGAGTTGCTGCTTGAACAGTTCAAACTTGGCTTGAAACTCACCCATAACTTTGGCTGATTGTCTTTGGAATTCTAGCTGGGTGTTGAACATGTTGGTTTCGTTTTGGCATCTGATCTTGTAGTCCCGCTCCATGGGAGGATCAAGTGTAGGAAACGAATTGGACGATATGAAGGCACGAAACTCGCTGGAATGGACAATTTCTGGGTAGTTTATGAGTCTCATCATGTAGCCTCTTAAAGCAAGACGAAGTTTCTCGCGGAAAAGAACTATATCAGGTAGTCCATGGGCGTCAATTTCTTTAATTTGTTTGACGGGAACACCATCGTCGTGCTGTAACTTTCTAGGAAGTTCTGGAAATTCGGTTGAAATCAAGCCAGGATAATTTTTGCGTAAGGATTTCATCAACGTCTTAAAGTCATGGTATGGATGTGCAACAAAATGGCACTTGTACCCAGAGCCTTGTCTGTGCACTATTTGTAAAATAAACTCAAAGTGGTGCCTCGGAGCATTATTGAAATACGAAGTCACATTGAAGCGACTCTTCTGGTTGGTGGTAGCAAGTTCTCTGACAGCAATTACGTTGACCGACAAGTCATTGAAATAAGTCAACTTTTCGTAGTCGTGCAACTTTGTCGCCAGGGAATCTGCTCGTAACTCTTTAACATTAAACTTTTTCGGCTTTTCCAACTTTTGAAGACGAGAAGTAGTTCCCGATTTTTCATGGGTAGAGGTGAGATATTTCATATCGTTCTCCGATGTCAAAACTGAATTGAAGAACAAAACAAGCCCGGATAACAACTTTTTATTCACCTGGCGTCTCTTGGTGACATTTTCTGCCCTTTCGCCAGAATCTGATAACTGCTTCAGATTCAAACTCTCCACGAACGGCTGCACAGTATCCTGCCAAAATGCACGCTGTTCTTCCAGAGAACACATCATAATAAACGGAAACGTCTTGACATAGTTCTGGAAGAAGAATCGAAGCATGGGCACCGGATTGGTATTTTTTTGATCATTATTGACTCGAAACGGTGGCCCCAAATATCCACAGCAATCTCGTTTAGACATGTATCGGAGTTCTTCTGCTAGCCGATGCTCCACGAGGTACTTTTTGAAGAAGTGCTCTTGGGTAGCATTGAGCTTGGGCACTTTCGGAGCTTCATTGCTCGCATTGAATGCCATATCTAACGTTAGCCACGATCAGCAATGCTCTGTGTGGGGGAGGCTTGCCGGTGCATTGGATGATCTTGTGGTTTCGTGGTGTTCGGATGTCATCTCAGGCTCATCGGGGCTCGCAAAAAATCAAAAGTTTAGTATTATCTTCTCGCTGGCGGTTAGTGAGAATGGGTACACAAAAGAAGGAAAAGCAAAGACGGGTCCGCGAGGGAGATACTCGTGATGGCAACTTGCGCGTCAAAGGAGAAAACTTCTACAAAGATGCCAAAAAAGTCAAACTTCTTCTGATGTATAAAACGGGAAGGGCTAAGCGTAACGCCAGAGGAGAAATTGTGCAAGCTGCTGCGTTGCAGAGCACTGATGCGCCTATTGCTCGAGTAGATCCGAATCGTAAGTGGTTTGGAAACACAAGGGTCATTGGTCAGGATGCTCTTACTCATTTTAGAGAGGCGATGGGTGACAAAAAACACAACTCCTATCAGGTTTTATTAAGGAGGAACAAACTTCCCATGTCTCTTTTGGATGAGAAGGATCAAACAGAGTCTCCTACTGCCAACATAGTAGAAACCGAGTCATATGCTCTGGCATTTGGTCCCAAACAACAGCGTAAGAAACCAAGAACCATGGCAGTTTCCAATTTGGAAGAATTGGCTGAAGTCACTCAATCCGATGAAAAAGTGTACCAAGAGAAACAAGAGTTGGATGCCACCTTAGGACTCATGGGTGGATCCTTCCTCGATAAAGATGACTTTACTCAAGAGGCCAAAGAAGCCATTTTCAACAAGGGTCAATCCAAGAGAATCTGGAACGAGCTCTATAAAGTTATAGATTCGTCAGATGTGGTCATCCATGTTTTGGATGCCAGAGATCCCCTCGGAACCCGGTGTGAGTCCGTGGAAAAGTATATCAAACTGGAATGTTCTCACAAGCATTTGATCTATGTGCTCAACAAGTGTGATTTAGTTCCTACGTGGGTTGCGGTAAGTCTTTTTTTTCAATTTTTTTCTTTCATTTTCTAAATCCCAAAGACCTTGTCAGGGTGATCTTCACTTTCCCACAAGCTTGCCTGTTACGTCCTTGGAACATCAATACTCCTCGCCTGTGTCCACCTCGGTGGTTGGTTTCCGTTCTGGAGACCATTTGCACTCTGATTGGTAGTTTTTATCGATCTCTTAGAGGAGTCTTGGCATCATCTGAGTTGAACCATTTTCCTAGCCGTGGAATGGTTCGTAGTATTGAAGCCAACATCTTTTTCCTCTTGATACGCACTTTTTGCAATTACTAACTTCAGGCCGCATGGGTGAAACATTTATCCAAATCATACCCAACGTTAGCATTTCATGCCTCCATCACCAATTCGTTTGGTAAAGGATCTTTAATTCAACTTTTACGTCAATTTTCAACTTTGCATTCGGACAGGAAACAAATCTCGGTTGGTTTTATCGGATACCCCAACACAGGTAAATCTTCCATTATCAACACTTTGCGTCGAAAGAAGGTGTGCACGGTAGCTCCTATTCCAGGAGAGACCAAGGTGTGGCAGTACATCACTTTGATGAAGAAGATTTTTTTAATTGACTGTCCAGGAATTGTACCTCCATCTCTGAAAGACTCCGAATCAGACATTCTCTTCAGAGGTGTGGTTAGAGTCGAGCATGTTTCAAACCCCGAACAGTACATTGGAGATATGTTACAAAAGTGTGAACGGAAACATTTGGAAAGAACATACGAGATCAAAGGATGGTCCAGGTTTGAAGATGATAAGAGTTTGGTTGAAAAAGCCAGTATAGAGTTCATCGAGTTACTTGCAAGAAAGCTCGGCAGATTACTCAAAGGAGGAGAACCAGACGAGAGTGGAGTTGCAAAACAGGTTCTTAACGATTTCAACAGAGGTAAAATTCCTTGGTTTGTACCTCCACCAAAGGATGAAGAAACGAGGACTGGAGAGGATAAGAAAGCCGATTATAAGAAGAAGAGAGCAGAGCGAGAGGCGTCCAAAATTGCTGCTGCTACCGACGAGGTTGCTGCAGAAGATGACGAATGGCAAGGCATTGAAGAATAGACGATCAGTTTACGATACGACAATATACGGTTATCATTATGTGCATTGATGAAATATAAATCATGGTACATAAAGTCTAATTTACACGGATCAATCAGTGGACTGATTATTTAGAGAGGACGGCCATAATGGACCACTCCACTCTTCACATAGTTTCCCGGAGTTGAAGGCGTTGGCATATTGAGAGACCCATTAAGTTGTAAATCGAGACCCATTAAGTTGTAAATCGCTAAACTCGGTATCTGCAGATGAGGGATTGTGGACTGTACCAAGACCCCAAATCATTCCTTTAAATCGGTCTAAACTGGTCGCATCAAAGCCAGATCTTCTCAAGATTTCCTTGAAGCATTCCATAGATAAAAACGCTTGCAAAGATGATGACATCTGTTGATTCTGCTGTGCTGAGTATGGTGTCTGGGAAGCCGACGCAAAGTATTGTCTCACTAATGGAGAGATAGGCCACAAGTGAAGTTCTTCAGCCAAAAACTCAATTGAAGGTTTGTTCTTGGAGCCATTCTTTTCGTTGGAGTTGTCGGCCAAGTTTCCATTAATAGACTTTGTATTTATGTTGGAGCCAATAAACTTCAAATCGTAGAATTTGGGAAAGTATTTGGAGCACCACCAAAAGAAGTCTTTCTCGTCAACGGGAAGCATATCGTTGGACAACAAGCTGACCAAATAGCCCAAGTCATAACCGGCGTGGTAGCTGATCCAATTAACCGATGTGTCCAAAAGCAATCCCGATTCAATCATCAACTCTGCGAAAGAAAAATGAGGAATACCCTGTGTCATGTGCATTTGGAGGTTAACCAGCGACCCCTGGGCGAGCATCGACAAATGCTCCTCGTTGTACATTTCCTTGGAAAGGTCGTAGGCAAAGTTGAACTGCCAAATCACCGATGTAGTGAACTCATGGCCATTGACCTTGGTTACACACAACGACAACTTGATCAAGTTCAACAAGTCCGAGTTGGATCTCAATGTTTGGAAATGGTAATCGGAAGATGACTTGAAAGTACCTATAGGTCTTGCAACGATACCTGGTATTTCTTGATGCATGGCAATATAGACAGTGGAAGACTTGTCGTTGGTGAACGAACGAAGCAACAGAAACTCATGTTCCAAGTTACTAGCCCAAACCTCCTTGATCAACGGCATCTGAGGTTGCTGGGGCTGGGGCTGAGACTGGATCTGAGACTGGAGCATATTCATGGTTTGAGACGGCGGAAGATTCTGAACATTCTGCATCGATTGTAGAGATTGCATGGGCAAAGACAGAAGATTGGGAAGATTGGGAAGACTAGAGGTGCCGCCCATACTCTGCTGTGTTTGCTGGCCTTGGTTCTGGCCCTGATGACCATTAATAGCAGCCAAAAGTGGATTGACCTGGCTTGGAGATGGATTCCCGATCAGGTTTCCAATCAGGTTTCCAATCAGGTTACCCAACTGGTGTGGAACATGTTGTTGTTGTTGCTGCTGCTGTTGTTGTTGCTGGATGTGCTGGCTAAAAAGCTGTTGTCTCTGTTGTTGGAGCTGCTGTTGTTGCTGGAGCTGAAGCTGGGCCATCTGGGGCGACAGACCAAACTGCTCAAGCAGTTGTAGATATTGAAGATGCGGGTTCACGCTCATGGAATATTATATGTTGTGGGGCCAAGAATCGCCTTCAGGCGTTTGTCTAGCTCGATCTTTGACGTATGATATGGTCGTCACTGCAAGTAGGTGATGTCAACCCCGAACAGTTTTTGCGGTACGGTGCAGGAGGTGTGCAGATAGACCGCGAACAAGCTGCTTATGTAATGAACGCTGATTGTGAGATAAGCGAACAGATTTAACGACTGCAATCAAAGCTTAAGGATTGGTTGATTCATGCTACTTCTGCCTTTGTAATGCAGACTGACTATTCCTGCTTTCGTTCGGACACATTTCCTGATTGAGAGCCGCCGCACATAAACGTTCATATTACACAGCGCGCATAGAAAATATATACTGGTTGTGCCGACGGACCGACTTCAGAATGCTGCTATGTAACTCGGGGCTGATCACAGTAAACTTTTGAGAAGCTATTGTCTACATCTCGAGATTCCAGTCTGAAGCAGACAATTGGTTAGTATCAAATACACTTAAGGAACCCGCGACCAATTACCCCATTGGGCGTATCAAAAATTATCGGTGTGGCACCATGCAAGGTTCGGCGCTTCAATTCAGCCGAATATTATATGGAGCTTTATTTCGCAAACTGACAAAACATCAAGTTGACACATTTCTGAAACATCTATGACACACATCTGACACATTTTTGACACAAATCTGAAACATCAAACTACCAAATCTGAAACATATAATCAGCATCATTTTCAATATCGTTAGCATAATTTCATCTCAGTCATAATGGGTGGTCAACAAATCATGAGCCTCTTTGCCGATGTCACTTTCGATGTCCAACTCGAAAGCGCCGTACAATTCAGCGACTGGATAACAACAATCGAGACAGTTCTTCAGCAAGATTTGGGGATATGGTCCTACTATAAAGATCAACTAAACAATTTTGATCCATATACGATGCTTACCGCTACTGGAAAATATGAAACTTTACAGCAGTATGATCTCACAATTCACTTTCTTTTAACTAAGTCAACTACTCCTGCGATTCGGGCTCAAGCATCCAGACATGCGCCAGCAGCGGGAAAGCCACAACTCAAGTATCTCAAGGATTACTTTTCAAATCTTCCGGAGACATCGCTTGTGGAACCAATGAGGGACTTTCTCACTTATATGGATCCCGACCGTGATTTTACTCCAATGCAAAGATATAACAAATTGCGCACTTTCCAGTACCTCAATTTAAGTGAAAGAGAGAAAGCTCGTTTCTTGTTATTTGCCACAAATAACCCTATAGCGCTCCAGGCGGAATTGCATATTCGCTCGCAAACCGATTACCAGTTTACGGATCTTGAATGCGTGGTAAATGAGCTCAATGCTGCATACGTACCTCCAGTGAAAACCATTAAAGTGGAAGATAATGTCTCATATGTCAATTCTACTTCAGACGTTCCTCAGAGAAGCAATTCCCCAAACCACAATGTTTCAGATCAAAGAAGCAATACTACACAAGACATCAACGTTCCAGTGGTTCCAGTCGTTCCTCAAAGAAGCCATTCTCCAAGTTACAATGTTTCAGAGGCTCCTCAAAGAAACAGTACCCCACAAGATAACAATGTTCAGAACGTTCCTCAGAGAAGCAACTCCCCAAATAACAACAATGTTCAAAACGTTCCTCAAACAAGCAATACCTCACAGGACAACAATGTACCGGACGTTCCTCAAAGAAACAATTCTCCACAAGACAACAATGTTCCAGTCACTCCTCAGAGAAGCAATTCCCCAAATCACATTGTTTCAGAGGTTCCTCAAAGAATCAATTCGCCAATCAACAGCAATGTTCTGGACGCTCCTCAAAGCAGCAGTACCTCAAATGACAACAACGTTCCAGACATTCCTCAGACTAGCAATTCTTTAAAGGAGAACAATTCTTCAGACCTTCCACAGAAAAGCATTCTAAAGAATAACAATTCTTCAAACATACAATCAGAAGAAACAAGTGTTTCAAAGAAAAATACTTCAGAAATACCTCCAGAGCGACCCAGATTTCCAAGAAATGGTAGCTCTTTAGAGAGAAGTTTGACGGTTAAATATCCTTCACACCCACCACCAGAAAGAGCCAATGTCAAAAGACGCAAAGTATCACCCAAGTGTAACTATTGCGACAAGTACAGTCACCTGACTCAACAGTGCTATAAAAAACCCAAATCATGGCTGCAAATTCAAGAAGAATATGATCATTATTCAGCAGAGGAAGGACACTCATCGGAAGAAAAGAAAGTCTCTTCCAAGAAATCAAAAAAGTGTACCAGATGCAAAAAACCTGGTAATCTGGCTGAAGTATGCCGGGCCAAGAACCCGGTACCTAACTCCATTCAGTCACCGCAAGAGACTCAAAAGGGTAAACTTTCGGTAAGAATACCCTCATCGAAAGAGTTTACTTATGCTCCCAAAAATCAAAACGTACCCAAGTGTACCATCTGCAAGAAACGTGGACATCTTTATGAAGAATGTTGGTTCAAGAGACCTAAGAAAATACCTGCTGGCAGTAGACCACGGGGTCTAACACAAGATGCCATTCATGTAAATTCACCCACTTCAAAAGAAGTTTCCTTTTTGGATAGAGAAAACCAACCCCAAGAGGAGGACATTTTGTCCAACTTACTGGGCAACTGGTCTTTTGACACTACGGGCACTGTGAACGAACTCTTTGTTCGCGACGAAAGTAGTAATAATCCCGTAGAATTCAGAACTACCGCTGGTCGTGAACGAAGTGGAGATCTCTCTACCAGGCTCGGATAAAATGAAATCTCTATAAACTTGAAAAGGTAAACTACAGAGTGATAGATCAAAGGGGCTATATAATCCCACTAATGATCAGCCTAAAAGGCATTACCTCTGATAAGTAGAACGTGGAAGAAAGCTCAAAAGGCATGAGTAAGACCCACAATTGATTTTCAACAAATCTTACGAATCTGTCCTCGGATTCAGTCAAGTCGATACAAGCTTATTCTTGTGACTCAAAGTATTGTATTTGAATATCAAATACAACTTTCGACCACTTGATAAAAAATATGAGATAGGAGACTATGAGAGAAGGGAACCATCGAATTTTTGGAGCCCACAGTCAGCAAAAGTAAGAAACATGTTGCTCTTTCCACTACTCAAATTGAGTATATCACTTTGAAAAACTCAACAATGCACTTGACAGCTCTTGACAGGCCATATGTATGAAGACAGCAGCTGTTGTATCATGGTCAACAGACCTTATGATCACAAACAACTAAACCATTGACATAAGACACAACTTTATTCGTGACAATATCAAAAGATGTTGAATTATAATCCATTTCTACTAAAGAAGAAGGGCAGACTTTCTTATTAAGGAACTTTCATTTCAACATTTTCGTTACTCCGAAGAATTTCGGCATGAGAAACTTATCATACTTTCTACTGAGTTCCTAGGTAAAACTGGGTGATTTTAGCAAGATTTTCTCCAATACACCACACTACCCAGAAGTGTCTGTTCGTAAAAGTTGCATTAGTACCTTGCCAGGTATATTCGTTGATAAGATAGATGTAAGTTATAGATTGCAGAGTTCATAACTGGTCCCGGAAGTTGGTGGGAGACACATTCTGGAGGTAATTGTGGTCGGCGAGACGTCGAGGCTTGATCAAGTGTTGGATCAAAAATGCCACACCAAGCACCAACGACACGGCAGCTACGATGACATAGATCACTCCCAAACTCATATTGCGTCCTCCAAATATACTGCTTGTGGTGATGACGACGCTCTTGGTTCCTCCGAAAGACTTGGTAGGGTAGTTCATTACCACCGAAAACTGGTACGAACCGGAAGTCATGGTTTGAGTTTCGTTTTTTCCGTAGAGTTTGTAGAAAGACGGAAGACCGGCTGTTCGCATCCAATTTTGCAAGTGTTCCCATGTTTTTAGATCAGGAAGATTCTTTTCTGTGTATCCTTTGGGGTACATCTTGTACCAATTGGGTGGAGGAACGATGTCTTCTGGCTTGTATTCGGTCTTCTTGTACTTGTGGTCACGGTCACTGCTCCATGATATGCCTTTATCACTCATTTCGTACGTCTCGTTGTTGCTGGAGCTCTTGGCGTTGAGAAGCACCGGACTTGAGATGGTATCGTTAAAGTACGAATTGGCAATAAGACCACAAGGATAGATGATTTTGTCTCCAACGTACTTCAATGGCTTGCACTTGTCGGTCAAGCTGTCTGAACTGACGGCGTTTCCTTTAAGTTGTTCCAAGTCGTATGATTCAACGTATTTTCGGTGGTTTTGATAAAAGTTGGTGAGCTTATAGTACATGTACAATGGTGGTTTCAAGTCACGCGGCAATTCAAATTGAATATAGCAGGTTTTGATATCGTCACCATAATCATCTTTATCGCTGGTCACTTTCCATTTAAAGTCCGGGTCGGTGTTTTTGTGACGAAAGTGGTGAGCGGTGTATTTGGAAGGAACCTTGACAAAGTCGTCTGGCTCGAGGTTTTCACAATTAGAGTAGTCTATCTCGAGAAGCTCCACGTTGTACGTAGTGTTGATGATGGCAATGCCCAACGGAGCAAAGATTACTGCCAATAATAAAAGAAGCGGAATCACCGATTTTGGAGTGAGTATCGGCTGCCATGCTTTTAGTCTCTGTTGACGGAATGCAGTATTGGGTGGACGTCTAGATTTGTGTATGGCGCTCACACCCTCGTCATCTGAGTCTGAGCCTCTTCTTCGACGGAGAAAGTCCATTTAGAGTTTACACAACAAGTTCTAAAAAAAACCACTTGTTTGATCGCGGGGCTCAGTGGCAGAGCACCAGTGCACCCACTATGAGGGAACGGCTAACTAGGGTTGTTCATTATCTACATTATGCTAGTCACGGCCCTTTTTTTTGGGCGCCTTCTTATCCACCTTCTTCTTGAAGTCTGTCTTTTCTTTCTGGGCCTTGAAAGCCTTCACATTGGCCTTCAGCTCACGAACTTCAAGCAGAATGGCTATGCCATCGACGGTGGTTTCTTTGGCATTTAAAGCCCTTCTCTGCGACTCAGCGTCCTGGAAATCACACAAGGCAATGTTCATATTGGACTTGAGAAACTTAATAGGACCAAAGTTCTTTGTCAAGTGGTCCCGCAACGAATTTTCTTCCACATCCTTCACTCCACGAATGTAGATGGGGAACCAGTCTTCCTTCTTGTACTTGCCGTTTCCGCTCAGAACTCCATTACCAGCTACCGATGCTGCTGCCGAGCCGGAGGCTGGAGGCGACGACACCGCTGAGGGAGTAGAGACTTTTCTTGGAGCCGGTTTCGCAGCCTGAGCTCTCGACTCTTTGGCAGTTGCAGCCAACGCAGCCCACGTCAATGGTCCTTTTTCTTCAGGAGCAGAGGTTTGCTCGGACTCGGCGCTGTGGTCAGCGTCGTTGTTCGTTTCGCCTTTTCCACTTTCTTGTTGGGTCTCTGGTTCAACAGACGAGGGTGCGGTTTCAGCGTCTCCGGTCGAGCCTGAAGGCACGTAATCGGCTTGTTCCAGAGCACTTTCGGCAGAGGGTTCTGGTTCAGCTCTCGTTTTTTCAGCGGTTGGCTTGTCGGACTCGGATTTCGTCTCGGAAATAGATTTCTCTGCTGGTTTTTCAGCGGTCAAAGCAGGTTTTTCTCCTGTTTTGTCAACCTTTTCTGCCTCTGGTTTTTCCCCTTCAGTCTTTTCGGTCGTCTCAGTCTTCTCCGTTTTCTCCTCCTCCTCCTTGGCAGTCGAAAACAGGTTGTAATCGACAAACCGCAAAACATCATTCGCAAGGTCAATGATGGTTTCTCTCTTGCCTGGACACAACAAAAACGTCTGGCTAAACTGCCAGAACGGCCCGTTGTCCCTTGACCATTCTCCGTAAACCACAATTAAAATTTTATCTTGCAAACACACTTGAATGTCAGCACTGGAAATTACAATTCTATTCACCGCCGGCTCGATTTTGGTAAATCTCTTCCTAATAGCATCAATTCCAACCGCCTGGTGAAGTACCTTCTCGGAATTGTCAGAAGGAAACGACAGGTGGCTCACAGATGCTTGTGGGTGGTACAACTTGTGGATGTTATCGATTCCATCATTGAAGAAACCATAGTACAGTTCGATGAAATACCATCCAATACTGGACGCACGTTTTTCCAGAAGTGCCGCCGGGCCCACACTAGCAGCCGGCGAGCCAGCGGCGGGCGCCACGGGTTGCGGGGTGCCGACTTTGGGAGAGGTGGTCATTTGGCGATCTCACGGCGGTGAAAATTTTTGGATAGCGAGGTGCGTTGGGCCTACCAAGTAGAGGCATAGATTTGCTATGTGAGACAAGTACCTACAGAACCGACAAGTACCGACAAGTACGATCGGACAGTACGGACGACATGCACAGAATTGTAGAACTGTAAAATTGTACAGTAGCTAACTGCATTCCTTCAAGATCTCCTCCAACACCCGGTTCTCCAACTCACTCTTGTTGGACACGCCTTGAAAGCTCTTGATGCCCATCCGCCTCAATACCTCGATAGACTTGTCACGAGGGAAACCCATGTTCTCGAACTGGGTCACAATTGAGTCGTCAATTCCGTAGAGAGCAGCATCGCTGGCTGGCGAAGCTCCACTTGCTCCGTCACCTTCGCTAGCGTAGATTTTGGTCCAGTAGGCTGCCGTATCGTTGAAACCTTTCAAGTTCGACAAGTAGTGCTTTGCCACTTCGGCATCTTGAGGATCGTTGGGTTCGGGCGATTGTAAAAGCGATTGTAATGAAATCAAGCAGCTTTTAAGTGTGTAGATTGGAGTCCAGGCATCTTTCAAAATATCAAGACAGATGGCGCCTGTGACCGATGATATGTTGGGGTGGTATACCTTGGTGAGAAACTTCATGACTGGAGGTTTAAATGGATATTCGTTGGGAATGTTGATGTCCACCAGAAATACACCGCCTTCATATGGAGTTCCAGGGGGACCTTTGAAGTATCCCGTCAAGTGGGTGAGGTCGGATTCATTGTTCAACAGAAGAGATATGCCCGAATGCGTGTCCTGACGGCATTCTTCCAACTCCTTGTTGATCCTCTTAACCCTAGACATTTTGCTACAATCAGTAATTTTGGTAATTTGCGCGAACAAATTCACAAACTACGGCTGCGAGAATATGCAGAACTGCTTTATATACATACATCTATTCTACAGGCGTGCCCTTGACATTCCGTGCAAGAGCCGCAAACACCACCCGCAACTCGGGCTCGGCTGTACGCACAAATGGAAGCTCGAAAAACCCATAGTCGCCATTTTTCACCAACTCGGTGAACACGATGGTCAAGCCCCATGGGTGCGGCTTGTTGACAATGTGACGCTCCAATAACACACGAGTGATGATCTCTTGCACCACTGCCTTGGAGCCAGGTTGTGTCCAGATGGTAGTGGAGCTGAAAAAGTGGAGTATGATCCCCACAAACCAATGGGTGTGGCTGTTTGGATACCGCAATTGGTTGGCAATGGCATTGATCAAATGGAACTTGAACTCCAGCAGTCCGTGGTTCATAAGATCCACGAGAAGGGATACATGTGTAGACTTAACATTGAACCCTCCACGCTGAGAACTGGAAGTTCTTTCGGAAACGGCACTGATACCAATATGTAACACCAACGCATTGATGAGTTTTGTGTTGTAGTGAATGATATCAAAGCCAAAGTCTCGATCCTCCTTGGGCTGCAGAAGCTTCACACTGTTGTACATTGTTCTGATCAACGAAGGAGCTGGGATCCTCAAAAAGTTGTCCACCGGTTTCCGCAATCCAACCTTGGCCAAATCGTCGCCTGGATTAAAGTACACGATCGGTGGCTCTTTGATTTCTGGTAATCTTTCAACCTTCAACCCTTGAGTGAATGGGTCAATGACGGGAATCTTTTTAGGTGTTGCCGAAACAACAATATTTCTCAACTGGATGTACCGTGATGGTATAGCTGTCACCAATTGGAAGTGGCATTCAACCAAAAACTCAGGATAGTCATGAGCCAATCCGGTGAATATCCGGTTAATTGCCTTGAAAATAACGTTGACTATGTCGTACGAGTCGTTGTCACTGTTGCCGCAAATACGGTCAAATTTCAACAAGTTTTGCAAGAGTCTCACCATAGTTGGATACCCGCTGCGGTTGGGCAACGTAATAACCCGAGGCAAGAACATACGGTGAGCAATCAACGATATCCATGCAAACGTAAACCCAGGATAAATCAATGGCTGCAAAGAGTTGAAAATATCACCAATAAAGGTGTAGAACTCTTCATCCAAATGAGCAGTGGCAGTGCTGTCAAGAATCGAAGCATCGTTCCACATGCACAAAATAGACGAGAAGATCTTAAAATATGCTCTTTCGTTCCAGTTGTTTTGGAAATTTTCATGATCTATAGTTAGCATCGTGGTTACAACACTCATAATATTCTTCAAGTAATCCATAGCCTCTTCAGAATGATTCTTATCGAACGATAATACAATCCGTACGATTAACATAGCAAGCGAGTCCACTGCAAGATAGCTTTCTCTTTGGGTTCGGGTTCTCACCTCGTGCTCGGTAGCAAACGCCGTCACTGAAATCTCTGTAGCAGCCTTGAAGAAGGTCTTGAACAATTTTGGATTTGAGAGTATTTCAGCGTCAAGAAGTCCATTTATGAACTTGTCTTGCAAAGGCTCGCTTGGAGGTCCGTGAGACAAAAGGGCAATCCATTCCGCAAACAAATAACCCATTTGATGGTAAGCATCGTGGTCGCCAAACTGAGTAGGAGCAGTAGTTTGGTTCAACAAGGAGAACAAATTATCCCTTGCTAACAAAGCTTCCTTCTGTTCGGCCAGAGCATCTTTAGGATCACCTTTATAGTTGTTCAATGCTTCCAAGGTGAAGCCAAAATCAGACCTCATAGCTATTGGTCGCGCTTCAGAAGAACCGAAGACATTCAACAAGAGATTTGCAGCAAACTTGACAGCCATAGGATTGCTTGATTCGGCCAACAATTTTCCAATCGAGGTATCAAGCTTAGATGCCAGTACCAATTGAACCTTCAAAAGCGAGTAAATGACAGGAATGTTGAATTTGCGTTGGTCAGAAGAATGAACGAGCCACCAAGTGACGTCTTTGGCAGTTGATGGAGAGTACTCGCACAATTTGTCCAATATTACCACATATATCTCATTACTCATTGGATTCTCATGAGCCTGAGTAAAGAGACAGTTGACAGCATACTGAGCAACTTTGAGAAGTAACTCGGGATTTTTGAGTGCATTGCTCTGTGCCAACGTTAAGGCTTGCGCCAAAGCGACCATGATAGGATGTTCTGGGCTAAGTTCAGAAAGCCTTGTTTCTTTGGCATCAGCCAACAACTCAATTGCTCTCTCACAGCTCTGAGTAATAGCTACAAAAAGCTGTTCAAGAGGAAACTCTTCCATTGGGCCAACGGGGGCTGTGCTAGATGAAGTTGGTGTTGGTCCCATAGCCTGAATTCCAGAACCAACTCCAGCACCAGGGGCTACGCTTGGGATGTCGCTGCCATCAGGCATAGCTCTCACGTCGCCAATTGGTTGAGACTGGCGAAGTTCTTCCGGGCGTAAATTAGGTCCGTTATTTCCAAAGCTTTCATAGATTTTGAGCTGCCCTGGAGCTAAACCCTCTCTTCTCAACCCTAATGGATGAGGCAAGTTCAATGCATAATCGCTTGAACCCTCCTCTCTGTAAGGTTCTTGTGGGTTGCGCTGCTCTCTTTGTATGACGAATCTTTGCATTCTTTCATCAATTAGCTCACTGATATTACCAGCCGCAATTTTGTCAACGATTTCAACGCAGAAATGAACATTGGACTGAATGGCAACCGCTAGCTCATTAATAGGAAAGTCGCTCGCGGTAGCTTGGTTTCCAAGAAGCTGCAACATGGTAGCTTCGATTGTTTCACTCAAGATCTTCCTACCACTACAAACTACCATACTATGGCACAATTGTTGCGCTAAAGTTTGGTAAGACTTTCTGAATATGGTAGGATCTCCTTCGGTAGCAAAGTCTTTCGTAGCGAGTGCTTCGGTAGTTGTCAAGACTGCCTCGGAAACACGGCTCAAAATTGGAACTGCACATTCACGAACTGAACGAGATAATGAAGCTTGGAATGCACGACGAAGGTTAGGACTTTGAGTGAAAATCGTGTTTCCAACAAGATTACTGAACGAAGTATCAAGCTGCCCAGATGGAGGAGCCGATGGTGCTCCACCAATTGGTGCTCCAACACTATTCGAAGTGAAACCTGGAGGAGGGCCACTAGTTGAAGGAGGCATGACTTTACTCAAATCATTCTGAGCCATAATGTGTTGTCGCAACTGTTGTTGCTCAAGCTTCTTTGACTCGAGTGACATTCTTGCCAAATCTTTACTCAATCCGGTTGCTCCCATGCGTCTGCCAAAGATCTCTGCAAGTGCAGCAGGATCAGGGTTGTGGCTTCGAACCAATGTAGAAGGCTCGATATCTCCAATCTTCATACCGAATGAGTTAAGAAGAACTTCGATTTCAAACTTCAAGTTTAACTTCAAATCAGCACACGAATAAAGCTCAACAAGCACCTTGATCACACCCAATATCCATGGATTAGGTGGACGAAGTATTACTGAATACTGGGCCTGATCCAAGATCTTGCAAACAAATGGGATAACCAAGGCTAAAGTGTTGAAGTCAAACCCTTCAACAAGAAGAAATTTGAGGGCCACTTGATCCCTGCGAAGAGGTTTATCGTTGGCCAAAGTCAATCTTCCAATCCACGAACCCATATTTTTCAAGTGTGTACGATCATTGGAAGAGTCCTTTGAACTGGAAAGCATTCGTTCAACCTCACTCAATGTCACACCCAATACAATATCGGTGAAGTCGCTGTTATCAAAAGCAGAAATGAACGTACCATAAAGTTCATGGTTGTTAGGCTCGCTCTTTGCTCTATCCACAACAAGATACCTAGCAAACCACAAGAAATAGCGTTCTTCTAAAGCAGACTTTACGTCCGGTAACTTCTTGGCAAGGTTTTCTGAAGTCAAGTTGTTCACAAAGAACAATAATTGGTCTCTAACTTGTTCAGGTGGTTGCGAAGCAGCATCGGTAATCCGATCATCATGAATGTTTAAAGATTGGTACCTGAGCATTGGTGCCCTCACTGATGGTGATGAAGTGCCATCGGTACCCTTGGCATCCTGAGTTGAACCATCAGTACAGGGAATACCATTGGCAGCATCCCTAACGATTGCATATATCTTGGCGTGGCCAGCTAAAGGCTGACACTCCAACAAATGCTTACAGTAAATTGGATATTCATGCAACCGGGACTTGAAATTGTACAAAGCTTGCACAGCAAATTTGAACAAGTGAGAATCTTGAGGTTGATTGCAAGATTCCCAGATAAAATTCAAGGCAACGGTAAGAGTGGTTCCTTGTATCAAGTCTTTTTGTAGCAATGCACCAAACAATAAAGACGTAGAAGCCAACGCAGTCAATGGGTACTCAGAAAAGAAACGGTATTCATCGAGCAATGAATGAATCATACATGCAAATATGTCCTGGTCATGAGGATTGTCACTCAGTCTCATCCTCACAAGCATGTCGACAATGTCCCTTATTTCCATTTCTTTATTGTACATTTTCGAGTAGTACGATTTCATTTCTTGTTCAACATCAGATGGGAAGGTACTATACCTCTCTGAGTTGGCTAAGATTGCAGCGTCGTGACCACAGCCAAAATTGATCAAACGAGGATACGTCGTGAGTAACAGAAGCTGAAGGTTCTTAAGACGTTCTGCGTCAATAAGTCCATTGCTTGCTTTGAGCTTTTCAAGAACGTAAAAAACCAATGGAAGAGTCAACATTTTGCGGTCTGCCAGCTGTGGTTGTGCTGCTCCTCCATGTGCTTGTTGTTGTTGCTGCCATTCGTAATCTTGAGCAGATCTCAACTCTAATATTTCTAACATCAGTTGGTAGATTAGTTTCTTTTGGCCCTCCTTCTGAAGCTGCTGCTCGATGACATTCTTGAAATTAACACCGAAGCCAGCGCCATCAAACGTGAACACCAAACCAACTTTTATGCTTACTTTGAATAAGTCAGCTATGATTTCATCTGTCATGCTGCCCGCTGAAGTGAGTGTCAAAATTTTAGGGACGGTTTCTGCTAATTGACGCTCAGTGTAGTATTCAGCAATGTGCTTTACTAACATGGCCTTGTCAATCTCTGCTAAGCGAGCTATTAAGCTTGCAAGGGAGGCTTGATCAGCGCCTTCTTGATCCATGAGCTGGGTGAATAGAGATCCAATTAAACGAATATGAAATTCGCTTTTGTCAACGGTCAAGAAACAAGCCACAAGAAGATATGCTGCATTGTTGGTTGTGCTATATTCGAATGCTTGACGAACTGCACCAAAAACTTCGCTAACATTGTTGCCAGCAAATTGAGATGAGATCTTTGCCATTGCCAGAACAAGTAATTTTGCAACACTGACAAACTTGACAATGTGATTGGGAAAGTTAACATTGGGGGCTTGGCCAGTTTGTGGAAAACAAAGAGCTAAGTTTTTCAGCTGGAGCAAATTGTAACTTCCTTGAGTTTCAATAGACAGGCTGTGGTTCAACGGATGCATAGCGTGTAAATGTGCAACTAAGGTTGTTCCAAACCACCATTCATAGCTCAAAAAGATGTCCAATACGCCATATTCAAAGTCTAAAGCAGCGCAAATTTCTGTAATGGATGCTAAAGACGGCTGTATGTCTCTTTTTGAAGCTTCATAAAGCTTTTCGTACACATGGCTGAACACCTGGTACCAATTGATCTTCAAGTTGCCGTCTACTTCTACCTTTTTGAAGCAGGTTTGCAACTGGGCGCCCTTAGCGTTACTTTCAGGCACAGAAGAGGCCGTAAGAGCACTGTGAGATGATCTAGACGAGCCGACATTTTGTGAGCCGGGAATGAGTACTTCGGCGAGAATCAATGCAATATTTTCATCTAGGTCTTCATGCTTCAATGAAAGAATTGATGACAAGAACTTGTCAGGAAATAGGATCAAAGCATCAGAATCGAAAAGAATATCGCGGAAAGACATATTTTGGAGGTCTTTCTTGAATTTTTCCACAAATGCGAGCGACTTTACCGAGTCAAGTGATTGCAAGAGTAGTAACTTGGCTGAAAGTGGATAAGCGGGGCAATTAAGACAAAAGTCAAAGAGTCGAGTATAATTGAACTTTGACGGATCCTTATGGCCTAGGCAGTGGAAGACTGCCGACTGTGATGCTGCAATGTAAGACTTTGCAGCGGATAAGTCCGGGAGGATGGATGCTATAAGTATGAACTTAAGGATAGGGTCAGAGACGTGGTCCTCGATAAACAGAAGAATGGATTCCGACGGGTCTGAGGTGTCCTTGTATAAAGCACGAAATGCCTGTTTTGTAGCGTCGAGAAATTGGTCGAGGTTTCCAAGTGTTTGAGCGACCTTTTCAAACTCGAGTCTCAAAAATGACTTTACTGTAGACGACTTTGAATCGCCACTGCCGATGGATGCGAGAGTGATGAGCTTTTGGATGTAGTCCCTATAAAGAGACTCCCTGCTGTTTGCTAATATAAACTGGATCTGGTCGAATCTGGATGGAATAGATTCGGACGTGCCAGAAAGGAGAAGAATGGATATCTGACTAAGGCAAATTTCCTGAACTTCTGAGGTGTAAGAACCGTGTGCAAACAACTGTGTCTCGCGATTAGTGCCTTGATTGATGGTGTCTGATACTCCAAAGATTTCTGGAGAAGCAGCAACTGTGGATGGGAAATTTGTGTCTGAGCGAGAAAGGCCCTTGGGGCTATTTGTGGACGCAGTCACGTTGCCAAATTAATGATGCAGAATGCTGACGAGAGGTTGATGATAGATCAACGGGATATGCGAGTCAGAACTGCGTAATGAGGTGATATAAGATCTAATCAGTAGTCTTTGTATCGTTGGTGAACATTTGGTGCAGAATGAATTTTGTGAGCGCGTTACCCGGAGGGAGTGTGTAGAGACATAGAGAGGTGCAATAGGTGAAGGCTACAAGAACAATATGTGTCGGGATGGTGATTGTCAAAGGATTCTGTCCATTTTTAGTGTAGTTTTCTGTTTCTGTTTCTGTTTTTTTTCTGTTCGTTTCTTTCTTTACATTATCATCTATACTCCATATTCAGCAGCTCTCTCTCGTAAATCACTAGCTTCTTCTCCAAGCATCAGCAAAGCCTGTTGCAACAAGCATTTCAAGTTGATGTTCTCCCTTGTCAAATCATCCACCTCGGTGTCATCTTTCTTGAGTGGAAATTTGAACGGCACAAAATCACTCTGGCTGCTCATATCCGAATAAATGGAATCCATGTCCTGAGTTGGAACCTTTGAAGAGAACACAGACAAAGACGACTGTGACTGGTTCGATACTGCTGACTCTGGATTGTCGGACGCGGTAGAGTTGGAGCGTGGCTTCAAGTTTATAGAAAGATTGATCGACTTGAACTTATCCATCATTGACGTCGACCTTTTATGAGTCTTTAAGGTTTGTAAATGCGTAGGCTTCTTCTCAAATATCCGCTCATCCCACGAAAGCAAAAGATCGCCGAAAAAGGAATTGACGTCGTTGACAACTACTCCCCATTTGCATTCGTTCAACAAATGCTGGTATGCTACTTCCTCGTCACCATCCTGCAAACTCATCAAAATGGGTTTGTTGGCAATGAGAAGCCCTAAGGATATCTTCATGATTCCTGTCTTCCATCCTTCGAGCAAGCAAAAGTCGATAACTCGATTGACAATGTTCATATCTGGAGAATGGCTGCACAGAAACGAGAGCCACCATTGGTACAAGAACACCTGGAATTCAACAAAGGAGTTGAGATGGCGGTACAACTCGCCGTCAATGGTCTTCAAAAGTGTTTGGAATTCATCGTTCCAACTTTGAAGCGTATGGGACATCAGCTGTGGTGTAAAGATATCGTGGAGTGATTTTTCCGTTTCCATGATTGTCAAAAGCGCATGGAAAACTAACTGGGGATCGTCTTTAAACTGGTGGCTCAACACACCAACGAGGAACAATAATCCTTGGCAGTAGCCTAGTTCGGCGTCGTAATTGGCGTAAACGTTGAGAATTGTCGAGAGGTTCTGAAGCGTTTCTTCCTGCTTGAAGTAGGGCAAGTCGGGAAACGTCCGGCTCAAGTCCTTGGAGATTTGCGTGGATATGTCGGCGCTATACGAATGTTGAAAGTTTTCGTAAACTAGCAAAGATGTTTGAGGAATTGACGAGTTGTTCAACAACAAGAGCCGTTTCCATATGGGACCCCGAAGTTGAAAGGGGATTCCTTGCTGGAGGAAAAGAAGCTGGGTATATGACGGGAACGAGTTGATTGTCTGGGAAGGGTTTGAAAGAAAAGAAGTCCAATAAGACATCTCAAGGTCGGATGAGATGGTCTTCTTTGTATCCAAAAACGTCTTACAACAAGTATTCGACGAGATGGTGTTGATGTTGGTACCGCATTTGCCACAGGTGGTGAAGTCGTCTTTGGCAGTGTTGTAGTCATCAAACAATTTTTCGATTGATTGTGAGGGTTCTTCTTCACTAGATTGATTTTGACAAAATTGCGAAGCATATTCAATACGAGATTCGAGGTTTGAAAGCATTAGTCTGTTGCTGGACTTCAGGTAGGTGCTGAGCGAGTGCTCGAACTCAAGAAGGGCTTCGAAGTTGGTCATATGAAATGGAAATGACTCGAAATGACTGAGAATGACTGGGAAACAGACACGAAATAGACACGAATAGACAAGAAATAAACACGAAATAAACACAAACACTAACTGTTGTACGTTAGTCACTTGATCAGGTTAGACCAGGTAGACAGCGTTTTAAGGAGTGATACGCCGTAACTTAAAGGAATGAATGAAGTGAGTGAAGTAAAGAAGAATCGCTGCAAGTAAATACTCGCAGGGGTTTGGCGGGGCTCAAATGCACGTTCGCGTTTGGAACAGGTGCGTGAATGTTGCGGTTCGGCGTTGAGAAGACAACACCTGAGTGGTTTCTGGTGACGATATAGATTGAATTTAACTGCTCAGATCAGAATTGATCTTTATTGTGAAAGAAAGCAAGAATTGATATCCGTTTTCATCGTCTTGGAAACCTTCCTATTTGGGAAGTCCTGCGACCTGCGGCTGCAACCAGCAGCGTGAAGGGTGTAGGGTGTAACGTGTAAGGTGCACGGATGTATTTGGGTTCATTTTCATTTTCATTTCGATTTAATTTCCTGGCTCCTGCATGGTCTACTACTTTACAGTACAAGGCACCAACGACGACTTTGGGTTGCTGGTGCCGACCCATGAGGTTTACATGGGCAAAGACAAACACGAAAATGACCCTTTGATCAAGTTTTCCCATCCCAAAAACTTATGGTTTCATGTGGACAAGCATTCTTCCGCTCACTTGTATCTTCAATTGAGTGAAGAAGACCAAAACAAAACTTTCGAAAAGTTACAAATAGATAGCAATGTATTAGACCAGCTAGCACAGCTAACGAAAGCCAATTCCATCAAGGCCAACAAGCTCAACAATGTGACGATTATATATACCCCAGTGGACAACCTTCATACTGATGGATCAATGGATGTTGGAACTGTAACTTTTCATAATCCTCAAAAAGTCAAACGGATTCTTGTTGCAAAGAAAGACAATGCAATCCTTAACAAGATTAACAGGACAAAACGTGAAGATACTACGGAAAATTTCATTTCGCAGCAGCAAAAGATGCAAAAAGAATGGTCTACAAAGAAGAAACAACGAGAACGTGAATGGAAAGCACAAGAGGCCCAGTTAGCCAAGGAACACCAAGCGCAAAGAGAAAGAAACAAAAATCCATATGGGGACTTGTTTACTGATGAAGTTACCAATTTGAGCAGTAACGATACCCGGCATGAAAACTGGGACGAAGACGAGTTTATGTGAGAAAGAACTAGAAGAACCAGATTAGAATAATAGAGAGAATTAGTAATACTAGACTAGAATTAGTAGAACTGAACTACTGAAGTCATCACTCTACACTTCGTTGCCATAAATTTATTGCTATGCTCTATCTAGTCCATCTTGACGGGGAACTTTCCAGCCTCTCTTTGGTCATCCCACTTTTCAACCCAGTCAACGGGACACAATGAAGTAAACGTCTTGAAGAAAATCTTACATGGCTCGAATTCCTCACCCTTGACATTGACACACTTGTGGTAGTCTACATACGACTGAGCACAATACTTGGACTGGTTCTGGTTGGGAAACCGGGCGTCGAACTGTGGGGTTTCAAACTTGAAGTTTTCGGGGTCAAAGGCCATGATGGTTCGGGTTGGTGAAGTTGGCTGATTTTCGCGAATTGAAAGTTCTCATTGGACGTGTGTCACGTGATCTGGTGATGGTGGGCCTGGTTTGGTGAAGTTGTGGAGGAGGTGTGGGAGGAAAGTGGAAGGGGAAGGTGGGTAGCAGCGGTGATTTTGAGGTCATAGCCTGAGTATGGATGGTTTTTCATTTGGATATTGTAGTGAAGATTAGGACAGATTTGGTGATGTGTGCAGGAGTTGTCCGAGTGCTTTTTTGTGAGGAAAGTACAATTGCAAGCCATTGAATACTCCACGGTACGTTAAAGTCGCCTTTTAGTTGAGTTCTTTCTGCACTTTTTTTTTTTTTGCGATTGTTTCAATTTTTGTCTATTTTCCACCCAGCTGCTTATTCCAACCGTCCATTTCCACGTCTTTTTCACTCAAAATAACCAGTAGAATCGCCAATTGGTACACCTTGGGACCCCTGATTTCCTCCAAAGCTTTTTGTTCTTCAGTTAGTTCTTTTTTGCCCAGATAGTTCGGATTACTAAACGATTTTTCCATAGATATATGGTTGTATTGATGTATATCTGCCCCAAGTTTTGACTTGACCAACTCCACGATTGTAACTAGCTTTGAGATAGCCACAGACTTGCCTATCAAAAGCACTGTTGATTTTTCCTGCAACGAAGCCAAAATTTGTGCTACTCGTTGTCGAATAGAGTCATTCTTTTTTATGTTTGTGGCCACTACGTCTACCCCGAATACTTCTGCAACGTCGCTAGGCACGTCAGAAGTGGTAACTGAGCCTTCTTCCATGGAAAAAGAACCCTCTTCTATGTCAGTAAGTCAATTCGAATCAACTCAGATGAGAGTAGGCATCGGTCAGTCACGTGCGGGTGTGTCACGCGCGAGGGTCTTGTCGCTTTGGTGCAGCAGGCCGCTTGTGGCTGCGCGAAAAAGTACTCGCGATGTATCCAAAGGACCATACCGAGCCACACTAGTGTCGTCAATTAATTTATCGTATCTCATAGATTTCATGACCTCGAGCTGGCGGCGCCGCAATTCGGCTACTGGTGTATTTTCATCAACTGGAAGCCGCGGCTTTGTGTTTTTTTTGTGGGCAGAGTTACAAGTACAGTCAGCCACCTGTGATTGGGGTGGGTGGTTTGGGTGTGATTGAGTAGGGTTTGATTGAGGTGGCTGTGATTGAGTTGGGTTTGTTGCAGTTTGATTTGGGTTCGCATTTGAGGTTTCCGCGGTGGAAGTGGTCACTGTTTTGGATTGGTAGATGAGTTCTTCTGTTCCCTGCACGCACTGGCGGAGGAGATCCAAGTCCATGAAACTAGATAACGAAGAACAGAATGGAATTGGTAGTAATTGGCTGCAAATAAGTGAATCGCGCAAACAGCCAAATCGCACAAATCAAATCCATTTCTGTCGTGTGGTTCCGACACGTCTGGGGCCCCGCGATTCCGGCCCGCCGGTATAAAATCGCAAGTGATTGCATGCTCAGTAGAGTGAAATTTTTGCCTAGATTTCGCCCATTGACCCCTATAATTTCCAGATTTGCCATGTCCTCCGTTCCATATCAACAGCCAGCTCACAAGTTGACCATGATTCCTGGTCCTATAGAGTTTTCTGATGAAGTGTTGTACGCCATGTCCACTCCTTCTCAAGCTCATACTTCGCCCGAATTCGTTGCAACTTTCCAAGAAGTGTTGAAGGGGCTCCGTAAGCTCTTCAAGTCTTCGGATCCAAACTCGCAGGGTTATGTCCTTGCTGGATCCGGTACTTTGGGATGGGATGTTGCTGGTGCCAATTTGGTCAATCCCGGTGATAACGTATTGGTACTTTCCACTGGTTTTTTTTCCGATTCTTTTGCTGAATGTTTGAAAGTATACGGAGCCAATGTCGATGTACTCACTGCTGACATTGGAGATGTTGTTCCCATTGAAAAAGTGACGGAGCAATTGTCGAAGAAGAACTATACCGCAGTAACGGTTACCCATGTCGACACCTCCACTTCTGTTGTTTCCGATGTTAAGACTGTTCTGGACGCCGTGAAGAATGCTTCACCAGAAACTTTGCTTTTTGTGGATGGTGTTTGTTCCATTGGTGTTGAAGATCTCGAGTTCGACAAATGGGGAGTGGATTTTGCTCTCACTGCCTCTCAAAAAGCCATTGGTGTGCCCGCAGGCTTGTCCATCTTCTACGCCTCGGAACGTGCTGTCAACAAGGCATTGAACCGTGAAAAAGATACCACTTTCTTTGCGTCGTTGAAAAGATGGACCCCGATCATGAAGGCATATGAAAGCGGTAGCGGTGCCTATTTCGCTACTCCTGCTGTGCAGACCATCACCGCATTGAAGGTATCCTTGCAGTCCATCTTTGGTGAGTCTTTGGATTCCAGAATTCAGAAAAATGCTGAAGCTTCTGCCAAATTCAAGCAACATATGCAAAAATTGGGATTGAAAATCTTACCCAAATCCGACGCTGTTGCTGCCCATGGCTTGACCGCCGTCTACTTTCCCGATGGCATTGACGGACCCGGCTTTCTTGGAAAGTTGGCTGCAAAAGGCTTTACTGTTGCTGGAGGAATTCACAAAGCATTGCCTGGAAAGTACTTTCGTGTGGGCCACATGGGTCACTCCGTTGATGCTGGACATGTGGAAAAGGTAGCCGATGCCATTGAAGAGGCGCTCAAGGAGAGCGGATACAAGCAGTAGAGTGGAATGAAGAAGAAAGCAGAAAGAAAGTAGAAAAGCAGCCGAAATGGACTTGAGTTGACTTGAGTTGATATCAGTTAGACTTGAGTAGAGTTGATTTGACTTGAGTAAACTGAAGTTAGATTTTAGTTGAGTGGGTATACTTGAGTTAGATTTGATTTGAGTAGAATTGAGTTGACTTCAGTTGATTTGAGTAGATTTAAGTTAGACTTGGTTTGACCTGAGTAGACTAGGTGAAAAAGAAGTAGTAGAGACACCATACTAAAAAACACAAAATGAGAAAAAACGAAAACTACTTCAAAATATTAGTATAGATATTTCATAAACTCACATTTTCGCAAAATTCACTTTTCACTTTTCACTTTTCACTTTTGGTCTCTGTATTCGCAGCCTTCGCACATCGCGAAATTCATCTTCACCATGAGTGTTCCATTTGATATCGACCCATATGAAGTGTTGCATGTAGCCAAGGATGCCACTCCGTTGGAAATCAAGAGGTCCTACAAAAAGTTGAGTCTTAAGTATCACCCCGACAAAATCCAACAAGCTGGAAATTCGGTGGAAAATGATACTTTTCCCAAGATCCAGTTTGCTTATAGCATACTTTCTGACGCCGTGAAACGACAACGGTACGATCAGACCGGACTGATGGCTAGCGGTGTGGATGACGAAGGCGGGTTCTTCGACTGGAAGGAATATTTCCTGACTATGCATGATAAAATCACCATTGATATGATCGATGAAGATCGCAAACGATACCAAAATTCTGAGGAGGAACGCCAAGATATTGTTCAGAACTTTATTTACTATGAAGGTGACTTTCTAAAGCTCTTTGAAGTGATACCACATTTGGAGTTTGATGAGGAAGCGGAACAGCGGGTATTTGCCATAGTTGAAGAGGCTATTGGTGACAAGAAAGTTGACGAAACTGTGATTAAATCGTTTGAAAAGTACAAGAAATCCCGCAAGACAAAGGTTAAACAGATGCTCAAGCGGCTAGCAAAGGAAGCAAAGGAATCGGAAAAGTTGGCGGCAGCCATAAAAGACAAGGGTAATCGGCGGTTGGACTCCGAGAGTGATCTCAAAGCATTGATCCAGAGCCGTCAAAGTAGTCGGATGGACAGTTTGATAGACAAGTTGGAGTCGAAGTATGGGGCGAAAAAGGGAAAGAAACGAGCACCGACGGAGGAGGAGTTTGAAAAGATCCAGGCGGGTTTGAAGAGGAGAAGGTAGATAGCAGAAAGGATAAAGCGCATGGTTGCTGGAGCTAACTGGAGCTGGTAGCTGAATGGTCATTTTTGGTATTCTCTCATCGTCATAATAACTTGCCGACAGCTGATCTAAAAGTCGGTATCGAGATCTCTTCTACTCCAATTTGGTATAAAAATCATAACACAAAATACATGCCAGAAACCACAACACGGCAGTGGTGGAGTTCTTCAACACATTTCTTATTGGCTGCCTTCGTTGGAAAGATTCAATTGTTTTATCGATTTGCACTCCGGTGCCTAATACGAGCGAAACCGCTAAAAAAAACCAAATATATCCCAGTCTAGGAACGGATATATCTTGATCGAAAGAGAACATCCCAGAAATGTTCTCCAGCCAAATTGAGTATGAAATATATGGAAGTCAATATACTGATTCGACACTCACACCTATTAACTTTCCTTAAACTTTCCTTAAAGTAGTTGAAAGTTGTTCGTAGATATACATAAGCACCACCTACTCCAAAAGAGTCAGTAGACTTCTGTTCAGTTGACTTCAGCCAAAGTCAGGTGAACAAGAAATACCTATGAAGATTATCACCTATCGGTTGCAAGTTCACAACCTCTCAACTTTTTATGGTGCACCGGTGCACTAGCCGCATCCACCTCATGTTTACGCGTCGATCTATCACTTCCTCTAATGAGTTCGTTTGAATCGGATTCGGCCAGCGACGCCGAGTCGGCGTTCTCCGATGCGTCTCTGGACTTCACTCCTTCATCTTCTGTGAAATCAAAAGGAAAAGTTCCACTTAGAGACTCAACTAATACCACCGCTCAACCATCCGCTCCAGCCACTGGCGATGCCTCTGATCAATACCAAAAGCTTTCACAATTAGAACATATCTTGAAGCGTCCCGACACGTATATCGGGTCTGTGGAGAAAACTGGGGTCGAAATGTGGAGTTTTGATGCCGCAACAGAGTCGATGATCTACAAAGAGGTCCACATAGTTCCTGGTCTCTATAAGATTTTTGACGAGATTCTTGTCAATGCTGCTGATAACAAGATCAGAGACCCCTCAATGAGGAACATCAAGGTCAATATTGACGCGGAAAACAATACCATCCTGGTGATGAATGATGGTAAGGGTATCCCCATCGAAATCCACAAGAAGGAAAAGATATACATTCCCGAGTTGATTTTTGGAAATTTGTTGACATCCTCCAATTATGACGACGACGAAAAGAAAGTTACGGGTGGTCGTAACGGATACGGTGCTAAACTATGCAATATCTTCTCCACCGAGTTCGTACTTGAAACCGCAGATTTGAATACCAGCCAGGTCTACAAACAAACCTGGACAAATAATATGGCAAACTTGACAAAACCCAAAATCACAAAGCTCAAGTCCAAGAAGGAATACACGAAAGTCACCTTCAAACCAGACCTTTCCAAGTTCCATATGGAAATGTTGGACGACGACATCTTATCTGTTCTCCGCCGGAGAGTGTACGACTTGTGTGGTACCGTCAAAGATTGCAACATTTACCTTAACGATAAGAAGTTGTCAATTCGCAACTTCAAGTCGTATGTCGAGATGTACGTCAATGCCATCAGGGAACGTAGCCCCGACCCTGTTGCTCCAGAAGGTGAAACGAGAAACTACTCGACAATCGTCCATGAGGTATTCAATGACCGCTGGGAAGTCGCATTTGCCGTGAGTGATGGCTCTTTCAATCAAGTCAGTTTTGTTAACTCCATCGCAACCACATCGGGAGGAACCCACGTAAAATACGTCTCTGACCAGATTATAACGAAGCTTATTGATGCCCTCACCAAGAAAGAAAAGGGCAAGAAAAAGCTCAACATCAAACCGCAAGAAGTCAGAAATAACATGTTCGTCTTCATCAATTGCTTGATCGAAAACCCTGCATTCACCTCACAAACTAAGGAACAGCTTACCACTCGTGTGGCTCAATTCGGAGGTAAGCCTCTGGAGAAAATTGTCATCTCCGACCAATTCATTGCTAAAATTTTGAAAACTAGTATTGCTGACAAAATCAGAACCATCGTTAATGCTAATGAAGACAAGGAAATGCTGAAAGCCGATGGCTCCAGAAAATCGAGAATAAAGAACCAGGTAAAGTTGGTTGATGCTAATAAGGCGGGTACCAAAGAAGGCTACAAGTGCACGTTGATTTTGACTGAAGGAGATTCGGCCATGCCATTGGCGGTTGCTGGTTTGACGGTCGTTGGCCGTGATTACTACGGCTGTTTCCCCTTGCGTGGTAAGCTTTTGAACGTACGAGAAGCCTCCATAGAACAGGTTTCGAAAAATGCAGAAATAAACTCCATAAAGCAAATTATGGGTTTACAGCATAAAAAGCGGTATACGCCCGAAAACATCAAGAGTCTCCGCTATGGTCATATCATGATTATGACCGATCAGGATCAAGATGGTTCACACATCAAGGGATTGATTATCAATTTTTTGGAAACAAGTTTTCCTGGGCTACTCGAAATTCCTGGCTTTTTACTAGAGTTCATCACACCAATTGTGAAAGTCACCATAACTGGCCGAGGAAACCACCGTGTTATTCCATTTTACAACATGCCCGAATTTGAAAAATGGCGAGAAACTGAGGGAACCACTTGCAAGTGGAAGCATAAATACTTTAAGGGTCTAGGAACTTCTTTGGAGTCCGAAGGTCGAGAGTATTTCGCAGCTTTGGATCGACACATGAAATCGTTTCATGCTCTACAGGATGGCGATAGCCAGTACATCGATATGGCGTTTTCAAAGAAAAAAGCCGATGAAAGAAAGGACTGGCTTCAGGCGTTCAGACCTGGTACTCACTTAGATCCACAAATCAGGGAGATTCCTATTAGTGAGTTTATCAATAAGGAGTTAATTCTATTCTCAATGGCTGATAACGTTAGATCAATTCCATCGATTCTCGATGGATTTAAGCCCGGGCAACGAAAGGTGTTGTATGGTTGTTTCAAGAGAAACTTGCGGTCTGAAATCAAAGTGGCACAATTGGTAGGTTATATTTCTGAACACACAGGTTATCACCATGGAGAAGGGTCGCTTGCCCAAACTATTGTTGGACTTGCTCAGAATTTTGTTGGTGCCAATAATTTGAACTTGTTGCAGCCAATAGGTTTATTCGGTAGTAGAGCTGCAGGTGGTAAAGATTTCTCGGCTGTTAGGTATATTCATACCAACATTACTGATCTCACGAGAGTCATCTTCAATCCCTTGGATGATGATTTGTACACCTATGTTCAGGATGATGCACAAACTGTTGAACCTGAAGCCTATCTTCCAATCATTCCAATGCTTCTTGTGAATGGTGCTGAAGGTATTGGGACCGGTTGGTCAACCAATATTCCAAGTTTCAACCCAGTTGACATTGTTGCAAATATTAGAAGAATGATGAACGGTGAAGAACCTGTTGACATGACTCCATGGTTCAAAGGTTGGGAAGGTGACCTTGAACGCATCTCGCCTGAGAAATATAAGGTCCTGGGTAAGATTGAGCAAGTTGACGATGATACAGTAGAGATCACCGAGATTCCAATCAAGACATGGACTAACAGTGTCAAGGAATTTTTGCTTGCAGGATTGGGAAATGACAAACCATGGATTAAAGATATGGAAGAACAGCATGGTATCAATATTCGCTTCGTGGTACGCCTTCTGAAGGAAGAGATGGATAAATCTTTAAGAATGGGGCTCCTCGAACGGTTCAAGCTCATTTCCTCGATTAGTTTGTCAAATATGGTGGCTTTCGATCCTCAAGGCAGAATCAAGAAGTACTCATCAGCTAACGAGATTTTGAAGGATTACTATTGGGCAAGGCTTGAGCTTTATCAGCGTCGGAAAGACATGATGGCTGAGAATTTCCAGAATCAGCTCACCAGATTGAGTGAACAGGCACGGTTCATTAAATTGATCATCGAGAAGAAGCTAACTATTGCTAACAAGAAACGTCTGGAAATGGTAGATGACTTGAAGAAGTTGAAATTTACCAGATTTAACAAGAATGGTAAACCGGTGCACGACGAGCCATTGGTTGAAGCCGAGGAATTGGCGGAAGAGGAAGAAGAGGCTGCGGGAGATATCAGTCAATTGAATCTTGGTTTGGTGGCTCCAGAAGATGAGTCACAATACAAGCCGGAAACAACGTACTCGCAGTATGATTACTTGCTTGGAATGGCTATTTGGTCGTTAACAAGAGAAAGATACGAGAAGCTTTTAAGACAACGAGATGAGAAGCAGGAGGAATTGAATGAGTTGTTGAAAAAGTCTGCCAAAGATTTGTGGAACAGTGATCTCGATGACTTTCTTGTTGGATGGGAAGAGTTCTTGCGTGCAGACATCGAGGCTAGAAACAGTTTTGGGCCCACGGCGAAAACTTCGACTCGGAAAAGAGCTAGAAAGTCAACAAAGTCGGAACCGGCGCAGAAGAAGACAAAGAGTTCTACACCAAAAGCTTCCACTCCAACCATTAAAGCCGAGGCAACGCCTGCTCAACCTGTTGTCAAAGAAGAGACCAACAAGCAGCCAGACCTTCTCAGCTTCTTTTCGAAAGAACCAAGCGTTGCCAAGACTGTTTCAGCCGCACCACCTAAGCGAAAGACCCCCAAGTCAAAACCCAAAAAGGAGATTGTTTCTTTGTTCAGTGACAGCAGTGATGATGATATCACGCTGTTTTCCGTCGGAGATGCTAAGCCGACACCCAAGCCTTCGACCAATAACATCTTAGACGAGCTAGAAGACCTCAAGTCGTCGACTTTCACTCCGAAGGTAGGTGCGGCTGGAAGACGTCGTCCCAAGTCGTATGCGTTAGCTGAGAGCGACGGAAACGAAAGTGATGAAGATTACATGCTGGAATAATCCATAGCTAGTGTACTTGCTAATACAACCGGTAAAGCTAGCCAATTGCAGCGTTATTCACCACCGCCGTGGATCGGGTTAGTCACGTGAACTGGCCGTTGGTCCTGCACGTCGCTTCATTATTCATATATTAGTGAGAGTCTTCCGATATCAGTCAGCAGACGTATCGGTTGATTTCAGGTCAAAAAGAGAAAAGGTGGTTTTACAAAAGCGAAATAGCTGATACATTTTTACTCACAGCAGCATCATATTTGTGGAACCTTTAAACTTGACTTTTCATTTCAAGCAAGTTATTTTGAAATTCAAATCATTTGGAAATCAAAAAAGAACATCTAAGTTCTGAAAAATTGTACGAACAACGCTATGGCATCGAAGGACATAGTACATCCGCAACCAGAGCGCCGGCACGGGTCGGAAACTCACGAATTTACCATGCCTCTCTTATCTCCTACATTGACACCATCCCATATTCCATCGCAAACGCCTCAAATTCCTCCGGAAGTGCCAGCAGAAGTCAGGGATCGCTTGCCCCTTCCTGAAACGTTGCCTGTGGTGAAATGCATGGCGAGAGCTCGTATACCGACCACTCAGGGGCCGGAGATATTTCTCCATTTGTACGAGAATAACGTTGACAATAAAGAGCATTTGGCTATTGTTTTTGGGGAAGACGTGCGTTCGAAAACGCTCTATCAGAAACGTCCCAATGAGACCCAGCAAGATAGAATGACTCGTGGTGCTTATGTGGGCAGATTGTTTCCTGGAAGAACCGAGGCAGACTATGACAGTGAGTCTAATTTGAGATTGAATTTCGATGAAAATGGCCAACTTATCAGAGATCCAAGTACCACCTGTAGTGGTGAGCCCATTTTGGCCCGTATTCATTCGGAATGTTATACGGGGGAAACCGCATGGAGTGCTCGTTGCGATTGTGGAGAACAATTCGATGAAGCTGGTCGGTTAATGGGTGAAGCTGGGCACGGGTGTATCGTGTACCTTCGTCAGGAAGGTCGTGGAATTGGACTTGGGGAAAAGTTGAAGGCTTATAATTTGCAAGACTTGGGAGCGGATACCGTCCAGGCCAATTTGATGTTACGACATCCTGCTGATGCGAGATCTTTTTCGCTCGCTACAGCCATACTCTTGGACTTGGGGCTCAACGAGATCAAGTTGTTGACCAACAATCCCGATAAAATTGCTGCAGTTGAGGGAAGAAACAGAGAGGTCAAGGTAGTGGAACGGGTGCCTATGGTGCCGTTGGCATGGAGAAGTGAGAATGGAATCAAGTCAAAAGAGATAGAGGGCTACTTGAGTGCTAAGATTGAAAGGATGGGGCACTTGCTTGAAAAGCCACTCAAGATATGATAGAAGAGATGAAGTTAAGGACTTAAGAAATAAATGATGAATTAAATGACGCAAATGTCACTACTCGATTAGAGAAATAGCTATAATGAAGAATTTTGCATTTCGCAAAATTTAAGATAAATGCAAAAACTGCAAATTACGAAATATGCATATGATACAAGACAAGAAAAGACTACCAAAAGTCTCTCGAGAAGAATACTGGGTAACCTTCATCTCTTGATTATGCACTGGGGCTATTCATATGCAGATTCGCACGCCGAGGTGCAGCGTTTAGGCGCGGCTCAACGGAAGCCAACGGCCGCCACAAATTGTCCGGAAAGTCGCCGAAACTGATCCACTGGTACCACAGCCCCATAAGAACCCCCTTTAATATTAAAAACCGTTCTTCAGCCACTTTTGATCACATTGTTTGCAGCCGCCCGTTGCTGCCATCCAAACACCACGCGTCCCCCGCACCCTTTTACGGTGCCCACTGCATTGGAATTTGCATAAAACAGCCTCACGAAGTGGATTAATTTTTAGAGCACTCAAGTCATCATGCTGCAATCTCTGCATCATGAAATGACTCCCGTTGATACAGGGAACTCAGACCGCAAGCGGCGAAGAGTCACAAGAGCGTGTGATGTGTGTCGACGCAAAAAAGTGAAATGTGATGGAAAACAACCATGTATTCATTGTACGGTGTATTCGTATAAATGTTCTTATGACGATCCTAACATAAGAAACACCAAAAACCCGGGCCTTCCTGCGCTGCTGGACCATAGTCCTGACTTTATCAACCTCCATCGTAACCAAGGTAATGATTTTGGTGGTGGTGGTTATTCAGTAATGCTGGGTCATGATAGACATCCAATCAATGGTGAAGGATACCAGGCTCCTCACAAATCAACCGAGGGTGATGCCCAAAAAGCACTCCAGATCCTTTTCCCGCGTCTTAACCTTCAACAGCGAAATGTTGATGTTTACAAGTTGAATAAAATCGTCCAATATCTCAAGTCGAAAAACCCGTCCTATATCAATATTAACGAGATATCCGACTTGTACCTCGATGGACCCACCCCCACAACGTCGCCAGCAACCACTTTCGACCCTCCATCAGTCAGCTCCAACGATGGAAACCCGGTGGGTCGGGAAATACGAATTGTTCTTCCTCCAAAGGATGTAGCGTTGCAGCTCATTTACACCACTTGGAACAAGGCTTGTGTACTTTTCCGGTTCTACCACCGTCCGTCGTTGCTAGAAGAAGTGGAGTTTCTCTACTCAATGGACCCGGTCAATTACACCGATAGACAGCAGAAATTTCTTCCATTTCTCTACCTGATACTTGCTTGTGGACTGTTGTTTTCCCGACTGAATTCTCTCAGCAAGGACAACGACTCGCTCGAAGACGATGGTTTCAACTACTTTCTCGAGGCTCGCAAACTCATCGACATCACCAACGTGGGAGACATTTCCCTGATCCAAACCATCGTCATGATGATCATGTACCTCCAGTGTCTGGCTCGTCTTTCCACCTGCTACCTCTACATTGGAATTGCCATGAGAAGTGCATTGAAGGAAGGCCTTCATAGAAACTTGCTGATTTTCCAGAGCTCGAAACGACGGTTGGACCCCATTGAAATCGATACAAGAAAACGACTTTTTTTCACCATCTACAAAATGGACATCTACATTAACTCGCTTCTAGGACTCCCCCGATCTGTCAATGAAGACGAGTTTGACCAAGAATTTCCAGAAGAACTCGACGACGAAAATGTAACCCGCGATTCTCTCAACTATGAACAGCAAAATGGCAGACTTTCGTCATCTGCCTGTGCCAATCACCACACAAAGTTAATGATGGTAATGTCTCACGTTGTAAAAGAACTTTATCCCATAAAGGTGAAGAACACTCCTAATAAGCCAGATGGGTTGGGAGTGCACGAGAGAGTGACGAAACTTGAAATCGAGCTCAAGACATGGCTCGATAATCTTCCACCAGAATTGCAACCCACCGACCCTAGTGATATAAATTCGGGCAACGATATCCCCGAGAAATTTGTGCTTGCCAACTTTTATCTTCATCTTGCATTTTTGAACTGTCTGATAATGCTTTACAGACCCTTCATTCACTATATCAGCAACGAGCAAACAGCTACATCTGATCCCAAGTCTCTCATTCGAGGTAGAAACTGCATCAAGGTAGCGAGAATGGTGGTAAAGCTAGCCAACAAAATGATCGATAAAGACCTCTTGGTGGGGACTTATTGGTTTTCCATGTACACCATTTTCTTCTCCATTGCATGCCTTATTTATTACTATCATTTTGCCAACTATAATAATCAAGCAAAGAGTGGAGCCAACTACGCAGGCGTTCTTTTTGATGATGACTTGGACGTTGATAAGATCAAAAGAGATATTGAGATAGGAAAGCGAGTATTGGACTGCTTGAAGAACAATTCAAATGCATCCATGAGAATTTACAAGATTCTCAACAATCTTTTCGAGCAGTTGAATAGACACACCGCTGCGTCCAAAGTTCCAAAAGACCAACTTCTTGAAGGTGCTCCCGGCGGTCTTTACATAGGAAGCACCGCATCGGAACCTACAGCACAGGCAGTTCTTAGAAAGAGCGGACCATCGGCCTTGAAACAAGAAACCAGTCCTCTTTCAGATTTTCAACAAGCAGCTGAGGAACTCCATCCTCCAGGCATGAGTTTTGGATCTTCACACGAGAGGAAGCAGGTGGCCAACGAGGTTGCAAATCGGGCACATATGAAGTCGATAAACAGTATATTGCAAGATGGACTCGGTGAAAATGCTGCAAAGGTTCAATTTGACCCAGTCGGAGGATTCGAACCTCCTTCAAAAGTTGAGACCGAGGAGGCTCTCGACGGAAATGCTGGCTATAAACCAGGAGTCTTTTGACCAACTTGATGCCCAGATTTTCGGCCGTATTCTTCCTCCATATATGCTCGAGCAAAATGCTCGTCTGAGTCAGCAACAAACAAACAACCTAGGTGACTTCAGCAGCACAGATATACCTGAGGACTTTTCGTTCTTTGGTGATGGCGCACCGTTGGACTATTTGGACCCGTTCAACCCTGCTACCGACGACTCGAAATCCACCTAGCCTAGTGTGGGTGTAACGGATGTACGTAATTATCACGAAATAATCAATGCTCATCTCTCTACAAACCTGCGATATAAATGAACATAAGTGACCGTAGGCGGCTCTTGGGCCCATCAGAAGCGAGATTTCCATCGGTGGGTGTCTCGTCATCACTCGAGCGGGAAATGAAGTCACCAGATGAAGAAACCGCCAAAAGTTCCATGTTTTTAAAAACTGGCCTTGTAGATACTGCCAGTGGGTCCGCTTACGTTGAAGCTGATGATTGCATTGTCCAGGTCTCGGTGTACGGACCTCGTCCCATTCGAGGATCTTTCATAGAAAAAGCATCGTTTTCTGTTGAGTGCAAATTTCTTCCGTATGTAACCAAGGTAGCAGCTGAGCACCAAAACACAAATCCTAATGGGAAACCAGGCATGAACAGTATAGAACAACGGATCTCCACTTATGTGGAAACAGCATTGCTCCCTTGCTTACTTTTGGAAAATTATCCAAAATCAACCATCGACATTTACGTTACTGTCATAGCCAACAAATCAGCATCACTTCTCGAATTGACCAATTGGATAGTCAATTGCTCGTCACTAGCTTTGGTGGACTCTGCTATTGAGATAAAGGACATAGTGACAGGAGGAGTAGCTACAATTGAGGATGAAAACGATAGCAAAAATTCCCAATGTTTGGCATCGTTTATGAATTTGAGAAATAACGAAATCGTAGGATTTTGGATTGATGGAGGCCAAGAATTGAACGAAAAAGTTTTGACCAAAACACTTGAGACTTGTCAAGAGCGGGCACAAGTGGTAAGAAGGAACTTTAATGGGTTCTTGACTACATAAAGTGGGCATATCATTTTCTTGCTATGTACTACTTGCCTTTTGCACTACTGCCTCTTTTTCTCGTCTATTGCAGCCGGTGACAAATCTTCTAACACCTTCTTGATGTTGATTAGCTTCTTGCTCAATTGGTGGACTGAAAGTTCATGTTCAGTCCCAGCATTGAAGAGAAAGTTGGAGCTTATAGTGATGCCGGTGCTGGTAGATATCAACTTTGCCAAACGTCTATAAGTCTCCAAAAGATGGTGAGACTTTTCCACAGTATCACAAATAGGGCTCTCAATGGAGGGGATTTTTATGTCGGTCACAGGGTCAAAGACCAGAAGTTTGAGCTGTTCAGCAAACTCCTTGCTTGCCAGTAAGGTGTCGGGGACTTCAATCTTTGGTGCTTTGATCTCAAATGGCTCAGAAATGTAAGCTACCTCATGCTTACCGTCAAGATGGAATCTGAACTCATAGATACCTTCTTCCCAGAAGAGTTTGGAGCCAGTGAAAACGTACGAACCACGAGTGGATTCGACCCATGTCCATCTTCCTGATGAAGAAATGAGAGTTTTCGACCGCGAGTACGTAGTTTGCACCACCTTGTATAGACCAATCCAATCTTTATCAGAGTGATTTTCAGGACATTTCCATGTAATCTCAATAGGAGTTCCAATAGTGGTATACTTGGGCATTCTATCATCCAGTTTTTGTAAGTTGTCGATGGTGATCTGGTAGTCTGAGTTATCGAAGTACAAGTTTTGCGACAATTCCAACAAGTTTTGTCTGCTGAGTTTAGCGTTCGATTGTCTCAATTCTTTGATAAAGCTTTCAAGGGTGTCGGTAATTCCAGTGACCAAGTGAGAAGTACTGCGGTGACGACCAAAATTGGGTGCTTCATCATTTGAACTCAATCTACGCAGAATAACATCGGGAATAAGCTGCTTTTTGAAGGTTTTGGTAACACCAGAGTCTTGGAAAACTTCCTTTTCTCCATAAACTTTGATCATATGAACCTTTTCAACAAAGTTAATCCGGAAAAAGTTATTGGAGACCCAAAGCAAGCAACACACAAAATTCTCTAACGATGGAGCAATGAGAGTTAAGCCCATAACTCCACACACACCGAAAAGTTGTTCGGGATTGTTCAAGTAGCGATAAACTCCAGCTTTAGTCAAATGAGATCTTTGAGGAGAGGTGGGAAGGAAAAAGTCTCCATAGAACCATCCAAAATATCCAATCAGGTCAATAATGGAAGAATTGATCCATACCTGGGTCAAGATGAGAAGTGCTCCAAGGAACAGTCTCAAGTAAACCCAGTCGTAGAAATAGAATTTGGAGTATTCCATACCTGTAATATAGTGAAAAAAGTTCAATCCCACAAATGAAGCATAAGTCCACGAGATGAGTCCATTATAGATAATTGCCCAATTGCTCAATGACTTTTCTATAGGAATATCATTTGCAAGGTAGCGTTTAGTGAAAAGCTTGTAGTAACTTTGAAGAACCAAAAAGATGTTAATAGAAAGAGATTCGAATACTTTTATGGCCACGGTCAATGCAAACATGCAATGAGCAATGTTGATTTTTGCTCCTCTAAATTGGGCCGTACCAACAATCAGCGATGCAAAGGCAGGAATGATAACACTGTAGGTAGTGACCATGATAAGCGTAAGCAAGTCAGCTGCTCTCAACCAACTGAAATTATACAAACCAACCAATGGCTTCAAGTTGTCAAAGTTTTTCAAGTCTTTAATTTTGGTGATTTTCTGGTAATCAGCTTCGTTGCCTGAGGGTCCATAAAGCTTATCAATATGGGGATTTTCGATGTAGTGCAAAAAGATCATTTGAAGAAAATGGCCAAAGACAGCAACAACCAACACCCGATAAGATTTGGCTATCAAGGCAAACCCATAATATCCAGCGTAACCAACCGAGTACATCGGATGTGGAAACATTTCGAAGACACCGTCAAAGATCAAGTCTTCGTTGTTAATTTGGCGAAAGAAGAAATCTCCCCAGTACCAAGCGTAGTCTTTAATGATGTTGTGAGCATCAACTTTCACCCAGAGATTAAACAAAATGAGTCCAGCACCAACTATAAGACGAGAGTACACGATCCAGGGCTCCTGTTGCGAGGTATTGAGAAACTGGAGGTCATTATCCATGGCACAAGTGACGACTACTCCGATAAACGTAGTGAAGTCCAGCATAAGAATCAAGTCCACGACTTTCCGGAACACCAACCAAGTGTTAAAGTCCACAGGGTACTTGGAGATTTTGTACTTGGGGCCCATTTGAGCGGAAATTTCAGACTTGATTAACCGGGACGCAATTGAGTGATTCTTCTCATCAAAGATGTTGAGCTTGTTAGCCCAATTGACAAGTTTATGATAGTTGGACTGCTGGTGAAGAAGATAGCCTATTCCAAAATTGTAGGAAAGTCTCCAGAAAAGATAAAGACCAATAAAGATTTCAATTCGAGTCGAATTGGTCTTTACAAGCCAGAAAACAAGTCCATTAGAAGCTAAAAGAGCAAGAATAACCAACTCAAAATAGGACTTCCTGACAGTGGGGTCAAAAAGTGTCTTGACCATATCATGGGTCTCAGGAACCGTAAAGGTGTTGCCCGAAAAAGTGATGCCTTTGGGACCCATATTCGTCTTTGATTGTTGCTGGAGAGCAACAGCCATAGTAGGATGGTTGGGTGTGGATCAGGAATTCACACAACGGTTCGATTGGAGCAACAAGAAAAATCAGCAAATGTGAAAAACCGATGTGCAATTGTAGATCAGAAAATGCACAAGTGGCTAAATTTTGCAGAAATCAGGTCTTTTATCAGTACCAATTTGCAAGGGGTCAATTGGTCGTAGCGAGTGTTGTTGCGTACGAACTGAGTGTTTCTATCGAGGCAAAGCCTTTGGACAATTTTTAGAAAAGCTAGCACTCAAATTGAACCAATTGTGACGAAAAATCGGTGAAAAATTTAATATCTGGATCCCAACCTTTGGGCCGGGTGCATGGATCTGATTGATAATGCACAATGCACAGATACGAGGATTAGGAGGTGACCGGAAATAGGTCCCAAAATGTGGAAAATGTTTGGGGCTAAAATAGATGATTGCAATTCGCCAAACGCGACACGTACTAAATAACGCTATAAAAATACTACGAATCAATGGCTGCTGAATTTTTGCAGCTATTTGTAGGTGGCAGATTGGAAATGTCGAGCACGAATTTGCATGTGAAAATGGCCAAGTTGCCCCACAGACCCGTACACCAGGTATACCGAAAAAATAAAAAATAGAAGACAAAAATAAAATTGAGGCTATAACGATAATAAATGAAAATGGTAAAAGAAAAAGACAGAAAGAAATTCAGCGGTAAAAACGACCAATGAAAACCCAAAAGAAAAAAGTACAATTAACTCTATATTCCTCCAAAAGTTCATTTTACTCTACTATGAATATTTCACAATTTTCAATTCTATTAATTTTCCATTTAACATTTTCTATACATTTTCTCTAAAATCTGCGGTTTCCCATAGGCGCGCCGTTGGATCCCGACTGGAATCCACCTCTGCCTCTGCCACGACCACCCCTTCCACGGCCTCCCCAGCCACCTCTTCCTCCACCACGTCCGTATCTGATATGACTTCCGAAACTTCTCCTGTCGTAACGCAACAATTCTGGTGGAACAGTTTGGTTGGCTTCTCTCATAATCTTGCACAAGTCACCTCCCAACTTAGAGTTGGCCTCTGTGAACAAAGACACAGCAGTACCCGTAGTACCTGCTCTTCCAGTTCTTCCAATTCTATGAACATAATCCTCGATGTTACCAGGCATGTCATAGTTAATAACGTAGGAGATACCCTTGACGTCTGTAGTTAGTATGTGAGAGTTTTGTATGGCAAGCATTACTACATGGGGAGAGGCGGTCTCAGTTTATTGAACTAGAAGCAAAAGTACACAACATTAGTATGATAATCTTATCCTGGCCAGCAGGATATGTCAATTAAATGTGTACTGCCTCACGCGAAACGGGGGAATTAACCATCATTTCGTCTACTCATCTGAAGCCTCAAAGCCCACGTCGGACAAAAAAAAAAGAAAAAGAAAAAAAAAGACTAGGAAAAAAAAACCTAGCGGTAGAACCTATGGTAGACTAGTGGGTAAACCTAGTGGTCCTCGTCATCTCGTCCCTGTTATTCAGAGATGTTCTGCATTCATTTCTCATGTCTCATGTCTTCTCATTTAGCATTGTCGTGTAATGCCTGCGTTAGTAAAAATAAACTTACCGATACCACGAGCAGCCACATCGGTGGCCACCATAATTGGAGATTTTCCTGTCTTGAACTCACGCAACACCCAGTCACGTTCGTTTTGTTGCTTGTCACCGTGGATAGCCAATGCGGGCCAGCCATCAGCACGCAAGTAACTGGTAATTTCGTCACAAGCTCTCTTGGTGGAGCTGAAAATAAGTACCTTGGCCTCTTTGTCTGCGGTAGCTGTTTCCAAATGTTTCACCAAACGATCACGTTTCTCAAATTCACTGAGAACTTCAACTATTTGAGTGATGGTGTGCGAGGCTGCCAATTCCAACGAACCAATGGTGACTTGGATAGGATCGTTCAAGTAGTCACGGGTCAAAGTCTGGACTTCTTTGGGCCAGGTAGCAGACCACATCAACGTTTGTCTGTCGGGACGAATCTGGTCAACAATCTTTCTGATTTGAGGCTCGAAACCCATATCCAACATACGGTCGGCCTCGTCGAGCACCAAGTATGTTACACGCCTCAAGTTGGTTTTTCCAGTCTCCAACATGTCGATCAAACGACCGGGAGTAGCAATGCAAATTTCCACGCCTCTGGCCAAATCACGGATTTGTTGGCCCTTAGGAGCACCTCCATAAATACAGGTGTTTCTGATACGCAGCGAGGCACCAAACTTGGAGCATTCTTGTTGAATTTGCACAGCCAATTCTCTGGTAGGAGCCAATACCAACACAATAGGTCCATCACCAGGACCCAATAATGGCTGGGCATTGATGTGGACAATCGAGGGCAAACAGTAAGAAAGAGTTTTACCGGAACCGGTGGCGGCAATACCAATCATATCACGTCCACTCAACGCCATGGGCCAACCTTGACACTGAATAGCAGTTGGTTTGGGGAACCCTTGTTGCTTGACTTCGTTCAAAACGTAGTCTGGGAACCCTGCCTCGTCAAACGAAGTGATTGGCTTGGGAATATCGGTACCAACACACTTCATATCGTGCTCCTTACGGAAACTTTGCACCTCTGATTCCGATCTGGCAGAAACGTCTGGGTGTTCAGAGTAAAAATTTTTCTCAAATTTGGGCAAAGAATCAAGGTCCCACTCAGGAGTAGTAAGTTCTACTCTCTCATCCACACGACGGCCGCCAAAACCGCCGCCTCTTCCACCACGGAAACCGCCCCTGGAACCACCTCTGCCACCACCGTAGCTATTTCCTCCGTAGGAACCACCATAGTTGTTTTGGCCGTAGCTGTTATTGTTGTAGCTGTTGCCGTAACTGCCGTAGCTGTTGTTGTTGAAATCTTGGTTGTAGTTTTGATTGTACGACATGATAAAGAAGAGATTTAAAAAAGTGCGCCTTAAATGCGATGAGAAAAGAAATTGTCGACTGCCTAAACGGGAAGGAGGTGAAAATGGGAGCAACTTCACAAGTAATGAGAAAACAAAGAGAAGAGAAAAATGAGACAACAAAAAGAAATGAAAGATACAACAAGAGAAAGAAGAGAACTAACAATATATAGAATAGAAAGAACTCATTGACATTTAACATCTTATTTCTTATTTCTTGACTACTCTACTCATCTCATCGCATGCTTATATGCACCACGCAACCAAACGACAATTCACCATGCCCATTCTACACTAATTTTCTCTTGCTATATTCAATTCCAACCTTTTCGTCATGTCACATTATGGCTCTTCCGCCAGGTAGCCTCCAGCCAGGATTTTCTCACTAAATTTGGTTTCAATAACCGTGCAAAGTTCCGACAAGTTGTCCAAACCTTGATGCAAAGCTTCCACCGACGATATATTGCCATATGTTTGAATACGGATGTTCATCTTGTTCTCCGATGGATGTGGAATCGAATAACCGCAAAACTCAACTTCGGGATTTTTCATGATTACGTATCGAAGGGTGTTACCCAAAGTATGGTCTTCATCTATAATCTGGAATGTGGCAGCAGTACCATCTTCAGATGATCCAGGCAAGAGTTTTATCTTGTCTGCGTCAAATTCTTGCTCGGATACCTCGTCCATGGCATTGGGGTCTACTTCTGACATTGGTAAAGAAAAGATGAGAAGAAAATGTCATCGCGGCCTGCAGGATGGCTGCGAAAGAGGGAAGAGGAATGAATATAGAACAGAAATATAACTGTTTTATGTCCAAGGCGAAACATGAAAAGCACTGCTATTAGATATATTAGAGACTTCATCATAGAGTCGTCGTTTTTGCAAATTGGTTTCGAATCTTTCTTTTGGCTTATACTCTCTTCTTTGTTCCAATTTGTATTTGTGTGCATTGATTTTTTGATTTTTTCACTCATTTGTACTCAATTCGCACAACAACACTCAAATCACAAACAGAAAAACAAACAACCAACTTGACAATTGAATAACTAACCCATATTCCTCTCCACTTGTCCCCGGTACCATTTCCACTTACATAAGCAGAAACGCCAAAATCAAATCTACTCACTAACCAAAACATCAACAATGAGCATTCTGTCACGACAGATGTCAGAATCCTACTACTATTTGTCCCGAGACGACACTACCGACTTGCAATCATTCTCACCTATGTCCAAGGCTTCTGACACTACTGCTTTGATGCGTTTAGCTGGAGATTTTGACAATTCTGATAAAACAAAAATTCGAAATCGGATCCAAACTGCTCAAATATCTTCCCATTCGACTCCCTTGGCAAGGAAACAGGAAGATGGCGACGCGTACAATAAACTAGACCATTTGAGCCGGCTTTCTGGAACCAAAAATGACCCAAATAACGACCTTGAAGCTCGTTTGAAACCACTTTTGAGGCAGGAACTCAACGGTTTCAAAGCAGAAATGGAAGCAATGATAAGAAAACAGGAACTGAAGCGACAACACACCTTTAAGGAACGTGTGGGTGCACTGTCAACGCCAATTCGTGTTGAAAACAATGAAGGTGGACTGGCTCATCATCTGCTGGGAGAGCTGCCCGGACGCAAATTTGACGTTTCGGTGCCCGATTCACCAGTAACCACGCCTCCAAACTCACACGAGTACACGAAAGAGTCATTTGGACCGTCGGCGTTTGGCCCGTCCGATTCCTTTGGGTACCCCAATGTCACCAGTCCCAGTCCCATCAACCCTAATCCGGAAACTCCTCTAAATGAAGAACCCCATACAAACGAACGTGATGAAGCCGAGCGTCTTCGTATAGAGCTTGCGCGATTACAGGCAGAAAACCACCAGCTCCAGGCCAGAAATGTGGACTTGACATTGCATGTCAACGAATTGGAATTCGAACTTCAGAATCAGCAAAGCGTCGACATCACGAGTTCACAAATAGACATGCTGGAACTCAAGCACTCCATGCCAACCAACATAAAGCCCATAACCATAGACCTGGTTCCGCCCGAGTTTCGTAAGCACTACAAAAAGCTCAATCTTGACGTTATCGATTCCATCAGCGACATTGAGGTTCGAAACACCCTCAAAAACGTCATGCTCTCACTTCTCATTTGCGACTACCAATCACTCCCTGAAATGTCTGTGAAAATCGCAAATTATATCCGAATTACTGGTGAATTCATGGACGAAATTCACGAAAAACTCTACGATATTCAGGGAAGTTTACGACCCTCAAGTTACCTACGTGCAGAAACGCCCGATGCCCAAGCCAGGTTTCTCCAGTGCTTGCACCAGATGTCGGACCAGATCGCGGGCCTTACTACTTGACCGCAAGTACGACGTCGTGAAGAGAATGGGCGCATGGATGTGTTACATAGGCGTATATACAGTACACCCAGACCCCTCATTTCCAATTGCTTGAGACCCCAGCGATAACAAGTGACTCTAGCCAAACAACACCAATTGGCGTACTTGCACGGTAGAGTCGCCGCAAAAATCGTCCACATCACGCGCAGAGCCTTCAGGACGGCTACTGGGACCATAATTGAATTGTGGAGTCCATAAAACCAAGTCGTTCTGAGCACCATTTTGGGATCCTACAGTAGAGGTTTTTCTACATTTGGAAGCCCACAATTTAGAAACCGGTGCTATAGCATTTAGGAGCCGCTGCTACAACAAGTTGTAAAATCTCGCAAACCGTTCATCTTTATCCAACGGAATACCGATGAACAAACAAAGTATGAGTGGACATCGGCGTCCTATGAGATCTAAGAATGTGAAGAACCGCCCCAAATCCAGCCAGGAACCAGAAAAACCACGTACTGAGCCCGATACACCGTTGGAGCGCGATAAAAAGCCGCCAAGTGAAACTGGTGGTCGTCGACAGAGCCTGAATCCCACCAACTTCTTGTTCAACCCAGGCCGTCAAGACTCCATAGTTTCGCTCCTCAACAACTACCAAACCAACGGCGCAGCAAGTGCTTCCGGAGCTAGTGGTCTGGGCCCCATGTCGGCTGGTTCCGACCAGTTGGGAGGTGCTGTTTCTGGTGAAGCAGGAGTTCGAGATCAGCCCAGCTATTATATGAACCACAGGGACCTGGTGATGTACCCACAACCGGAGAATGTTCGACCACGTAGCGACAGTGTTTTTCTTCCTCCGCCGCTCGGGCTCTCCCGAAACGACGAGAGTGTGCTGTACCAGCCAAGAAACAATAGTATATTCAGTTCGATGATCCAAATACCCAGCGAACGATCTAGCGAAAGAGGCTCCGCGGGCGGGCCTGATTTTGATTGGAGACAGCAGCCACCACAGCAGACTGGTCAACAGAGCCAGCAGAATCAGCAGAACGAACGGCGCAGCTCCAAACCTTCTTTCGACATGTCTCTCTGGGAGAGCCTAAATGTCCCAGGCGGGTCTATTGCGGGTTTGCCCATTTCCAGTGGCAGTCTCAGCGGAATTTTGGCTGGAATAAATAACGGAAGCATCGATTTTACCAACATGACAAACGCGGAGCGCCGTGACTCGATCTTAAAACTCTTGGAACAAACGCCAGACCAACTGCAGGTTCGTCCTAAACCACAAGGAGGAGCTGCCAACCTCAAAGAAGACATTTTCTCCAACCGCAAGGTGAAACACGACGATGTGTCAGACAACGTAGCTCCCGATCTGATCTCACCGGTTTCCTCAGGATCCGCCAAATCGATCTATAAGGACGAGCCCCAATCGCCAGGAAGTTCTCCTCAGTTTACCATGAGAAATGGACCTCAACCACAGACTACTCAGCTACGAAACCTTCAGCCTCAATATTCAAACCAGGTGTACAACCAAACCGTCAACCAGTTTCCCAACCAAAACATAGTTCCCAATGCCCACATGCGCCGTCAGCAGCAACCACCTCAAAATGTGCCCGCAAACATATCCGGTCAGGGCTTTCAGAACCAACAACCTATAGGCTTAGATCTTGAAGATTACAGGCGATTCCAGCCGTATCCCTACCAGACAGATAACGTTCTCATGGACAAAAAGCCAGGGGACCAGAAGGAGATTCCGGCTCAACAATTGGTCAAATCAGAAGACGGCCATCCATTATTGGGAGCCACTAAGGTCGACCAGTTGATGCTTGTACTTCAAGCTAGAGATAAAGGCAATACCAAGGAGATCCGCCGTGCTCCTGACGGCAGTATTCTCGTGCCTGGCGAAGGAGCAGACTCTGTTGTACCTGAACCGGTTTCGCTAGTAGGCGGTTTAGATCGTCATCAGGGTGCAAAAGATGAGCTTCACGACGAAGACGACCACTCTGGAAAAGGGAAAAAGAAAACCAAGGCACAAGAATGTCCATACTGTCATAAAACCTTCACCCAATCTACCCATTTAGAGGTCCACGTTCGGTCCCACATTGGATACAAGCCGTATGAGTGCACTTATTGTCACAAGAGATTCACTCAGGGAGGAAACTTGCGGACACATTTGAGACTACACACTGGTGAGAAGCCATTTGTTTGCGATATATGCAAAAGATCCTTTTCCAGAAAAGGTAATTTGGAAATGCACAAGTTGACCCATGAAAAACTTAAACCATTTCAGTGCAAATTGGATGATTGTGGTAAATCTTTCACTCAACTAGGCAACTTGAAATCCCACCAGAATCGATTCCACCTCGAAACACTAAACATGCTAACGAAAAAAGTCGCAGAATTAAGCGGTGCCTCGATTGAAAAGCTTCCTCAAGAAGAAAGGGACCTTCTTAATTATTTCAAAGATTTGTACAAAAATTCCAATAAGGGAATTAGAGGCAGAGGAAAGCGAACCCCAGTACCAGATAACAATAAGCTTGCATCTGCCCCGGTGGGTGGTCTTACCAATGTTCAGTTTCAAGATGGCGTGTACGATATGAACCCATACCAATAATCGGTACATTTGATACGATTATTTGATAAATGACAGAGTTCAAGGACCTACGAGACGAAGCTATAAATGATACGATTACTCAAGACAAAGACGAAATTACGTTATGGCCAATGACCAAGAAAGATTCCGATATGATGATTCAAGATCTTTGATCTGAGGCCATGAAAATCTGAATGGTAGCCAGTCGCATCGCAAAGTTCTTGAACCCCTTTATGCATGTTCTAGATCAACGCAAAGCAATGAATACAAATAATGAATGAACATCTTTAAAATGTAACTCTCTTGAATGTATTCCTCGGCATCAATGCGAATACGTCAAATCTGCAGGGGCAGGAGCGGCTCAGCAGGTGAACGGACAAACGGGAGATATGCAGGAAGGAGATGATGGAAGGATATTGCTTTATTTCACCCCAAGATGGACGAAATTCTGCCAGATTTTGGATATGTATGCTGTCGCTTTATATAAGGTAATTGTCAGCTTTTGACTCGATTCTAGTACCTTTTCATCTCTCAAATCATTGCATTGTTTCCATGACACAGCCGTTCAAATGCGCCTTATCTGCAGTCCGAGATAATCAAAACAGCGCCGGAACATTTTTTTGTTCCTTTCTTCAAAGCGCAACTTACGACCAAGTTCCCGATTTTTCGCTAGGGATAACAGGGATTACTAATAAAGCAATCCTTTGCATCCAGGATTGGTTTCTAGTGGTTTTTTCTCCATTGAGCTTTATTTGCGATCTGGCATATTTTGCCTTGCTAAAGTTTAAATTCCCGATTTTTTAGCGAGAAATTTGTTATAATGGCCAGTACAACTCAGACATCGACATCGGCGGTGATCACCACGCTTGTGGCTAACCTTATTTTTTTCGGAGTGTTTGTTACTTGCTTTCTTCTTTTGAGGCTCAAATTCAAAAGAATATACTCTCCCAAAAGTTCCTATGATCTTGTTCCCGAAGATAAAAGACCTGAACCACTCCCAGTGGATCCCTTTAGATGGATCTATATTCTTTTGACCAAACCTCATACTTTCATAATTCAGCACTGTGGACTCGATGGATACCTTTTCTTGAGGTACTTGTTGGTACTTGCTTCGTGTTTCATTTTTGGCATGTTGATGTACATGGTTTTGTTGCCCATTAATGCTGCTAATGGTGCGGGGCACGAAGGGTTTGATCAGCTTTCGATTTCCAACGTAAAACACAAAGGTAGGTACTATGCTCATGTTTTCGTAGGATGGGCATTCTACGGTGGAATTGTGTTTGTTATTTACAGAGAGCTCTTCTTTTTCAACTCGTTGCGTTCAGCGGCGATTTCCAGTCCTAAAAACGCTTCCAAGGTGTCGGCAAGAACAGTTTTGTTTCAAAGTGTTCCAAACCCATTGCTTGACGAAAAGCAGTTTTACAAGCTTTTCAACGGCGTGAAGAGAATCTATGTTGCGAGAACCTCCAGAAAATTGGAGAGCTCTGTGAGAAGAAGAGAAGCATTGTGTATGAAGCTCGAGGCTGCCGAGAACAAACTCTTGAAGACGGCTATGAAAGCCAAATTGAAAGCCGACAAGAAAGGAACTCCCATTGAGGGCACAGACATAAACTCCTACGTTCCCGAAAAGAAGAGACCAAGACACAAGGCGGGAGGCTTTTTTTCAAAGAAAGTCGATACAATCAACTATTGTCTTGAGGAAATCCCCAAAATTGATGCCAAGGTCAAAGAGTTACAGAAAGACTACCGTTCATCGAAAGTCAAAAATTCCATTTTCGTCGAGTTTGAAGACCAGTATACCGCTCAGTTGGCGTACCAATCAGCCACCTACCACAATCCTTTGAGAATGAGCCCTGCTACCACTAATGTTGAACCGGCGGAGATCTACTGGCCCAACATGAGAATGTACTGGTGGGAACAGATATTTAGAAGATTCACATCAATTGGTTTTATTACGGCACTTGTGATCTTTTGGGCTATTCCTGTGGCTTTTGTGGGTGTGATTTCCAACATTACTTATTTGACAAACAAGTTGCCATGGTTACGTTGGATCTTGAACTTGCCAGACCAGCTTCTAGGCTTGGTGACTGGTCTTTTGCCCACTATCATGTTAGCTATCTTGATGGCATTACTACCGATTTTCATTCGTCACATGGCTAAGGTTGCCGGAGCCGTATCACTCCAGCAAATTGAATTGTTCACTCAAAGCGCTTACTTTGGCTTTTTAATCATCAACTCGTTCTTGGTCATCACCATTGCATCGTCTGCTACATCCGTCGTTACGCAAATTATAGACAAGCCGCTGTCTGCCATGTCGTTGTTGGCGAACAATTTACCAAAGGCTTCAAATTTCTACATTTCCTACGTTATTTTGCAAGGCTTGTCCATTAGCAGTGCTTCTTTGTTTCAAGTTGTTGGATTGTTCTTGTACTACATCTTGGGTGCCATAATGGACTCTACCGTACGGAAAAAGTGGGGCAGATTTGAAGGTTTGGGAGCTCCTGGATGGGGAACCACCTTCCCAGTCTACACCAATATTGCCTGTATTGTGTTTGCATACTCAGTTATTTCGCCGTTGATTTTGGCTTTTGCTACAGTTGCGTTTTTGTTGGTCTACATTGCATTCGCTTATAACTTGTCTTACGTCAATATCGAGGCTCCAGAGACTTATGGACTCCACTACCCACGGGCGTTGTTCCAGACTTTCACCGGTATATACTTGGGACAAGTTTGTATGCTTGGTATATTTGCGGTTGGTAAAGGTTGGGGCCCCATTGTGTTGCAAGCCATTGGCATTGGAATGACTGTCTTTGCCCATATTAACCTCAATCAAGCATTCGACCACTTGATTCATGTGGTTCCACTCGATTGTATGAGGCCATTAGATGGTGTTTCCAACACTGCTTCATTCAAAGGTACGAGTGAGTACCAAGAAAAGGTGTTAAGCAAGAGAAAACGTCACCACCAGCTCCACAAGGAACTTCAAAGAGAAGAAGAAAAACACCTCGAAGTTAAAGATGGACTCGCTGGAGAAGATGTCTTTGCTGATGCGAATGAACATTCCATCGTTCCTCTTATAGCAGACAGAGACTTCAAGAGTACAGCCAAACACAACTTTTTGATTCGTTTCTTCCGTCCTGACATCTACATGAACTACAGACTGGCCAAACTGTTATTACCTGCCACCTACAATGTTGAAGCTGAAATAGCTCCAAACAAACATGCATACGACATGCCTAGTGTCACGGCGCAAAAACCAACATTGTGGATTCCTAGAGACCCTATGGGCTTATCTAGGGTGCAAGTGGAGGAGCTTTCCAAGGTGGTTGACGTTACCGATGAAAACGCCGGCTTTAGCGACAAAGGAAAGATTATCTATTTGGGAAAGCCACCATTTTAGCCACAATAATGGGCTAATCATTAATTGCTACTAATTGCTACTATTGCTACTCATTGCTACTAATTGCTATTTGCTATTCCATTGCTACTGATCACGGACTACCCTCTCATTACCTTTTGCTATTCTCTCTCGATGTCTTGCTATTCTCGCTGCCCTCTCGCTATTTTCTCGCGCTCTCTCGCTATTTCTCGCTATTTCCCGCTGTGTCTCGCTAGTCCTATTTTTCTCGCTATTTCGCACCTCGGCCCACACTCATCGCAGAATCACGAGCAGCGGGGTAGAGCCGAGGAATCATGGTACGGCTGTTGCGTTTCAACACATTTCGCTCGTTTTTGAACATGAGTGGAAACTCAAGACTTCAGCTCCTTCACCAGCATCTTTCCATAAAACCACACAGATGTGTTGCGACAGATTCAAGGGCATCGCAGTTTGGAGAACCGACAATTGTTAGTGTCGATGTTGGGAGCAAATACAGTGCTACGTATCGCAAATACGCTGCTGATGATACTGGAAAAATACTCTCGTACTTTCATGACGTTCCGCTAGGATTCGATGCCTCTAAGAAAACTGCCAATATGGTGGTGGAGGTGCCTCGATGGTCCAATGCCAAGTTTGAAATCAGCACGGAGTTGGATGGGAATCCCATAGTGCAAGACGTGAAGAATAACGTGGTTCGATTTGTCCGCAACTTGTTTCCTTATCATGGCTATATTCACAATTATGGTGCTTTTCCGCAGACATGGGAAGACAACACAACCAAGCATAAAGATACTGGATTATACGGCGACAACGATCCATTGGACGTTTGCGAGATCGGATCGAATGTTCTTGAGATTGGTACTGTCAAAAGAGTGAAAATTTTGGGCTGTTTGGCACTTATTGACGACGGAGAGTTGGACTGGAAAGTCATTGTCATTGATGTTGAAGACGAATTGGCACCTCAGCTCAATTCCATAGAAGACGTCGAATCAGTGTGTCCTGGACTCTTGGAGGGAACCAGACAGTGGTTTAGAGACTACAAGTTGGCCGACAAAAAACCACACAACAAATTTGCATTCAATGGACGGTATCTTCTGGCCGAAGAGGCACTCGAAGTTGTGGGTGAATGTCATTCTGCATGGGAAAAGTTGATAGGAGGTGAAGTAAAAAGCAAAGGAGATGAGATATCGCTCCGCAACACCACACAGAAAGAGACTCCAGAGTACGCACCGGAGTTTTCTCAAGAAGAGCTTATAAGTCCTGCGATGCCCGACACAGCGATTCCGCCCGAAATCAGCAAGAGCCACTTTTTTCCGAGGAGCTGAAGAAGAAAAGGAAGAGGAACATACTCTGAACTGAAGACAAAGAGGAAAGACTAGACCCTGAACAGACAAAGAGGGCAGAACAGACTCTATACAGAAGAACAGACTGTGAGCAGAAGCTGTTTGAATGGAGAAAAAGTTTGAAACCAGAGATTGAGTTCAATATAGAAAGCAATAGAACTCGACCAGCTTCCTCAATTCAATTGAGCTCTATACCACCATTGGAAGTCGCTACTGACTTCTACGCTTTCCTATACATAGTACCCAACATATACCTAAAGACTTATTTTCATACCTCATTAACCATTTCTTTCTCTCTACTGTTATGTCTGTTCTTCTTCAGTTTTCTCTCTCCCATGCTTTTTCTCTCCCACACTTCTCATTTCATTCTCACTTAATCTCACTTAATCTCACTTAATCTCACTTATTCTCACTCAATCTCAATCTTCTCACTGAACTTCTCTTCTCATTTTCGCATTTTCCAGTAAACAACTCATCTCGTATGGCACCCACGGCAGTCCCACGAACCACCTCCAACCCCAAACTGGTGGTTTCCCTCAAGCCAATCCAGCCTATTCAACTATGGACGTTCGACGGAGTGCTTTCCTTGCTCCGAGCTGGCCAATCTCAATATGTACTTGATGCCGTGGACGAGTTTCTTCTTTTGAATTCTGCCATTCTCAAGAGTAGTTCACCATTTGCTGTTGAAACAAAGCAAATTCTCAACAAGAAACAGAAAGAGTTCTCACTTAGAGAGGTTTTGTACTCAGGAGCCTCAGAAAAAAATATGGACGACGCCGAATCATTGGCACGATTGCTTCTGGTTGACGCCAAAGAAGCATTGAGAATTATCGTTCAGACCAGTAATAGGATGCCTGAAGCCCACTCCGACACCGAAAAGGTGAAATCCAAACTCCCAGACGATAGCGTGAGCCACAAACAGCAACAACGACTCCAGCTCTATGTGTCCAGAATTCTTCGGGAAAGACGTACGGTGCTTCATGTGGTCATCGAGTTGCTCAATAACAAATCGAACCCTTCTGTTTCTTCTGCGGTTCAAAATCTTGGTCGGGATTTGTATCTTTCGACAAATTATTGCTCGTCTATGATATCCACCATTGGTTCTCTCATCGACACAATTCAAGAAAAAGGACCTAGCTCAGAAAACGATATCAATAACATCATCTACTCGGAGTCGGTTGCTACTCTCATAGTATCGCTTAAAGTAGTGGTGGAGTTGGTAACTCAAAATGGAAGCATAGACAACAATTTGGCCATTTCATGGTTCAAACTCATGCGCTCGACCAACTTTATGAGCATTCTTGCCTCGTCCATTCGTGAGTCTGAGTCTTTCATGGTAATAGAATCGATTTCAACCGCCATATCGGTAGTTCTTCTTGATCTTATTGATACAAATTCAGTCTTCGATGCATCCCAACCAAACCATCTCGAACCGTCCAAATTCCAAGAGATTAACACCATAATATCCGCCTCATCCAACCACAATACAATTATCATCTTCTACTGGTCGATAATACTATACAAAAAGCAGATTTACCTTGAAGAAACCAGCAGCACCAATTCAGAAAATGCTTTAACCAACATATTCTCTTCGGAGATTGTACCTTCTCTTCACACTCTCCAGGCCAGATGTGAAGGCGTATACCAACAGATTAGCACCACAGCAGAAATCTTACGTTTCGATAACATATTCGCTGCCATCCTTTCGAATGTTCTTATTGCTGCTATTCCACTCGTTTCTATGACACCTGAAGTCTCAAAATGTATTCAAGAAGTATTGAAAAGTGCTCCAAGAGGCATGATCCAAAAGTTTTTCGAGGACCCATCCGTCCAACAAGCACTCATAATAACTCGCGCAAAGTTTCCGTTACTGTTGTCTCCATATATAAACCTTGCGGGTGTTAGTGGCACTTTTGCATTCAACGAATTCAATGAGCTTAAATCTTACATGTCCTTGTTCAAGAGGGATGAATTTGAAATGCTTACTGAGATTGACGACGAGAACACTGAACTTGTAAAGTTATCTCAGACGGTTGATATATTTCCTCCATTTGAACAGAACAAGAAGTTATCTTTACTAATGGGACTTGAAACAAAAGCCAAGGTTATACCTGCTGCAAATGAAGACGAGGTGCTTGCTACGTTCTTGTACAAGTTCAATGGTTGGTCATTTTTGGGCCGTGTTCTTCAAAACTTATCGAAGAACTTTGATTTTACCGACCGAGAGAAGGTGGACACGATTGTGGATATTATGAGTATGCTTACAAAAGTCGTTGGTGAAGTTTCAGTAGAAGACAGCAAGCATGCGCTCACGTCTATGTCAGCATACACAGACGATTCGGACGTTCTTGAGGTGATTTTCAGGTTATTTGAGCAAAGTTTACACAGCAGAAACATTCGGATGATAGAGTCAATCCTTAACTTGCTCACACAATTGGTACCCATATTCTCGTATCGCATATGGCCTGCTTTCTCAAAGTCTGCCTTATTATTTGATGGCACACGAGAGGGTTTTGCAACGGTTATTTTTGGGTCCATCGAAATGGTCAATGGTGACTTTAGGCTTACCATTGCCCTTGCAAAGTTGACGGATGCGTTAGTGTACGACTGTTTGACGTTGGACAATGCTGTTCCTTCCAAAGTTAAGGAAGCAGTTCTCAAAAAATTGGTGAGCCATTTGATTGCAGTCATGGAAAGTTACGCTCAGTGTAACTTTAGAAGCTTTCAGCAGAAGATGGAGACCGGAGTCATATTATTGGACGCTTTCAGAGGTATTTTAGCTTCTGTCTACGGTATTCACCACCATGGAAAGACAGCCAAAGACAACGTTTTGATTGCTACTTTGGTTCCAGCTGCAGAAACACTCCTTTCAACTTTCACAAACCAAGCATATGGCTCTGCCCGTTCATTCTACCCAATCATTTCCATGATCGAGTCGCTTTCTGATGGTTTAACTCAATATGAACTTTTGGATTGCCTGTCGTTCTGGTACTTGAATTGGATCCAGTGCTCGTTATCGTTTGCACAGCTTGTGATTTCCATACGGACTTCGTTACGTTTGCCAGTCAGTCCCTTCGAGATCGCCATGTTTCAAAGATTGCCAGATCTTGTGAGTGCGTATGCCTCTTACGAGTGTCTTGGAAATGACATTTTGAATACTCTCACCGCCTTAGCAAACGGTCTGAATTCAGGAACTCAGGACGCTGGATCGAGGCTCTCAATGCTATCTCACTTGGGTCGTGAACACTCGAAATCTCTTCGTGCTTCCCTCATATCGGATCTCGAAAACCTGCTTGACGACCATGCGATAAAGATATCCTTGTACGATTTCATTTGCGCTGTCATGGGTGGACGTCAAGAGGGACTAGCAGTACTTCTTAGTGGTCGCAATGTTTTTGGGGATCCTAAAGGAAGCCCAGAAATGAAAGAAGACGTTTCACTTATTCGTGTGTTGAAAAAGAAGGTGGAAGACATAAGATACTACCCAATGGCTGTAAGTTTGCATTTGGTGGATGCCGTGACACTAGTCTTTAGTTCGTGGTCGGCAGTGAGAGAGCTGGAAAATGACTTGAAGTTTGTCAATGAGCTTCTTCAAGTTGCACAGGAATACGCACTCGGAAATGAAACTACAGACTCAGATGATGCAGCAATTACTCGATGCTATCGCCTCAAATTGTGCTCCAAAATTGTACAAATACTTTCGTCGTTTCTATTTTCGTCTAATAGCGAGGCATGCAAAAGTGCTATTATCAAGGCCATAACTTCTCAATCTTTCATTGATAACATTGCCAATGTGCTTACCATAAGGAACTACGACTCTTTGCTCCATTCCAAGTTGCGAGAAAGCTTTGAAAACTTATTGCCTAATTTAAAATTAGACGACTTTTCATCGGCATTAATCAAAAGAAACAGATTTGGACCATCGACCGTCTACAATTTTGTCCTACTTGACAAGTTGATCCCCAGAAACCAACAAGGAGAACAACTTAGACAGCAAATACTCGATGCAAGCATGAACATACAATACGTTCAGGCTCAAATTGCTCTTTCGAAAGCATACGGAGCCATGATTTCGTCTTATGTGCAGCAGTCCAGCCCAATAGATTCCAAGGTATTTGGCTTGGTGTTGCAATTGCTCAAAGCAAATGCTGCTGAAGATGTACCAGCATCTACGTTTGAAGATGTTTACTATGAAAGAATTCAGCTTGCTTTCTTCATTCTTTACAACCACTTCAATAGTGGAGCAATTAAGGACACCGACCATCGGTATGTCTTTGAGATAATCAAGACTATTATGACCCTTTTCAGTACAGGAACAACCAACCTAACTCATTGGTTGACAGAGAACCAGAAACTGAGGTTGCATGCTCCATTATTGCGGATGTTGTTCTGCTGTTTGACCACTATTCAAGGTAACACAAACTTGATAACCGAACACTTTAACTTGTTCAAAAGCATCTTTGAGCTCGTTGTTGCTCGCGGAACAAACTTGATTTTGATTCTGGTTCAGAACGACGTCTACCGCTCGAAAACGAAGACTGCCGATCAAACTGAAACCATGGACTCTCAGTTGGACAATTTGCAATTGATCTTGTCCATTACGAAAGTGTTCATGAAGATGAAAGCATCTGAAAGCTTGAAATACGAATTCTCGTCCGCCGTTGAGTCCAACGGAACAATCCGGTCGTTGCTCAATTTGTACTCATTTGCTCACAGCATCACTGTTGATGGAGAACACATATTTGCCCAACTCAGTTTAATGTTTATTCAAGATTTGATGTCCATGGATGTGCTTGCACGCAATTTCGTGGACAGTGGACTCTTGTTGGTTTTGATAGAAAGCTTGATATCGACGCCTATCATTGAGGGTGGAATTTCTATCGTTAGTGCTCCTCATTACCATCGAATCTGGACAAATGGAATTCTCCCAATTCTTCTTGTTACATTGCAAAAGTTGGGACCTCTGGTTTTGCCAGCAGTATGTTACGACCTCAAGTTCTTCAGGAAGCAAATTGGAACGTGTATCGAAAGCTGGTCGCGAGATGCCTCCAGCATCCAAATCACGACGGCTTTGGTGTCAGAAACGAGTCAAATCCTATTACTTTACAAGATTCTTAGTGCGTTCCTGGATACTGCTGTGTCGGTGCTCCCTGGATTGGATACCGAAGAGAATCGCGAGGAATTTGCGGAGTGCTTGAATAACTTGCTCAAGCATCCTAAATTTCTCTCATCGAGAGTCGCACCTAGCTCGCAAGAAGAGCTGAGAGTATGGGAACAGGATGACGATGGAAGAGCGATGAGTGCATTTGTGGGTGAGTTGATCGAGGAGATCAGAGACCTCAAGGATATGATGGCGTAGGATGTGTGAACTGAAGAGACGTACTAAAGAGATGAACAGTGTGGACTGAAGAGATACTAGAGATGAATGCAAAAGACATAAATGTATTTACGGTAGAAATTGTCAAAAAAGTTTTAAGTTTTCTACGATTTGTTGGAAGTGAAGAGCAATTCAAATTCGTTTCATAGCAATCATCAAGTCATTCCAATCATACCAACTAATGGTATATCATATCTCACGTCGTATACATTTTTTGGTCCTGTACCGAGTTGGCTGCGAATTCATTTCGCGAATTTTTATCACCACTCGTCATGGCTCCATTCTACATAAGTGCCCCTGGCAAAGTCATTCTTTTTGGAGAGCACGCGGCCGTGTATGGAAAACCAGCATTGGCAGCAGCACTCAGTTTGAGAGCTTACTTGCTCGCCACGGAAACAAACGACGATTCGCTCCGCCTTGAATTTCCTGATATTCAACTTTCACATTCGTGGAAACTCAGCGAATTACCGTGGGAAAATGCCCAGGCTCACATCGAGCGGAAGAATGGGAAACCGGTTCCCACAGACGAATTGAACCCTGAAGTCATTAATTTGATCGGTGAATTTTTGGGTGACATTGAATCCACAGCCCACTATACGACATGTCTATGTTTTCTTTATTTATATTTGCACTTGTGTGATCCCCTGGTAGCCAGCAGAAGCTTTTGTATTCGTTCCACGTTGCCCATTGGAGCAGGACTTGGATCCTCAGCGAGCGCAGCTGTGTGCTTGACTTCCACATTGGCGCTTTTGGGCGGCCATATACGATCTCCACAATATTCGGAAAAACAAAGAGTCTCGTCTGAGAACCCAGACGCAGAGTTCATTGATAGCTGGTCGCTTATGGGAGAGAAATGCTTTCATGGAAACCCCAGTGGAATCGACAACGCTGTAGCGACCCATGGCGGAGCTGTGATGTACCAAAGAATGCTGGCTCCCGATATGCCCTCGGTTCGAACTGCAATGCGCAACTTTCCTCCTCTCAAATTGCTACTCACCAATACCAAAGTACCCAGAAGTACCGCAGAGCTTGTGGGTGGAGTCGCCAAAGTGAATACAAGACACCCTAAAACTGCCGGTTCGATTCTCGACGCTGTCAGCCATTTGGCCACGGACGCATACCACATTATGTCACATCCATCGTTTGCAGCAGAAGACAGGGAAAGTCTTCGTCAACTAGTAAATATCAACCATGGTCTTCTTGTTGCACTTGGAGTGTCGCATCCTGCTTTGGAAAAGATCAAAATGATTGGCGATACAAATCGCATAGGAGCCACCAAACTCACTGGGGCAGGCGGTGGTGGCTGTGCAATTACCTTGTTGAACGACGAAGTCTCTCATGAAGTACTTGAAAAAGTTGAAAATGAGTTTACTCAGGAAGGCTTTGAGACATTTGAGGCCACTTTAGGTGGAAAGGGAGTTGGGGCACTCTTTTGCGACAATGATAGTGATCCCGAAGTCTTTTCTGTTGAACGCTTTGTCAACTTTTCGCGTAGAGAAGATATCAAAAATGCATTGGAAATCGACGGATGGAAGTACTGGTGAAGCAGAAGGTGGAATAATTTCTAAAAATTTACTATACCAGTTCATTCAGTTCATTGATTCAGAGCAGAGTAGATTGAATGTACTATATACAACTATTTAATCTTGTAACTATTTGAGAATTAAATACCTCTGTTGAACTCCAACTGTGTCACCTCGTTTCCGTTCTTATCCTTCAACCCTTGAAATTTAGGTTCCAAACTCAGCACCGCCAATGCTTGTCTTTGTGGAAAAACCGCCAACGCAAAAGGAAGTACGGCTAAAGACGTTACAAAGATCAAACCAATGTTAGTCAAAACTTCGAAAGATTTTGGCTTTCCTCTGAGAAATTTCAGTTTTTGCAATCTGACAAGGATCAATGGTGGAACTACCATGATCGGAGTTGAGTTAATAACTCTGCTAGCTGCAGTCTCGCCGACAGCATACCATGCTGCAATTTTAGAATTTCCTCTATCTTTTCCATCAGCGTCAAATACAGATATTCCCTTTCTAATCTCCTCGCTTCTCATCAAAAAGACATTGAGAATACCCGCCGAAGCCACGGCTGCAAATGGAACCAATCTGGTCAAAACTGTCTTTGTCAGAGGAGAAATATTTTTCAATTTAGGAACGAGAGCATTGAGTCCAAGAGCAACAGAACATGAAGCACCCACGGCCCAAGTATAATTGGTAGCGATTTGCTTCGTGGTGAGCGGATGACTCTTGTTTGAATTAGCTGTATTGATAGCCACATTGAGCGACTGGTTTGCAATCTGCCAAAAAAGTGTTCCTGCGGTTCCCAAGCCTGGTGTGAGCATACCGGCTGTAACTACCAAGTTGGAAAGTACACAAGAGCTCATTCTAAAGGGTAAAACCACCGTCTCTCCTGTATCGGGATGTACAGAAGAGTCCAAAACTTTCTTGGCTTTCCATAATTCTTCGGTCATTTTGGGTATCACACCGTTTTTGTAGTCCCAAACTTTCATTTTTGCTGTTTCGATGTCTTTGGTGGTATTCAACAACATGGTGGGATCTGAAATCTCGGCGCAATGGCGCACACGGCCCAAATATGTGCTCAAGTCATAGCGGGAGGCCGGCAAAGGAACAGGCCCAGATACAGAAGAAGCCATAAATTTAGGTAAACGACAAGATCTCGATTTTTGCCGTTTGGAACCCAGACACCACGCAACACGCAACACGGCTGAACGCTAACAAGTTGAAAGTTTATGAGAGTTTTAGGCCATGGGGTTGATATAGTACGAATAGAGCGGTTTCAACGACTTGTCGGTAAAAACCCGTCGGATGCATACGTCAAACGTTTGACACGACGCATCATGCACGAAGTGCATGAGGCTCCACATTTCGAAGCACTAAGAGCAGCCGGTCGGTTTGAGAAAAGTGTGGTGTATTTGGCAGGTACATGGGCCATTAAAGAGGCCATCTATAAGAGCATTGATGACGCTGATCAAAAAAAGTTTCAGTTTAACCGCTGGTATAGGGTGTATGGTAGTCGAGGACAGCCAATTGTGGGAAGCGACGTTTTTGACAAAAATCAACAATTTCTTGTTAGTGTGTCTCATGATGGAGGAACATTGATAGCCAGTGTGATACGGCAAATGAAAGAATGCACTTGATATACAGAAAATGAAAGAATGCTCTTGATATTAAAACAATTATATACGTAATCTATTACTACTTTGCAGCCGTTTAGCTTATTCCCATTCAACGGTAGCTGGAGGCTTGGAAGTGATATCGTAGGTGACTCTGGCGACGCCATCGACCTCGTTGACAATCCGCGAGGCCACACGCTTCAAGAAAGCGGCTTCGAACACAAACCAGTCTGCGGTCATAAAATCGACAGTTTCAATGGCTCTCAATGCAATCACTTGCTCATAGGTTCTTTGGTCTCCCATGACACCAACAGACTTGACGGGCAACAACGCGGCGAAAGCTTGCGAAATCTGCTTGTACAAGCCAGCAGCCTTGATTTCGGCAATGAAAATGGCATCGGCTTCACGAGCAATTTTGACTTGAGCTGGAGTCACTTCACCCAAAACTCTGATAGCCAAACCGGGTCCTGGGAACGGATGTCTCCACACAAGATCGTGGGGAACTCCTAAAAGTTCACCCAAATGACGAACTTCGTCTTTGAACAACTCACGCAAAGGTTCAATAAGTTTGAGCTTCATTACGTCTAACAAACCACCGACGTTGTGGTGGGTCTTGATGGTCTGCGAAGGACCCTTGAAAGAAATGGATTCGATGACATCGGGGTACAATGTTCCTTGCAACAAGTATTCGATTTCCTGGCCGTGAGCAGGCTTGATCTTGGCGGCTTCTTCTTCAAAGACATGGATGAAGGTGTTACCAATGATTTTCCGTTTCTTTTCTGGGTCAGTGATACCTTTCAATCTGCCCAAAAACAAGTCGCTAGCATCCACCACGGTCAAGTTGATACCGAGACCTTCTGTCAAAGTCTTGTAAACCTCCTCGGTTTCGTTTTTTCTCATGACTCCGTTGTCGACGTAGATGGCATGGAAACGGTCGCCAATGGCTTCCTTCATGATTTTGGCACCTACAGTGGAGTCCACACCGCCAGAAACTGCTCCGATAACCTCGGCAGTAGGACCTACCAACTTCTGAATTCTAGCAATTTCTGTGTCGATAAAGTTCTCCATGGTCCAGTTGGTCGAAGCCTTACAGATGTTGACGGCAAAATTCTTCAAGATCGTACGGCCCTGGGTGGTGTGGGTGACCTCCGGGTGGAACTGGATACCGTAGATCGACTCGTCCTCGTTGGCAACGGCGGCGTAGGGAGAATTGTCGGAAGTAGCGACGATGTTGAAGCCGGTGGGAAGAGCATGAAGTTTGTCTCCGTGAGACATCCACACCTGTGAATGGTCCACATCAGCAAACAAGGCACACAGCTTATCCTTGACGTTGAGTGTGGCTGGTCCGTACTCACGTTTGTCTCCTCTGGCAACTCCCTTTCCGTTGATCCAGGCAATCTCCTGCATTCCATAACAGATTCCAAGAATAGGAACATTCAATTTGAACACGTCATGATCAACGTGGGGAGAACCATCCTCGTACACGGAGTAGGGACCTCCAGAGAGGATCACACCCTTTGGTTTCCAGGTCAAATCGGCGATTTTTTGCGTACAAGGAAGCATCTCTGCGTAGACATTGAACTCTCTGAGTCTTCTGGTTATGAGATGGGAGTACTGGGAGCCAAAGTCCAACACCAAGATGGTGTCGAACAGCTTGGAAACTTCAATTGGGACGTCTTCGGCGGCAGTCATTTGGGGGCTGATTAGAGGCAGATGGTCAAAAAGTTAAAGTTCGCAGCGATGAGATTTTTCGATGTCCTGCAGATACGCCCGCGCGAGTCACGGCTGCAAATGAATCAACTCCAAGCACAGTACAACAGAAGTGAAGTGGATTGACTTGTTTGTGCGCATTAAAGCCACAAACACAAAAACACAAACACGAATTTCTGCTGAGTTGTTGAGATTTCCTCACCTGTAAAGTACCTGCTTCTTTTTGTTCTTTTTCCTTTCTGCTATGCGATCCCTTCCCCAGCCAAGACTCACGCTTCTGCGACGCTGGAAACGCTTTCAAAGAGCTTTATTAGATCTTCTCTTGCGTGGCTCAGTTCATGATCCTGGTGCCTTTATCCCACACCCAAACACCACACATTCCACTATTATCAAGCAAGCATGGTTTACTCGCCGGTTACGCCACGCCCGTCGAGCCAGCACTCTCCAGAAGGGAATTGATTCGGCATTCAAGTGGCCGATCCATCGTAGTCGTGTAAAAGTTACACTAGGGTTTTGGTGATGGACGTACTGCAGATAAGCACAACGATCAAAAAGCCCAAAAAAGAGAAATTACCAATAAGGGCCACAAAAGCTACTAGTATAAGTAATAGTAATAGAGGCTATACCAGTATGAATCTGTATTCTAATTAATATCGTCGCCAACCACAATTCAATTGTAGCCTACTTTCCGCGATGCTCATCGCATTCTGCACGTGCGAAATTTTTCACTTAACCATGACAGACCAAGTCAAGGTTCGGTTTTTTACCAATGAAGAAGATGATTTGAAGGTGTCGGAGAATCCTATATTTGTTCCTGTATCGCTCAAGAGGTATGGGCTTTCTGAGATTGTGAATCACTTGCTCAATGATGGCGAAACAAAAAAGGCGATTCCATTCGATTTTCTTGTGGATGGAGTGTTGCTTCGAACTTCTCTTCAAGACTACCTTACGAAACAAGGGTTATCTACCGAGACGGTCATTGATCTCCAGTACACGCGAGCAGTTTTACCCCCAAGTTTTTTGGCATCTTTTACAAATGAGGATTGGATATCTTCCATCGACACCATCAACCCAGGGCATGGAGCTGTGTTAGCGTCCAATATGAAGCTCCAGGAGTCCAAGATTTTGTCAGGATCGTACGACGGAGTGGTCAGAACATACAATATGTCTGGCGAGGTGGAAAGTCAGTACATTGGTCATCTGGGACCGGTAAAAAGTGTGAGATGGATCTCACCAACAAGAATTGTTTCTGCTGGAAATGACCACAGCTTGAGGTTGTGGAAGACCAAACTAGCAGGCGTGGAGGAGGGCGCCGAGGATGGTAAAACTACAGCTATTTTAGAAGGTCACAAAGGTCCGGTGGTGGACTTGGCAGTGGACTATAAATCGAACAAGATTATTAGTGCTGGAAACGACAGTGTTGTTGGAGTTTGGTCTACGAATGCCAGCGACATGTCCGCAGTGACGGTTTCCGAGCCCACTGGTTCCACAATGTCGAAAAAAAGGAAAAAGTTGGCCCTTCAAGATTCCACCATCAAGCGCCGCGCACCTTTGGCTATGATGGACGGCCATGGCCAGCCAGTCACAGGAGTATGTTTCGATGTCAATGACAAGCTGGTGATATACTCAGCATCCCAGGACCATACCATCAAAACTTGGGACTTGGTAACGTCTCGGTGCGTCGACACCAGATCCACCGGGTTCTCACTTCTTTCCATTCTCCAACTTCCCAATTTGCATTTGGTTGCAAGTGGGTCTTCTGCTCGCCATATCAACCTCCACGACCCTAGAGCAAGCTCCAGCACAGAACAGGTATCAAGGAAGCTAGTTGGACATACAAACTTTGTAGTATCCATGGCAGCTTGCCCAGACAAAGACCATATGTTTGCATCAGCTTCTCACGATGGAACCGTGAAAGTTTGGGATGTGAGAGCAGACAAGGCTATGTACACGCTAGGCAAAGGCGGTAAGGTTTTCGGGGTGTCGTGGGACCCAATTGGCATTGTGAGTGGTGGAGAAGATAAGAAGATTGACATCTATCGCGAAGCCAACTAGAGAATGAAGGAAAACGAAGAGTAGAAGAATAATTAAGAAGCATAAGAAGCAGCTATTATCAGCATAAAAATGCAGATTTTATTTGGCAAATGTAGCATTGCAGCTTTTTTTTATTTGCAGCTATTTTCACAATTTTGCAGCATAATTTTGCAGCCTATTTCAATTCGTAAATTTGTCTATTTTCACTCAACTTCCTTTTCACTCAACTTCCTTTTGCTCGCCCACATCGCAAGCCCATAGTACCCCTGCCACAAGCTTTCTTTGTCAGTAGTATACCCAACCAATTGGTTTTCATCCAAACTAATACGATTATCAATATCTTGCCAGCCCATTCTTTTTCGTAAATGGGCAAATTCTTCGGCATTGAGTTCCACCCGAGCAGCTGTTCCGTACTTGAGAGGACCCACATTGATCCAGTAGCCATTTTTGACCCCATTCTGGCCGCGAGTCAACTCATTGATAGTATCCATATAGTCAATCAAGTTTTCTGCCGTGTCCATGAAAAATGCCGTTACCACAACCACGTTTTTATACGAGTTTGGTTTAAAGTAGCGAAAGTCTTCCTGATGCAAATGAAGGCTTTCTGGCTTTTTGTGAGTCGTAATCTTTGAAGTACGAAACTGGTTGGCCATGGAAGTAAAATTGGAACAATTATGCACATAAGGGTAGGTGACATATGCACCTTCCTGCGAGTACATGAATTGGTTGCAAATATGCATAAGACCACTAAACTCCACTGCATGAACTGCCGCATACGGCGCAGATGATGCAATCTCATGCGCTATGCGTCCAAGGCCCGAACCAGGCACTATTATACAAGTATCACGGAGTTCATTTTCACGAACAAATTGCGACAAATGCAGTTTTATATAATTTAAGAGTGGCTCGATTTCTTGTGCATCTGCATCCCAATCCCGAGAAAAATGCGTAAGTGCTTCTATAACACGATAGTTCGAAGATGAATTCTTTGCCTCGTCTTCATGATTTCGTAAAAGATCAAAATCACGATACTTAATGCCATAATGATCAATTGCATGTTTTGCAATTGCCGATAGAAACTTTTGATTATCGCCAACTCGGCGGTCCATCTCGGCCAACTTGTCAAGATATCCGACTTCTGTGCATAGCTTCTGTTGCCGCCATGACATCATTTTGAAAAGTCGGTGACGCCGAGCACTGGTGCGTTTACAATTGGCTGCATATGCTTCAAGCAGGCGAATTGCAGTTAACACTTCTAAGCGACCCGCATCTCGAAGCTGCATGAACCGGGAATCATTACCCTCGGATTTGGTTCCAGGTACAATATTTCGAACGAGTCGTTCGTTTCTCGCGGCGGCCACGGTGGTATCGAGGGCCCCGGCAGCTCTACGCACCCAGTTTTGAAACATGGCGGTACGAGAGAACACGTTGGCAGCAACGAATACCGCTGCAAGTTTGACTGCGGGAAGTACAGGTAAATACACAAGGACAGCTGCAATGCAGGCGGCGGCACAAGCGGCGTAGATATCGGGAGGCATACGGTTCGCACGACCCCCATTGCCGCATTAAAATACGGAAGGTGCGCGAACTTGAATTCAAACGACTGCAGAGCTTAAAAAGGGTGCGTCAGCATAGTGCATAACCAAAACGAAAAAAATGGCCCTGTTGCAACCTATCGAACCAGTAAAGCTCGACGAATCTGATCCTCAATTGTGTAGAATCTTGTACAGCGATGAATACAAGCATACTATTGGAACGGTATTGGCCCTTTTGCGTGATAAAGAGTATTCTCCAAGAGCTCTAGAATGGACTCTGAAAGCCATTGACTTGCTTGCTTCACACTATACATTGTGGAGTTACCGGTTCGACATTGTGTGTGCCATTGATTACGATCTTTGGGAAGAGCTTGAGTGGTGTGAACAAATCGCTCTCGAAAACGAAAAAAATTACCAGATTTGGAATTATCGCCAGCTTATAATTGAAAAAATTTGCAAGAAAGAGACGTTTGATCCTCATCATGAGCTTCCCATCTTGGCTGCGATGCTTCAGGAAGACCCTAAAAACCATCATGTTTGGTCGTATCGAAAATGGTTGGTAGAACATTTTGATATGCATAACGATGTACGGGAACTTGACTTTGTTGATCTGTGTTTAAGTTCCGACGTGCTTAATAATTCTGCTTGGACTCATCGGTTCTTTTTGAAGTTTGCAGCAGGAGCAAATAATATGGTTGCAAATTCCGAAATCGAGTATGTGTGTCGTAAAATCAAGGAGTTGCCGCAGAACCCTGCTGCATGGAACTATCTCTTGGGAATTTATGCCCGCGTCGGGCGCGACTTGAGCGACTTGGAGTCTTTTTGCAACCAATTTTACCCTGAAGAAGAACTCGTTCGCAGCACTTATGCAATGGAAGTTCTTGCTCGCATTTGGAAAGTTTCGGACCCTGGTCGGTCGCATAACATGTACATGCGTCTTGCAGAAACCTATGATCCAATTCGTGCCAATTATTGGCGATTCTGCGCCCAACAGTAGGCGGGAGGTGATTCGGTGCATACACACCCGTGCACCACGCGCATGCGGGTTTAAATCGTAAATCGGCAACAGAACAAAGCATCATGCCCGACAGCCCCGATGACGCGGAGGAGTCTTTGATCTCGCAGTTCGAGACAACTTTGACCATCCGGCCGTCAGCACACGACGAGGAGGATGTGTCGATGCAGACGGTTCTTACATCAGGGTACACTCGTGACAAAAGTATTGTTGACATTGACGAGTTGGAGGAAGAAGAAATCAATTCGGAACAGATTCCCAAGTTGCGATATAAGCTCAAGCCTGCAGCTGCAGAGGTTAAGAGGGAGAGGGGACATGACGTACGAACCGGAAGTTATGCACGGCTGTTGCTGCTGTTGCATGATGCACATCATGCAATGCCAGATCAGAAGCAACCAATTCTTCCAGAATTGGCACCTTCGCCATTGGTGGATAATTCATTAACAAGGTTCCGCAAAGTCTTTGACGAGTTTATTCGCTCGAACCCGCACATAGAGGCCGAGTCGCCGCGGGTGGCAGAAAAGGAAAAAACGTTGGTGGTTCTTTCCCCACTTCTGGCCGAGCATGTAATTGGCCGCAAATGGGAAACCAAATCATATCTTGCAACCATTTTCGAACGTCCCCAGCGTCTTCTTGCGTCATGTATAGGTGTGGGTGCGGCGCTTACCATGTTCCCATTTTATTACAAAGTGATAAACTCGACAAAACGAGGGTCGATTTTCGCACCGTATGTTCGGCGAGTTCATGGAAATCACTGGCCCAATATGTTGCATGAACTATGTATAGATTCGCAGGCGAAACTTGCTGCCGGGAAGCTCGAGGTTCCGGAAGATTGGAATACTGGAGATATTTATTTGGTTCCTCGCACAATTACTGCAGTGGAAGGAAGTATAGGCGCAATTGAAACTGCATTTGATTCGGTTTTTGGGCTGCAAACTCATAATTTGGCTTTTGTTTTGCTTCGTCCGCCAGGTCACCATTGCCATGCTTCACTCCCAAGTGGATTTTGTCTTTTAAACAATGCACAAATCGGAATTGAATATGCCTATGAAAAACATGGCGTAACCCATTGTGCCATTTTGGACATAGATCTTCACCATGGAGACGGTCTGCAAGATATCTGTTGGGAAAGAGGAGGATTTGAAGGAGACCATGGACTTCAAGAAGATGAAACAACCCCCAAAGATGAGTATGGGAAAGGGTTTGCTTCTTACCCAAAAGTTGGATATTTTTCTCTCCACGATATCAAATCTTATCCAGCCGAGCTAGGTTATGCTACCAAGGACACCATTCGGAATGCGTCTACATGCGTAATGGACCATGATGTGAATATCTGGAATGTGCATCTTCAACTGTGGACATCTGAAGATGAATTTTACAAGCATTACCAGACCAAATATGTTGCTATTCTCAACCGGGCCAACCAGTTTTTGAACACGGCGAAAAAACAGTACGAGCGAGAAAAAGAAGAGTATGGTGTTGCCATGGCCAAGTACTTGAAATATGCGGAAAAACCGCATGCCCCACAAATCAAAAAACCTGTTTCTCCTCCACCATTCAAGCCTCTTATAGTCATCTCAGCAGGGTTTGACGCTCTGGAATATGAGAACCCGCAAATGCAAAGACACAGTGTTAATGTGCCCACTTCGTTCTATGCAACCTTCACGCGCGATGTCGTAAAATTGGCGAAAATTCACACCGGCGGAAAGGTGGTTTCGTTTTTGGAAGGTGGATACTCGGACGGAGCCCTTTCCACAGGAATATTTTCCCATTTAATTGGACTCATCAATAACGACGAGGATGATTTGTGGAACCCAACTTGGGGAAGCGACCAAGTTATGCGCGAGCTCACAAAAGGTTGCAAAAAAAATTGGACTCCATATAAACGGCCGCTGGCCGATATCACGATTTGGGCTAATGAAACCATCAAAATAGGCCGGTCATTGATGCCCAATGCCATCTTGGCTTCGAATTACATATACCTGCATCAGCCGCAGAAAGGCGATCCTGACATTCCCATACATAAAATGGTGCGTGAGATCATGGATCTGCGTACCGAGATCAAAATAGAAGACGACGACGCCAGGAGAAGCCGGCGGCTGTATTATCGCCGTACCAAGTCATAGAAAATATACTATTGTAAGGTTCAGCCGTAGATGTAGGTGGGGTGGGGCGCGCGAACAGCAGCTGGTGTAGCGGGTGTGCGCTGTGGCATTTCTCAAAATGGTTATTTCTGGCTGTCGACAATTCGATGCACCAAGGAACGCTGGACGCCAATGGTGCAGGTGATTATGCACCGTCGCACCCGCAGTTTGACAGGTCGGGAATTCTGGACGCGCTGTATATCGAAATGCTTCTTTTTGAAAACCGTGAATTGCAGGCAACGGTGACTAAACAAGAGCAGATAATTCTGGGGATCCGCGACCGTCTCAATGGCACGAGTCTTCCACGAGGAAAAGCGGAAAAGGTTGCAATGTCGGCAGATGTGACTGCAGAAATAGAAGATGCAACTGCAAATTCAACTGCAGATGCAAGTGCAGATGTTTCAGCTGCAGAAGTTTCAACTGCAGATGCACAAGCACATGTACCAACTGCAGATACTTCTGTATTAGCTGGATTGGCTTCTCCTGCTGCATTGGCTTCACCTGCATTGGCCTCGCCTGCATTGGCTGAACCAGCTGATGACGTGCCGGTTAGATCTGCTCGACGGCGACGCGAAGACGATTCCGTCGATGAAACCTCCCAATTAGATATTAAACAGGCGTCACCCACTCTTGGAGTCACCGACGCTGTCGACGATCGGTCTTCTCTTTATTCGGAATCGAATCTGCCTGCACGTCAATCTGATGGTCGGCGCCTCGCTGCCAGTGCCGACAATTCATTGACGCAGCATAAAAACGCCAGTAACAGCAGTTTCGGCTCAAACTACAAACCTCGTCTCAAGCTTCCTGCAACGCTCAAGAACAATGGAAGCCGTACACCATCGGCGCTGGCGCCTCAGACGCAACTGTCACTCCTGCAGCTGCAGCTGCAACTGCAGACGCTGCAGACGCATACCCTGATTCTTCTGCTACAGGAATCAGATCTTGACACATCTTCGGTAAGCCGCACATTGGCATCATCAACTTCTGGTCCCATTCCTCCTGCAACTCCTGATGCCATGCAAATTAACAAGTTTCCCTCCAACATGTCGATTGACGATCGAAGTATAGTTTCAAATCCTCAATCACCTCCAATGCATGAACCGTTACGAACACCGCTGGGACTCTTGCTGCATGAATCTTTGACTGCAAAACTTTCTCGCCAACCAACCACTCCCGGTTCTAGTTTCCAGGTGATGCCTTCAACGGTGCAAGAAGATGAAGAAACCACATTGTTGGTGAAACCAGATAATTTTAACACAATTGATATTGTGGTTGCAAGCACCATTAATGTTCATCATCAAGAAGTTTCACTACAACGCAAGCTGGACGATCCCAATGTGAGTATCAGCATCTGTGACAAAGCTTCTGGTAAGGAAATGTGGAGAATCCGGAAATCGTACCTGCAACTAGTTGCATTCGATAACGAAATAAGACCCATAGTTGAGTATTTCGGGCTTCCTCCACTTCCTGAAAAAACGCTTTTTTTCTCATCTTCTCCTCCAAAAGTAGACACCCGTCGACTCCAATTGCAGGATTTTTTCAATACTTTGTTCTTGATTCCTCATATTCCGCGAATGCTTCTTTTCAGAATCTGCAAATATCTCTCGGCAGACTTGGTCAATCCACTCGACGATTTCAAAAGTGGTGCTTCTAAAGAAGGGTTTCTTATCAGGCGCTACAAAGGACTCGGATCGACTTGGAAAGTGAGATGGTGTCAGGTAGACGGCCCATATTTGGAAATATATGAAGCTCCCGGCGGCACATTTCTTGAGCAATTGCCGCTCTGGCATACCCAAATCGGCCGCCAATCTAGCGATAGTGTTGCTGAAGACAAAGGATACCGTCATGCTTTCCTTATTTTGGAACAAGAAAAATTCAAAATGAGTTCAACTTCCAAACACTTTTTTTGTGCCGAGTCGGATACAGAACGAGACTCGTGGATTTCAGCATTGATCCAGTATACGGGGTGGTCCGATTCGGCAACTCCCGCTGAGTCTACCGACAGTTTGGTGCGTGGATCTGAGCGGTTTGGAAGCAATGAACGGGTGGAAAATTTGGATGAAAAAGAAAGAGAAAAGGAAACCAAAAAGAGTCGAAAGCGAAGTCTCTTTCCGTTCCGCAAGAATGCAGACGACGACCAAAGTTCGCAAAACCAGAATCAGAATTCGCAGCCAAATTCGAATTCTCAATTTTCAAGTTCGCAATTTTCAAATTCGCACCAAAATTCAAATTCAAATTCAAATTCGCAGCCATATCAGTCGGCTCAATTGCAGCCCCATTTCTTGTCGCAGCCTTTGCTGCAAGCCTCCTCTGAGCTCCCGCTGTACATTGGAAACATGAAGCTAGACGACAGTCCCGCAAAAACCATTTTTGGTCGCGACGTATTGGAAGCTTACAACTTGTCGCACCATGAATTTCAAGGCCGAAGCATTCCCAGTGTATGTTTCCGGTGTCTCGATTACCTCGTAAAAACAGGAGCGGTGTACGAAGAAGGCATATTTCGACTTTCGGGCTCGGCATCTCAAATCCGGGGGCTTCGAGAACAGTTCAACACTAAATTCGACATTGATCTTTGCGCCAATCCGCTGCCTGATATCCACACTGTTGCCGGTCTTTTCAAAACTTATTTAAGAGAACTTCCTCATCCCATTCTTGGAGCTCAACCGTACTCGGATCTACAACATATTGTCATGAGTAGAGGAGATACTGGGTCCAAACTGTCATGTGGCTTACATTTTCCGCGACTACCTTTCAAGTGAAGGAAACATCTCCAAAGTCAATTACGACTTGTGCTACGTGATCTTCGGGTTTTTGAAGTATGTCATTGAAAACCTGTCAAGAAACAAAATGTCGCTCAGAAACGTGTGCATCGTTTTCGTGCCAACTCTCAACATCTCCCTCGACATCCTCTCCACTTTGCTCGTGGATTACGACTGCATCTTTGCCGGCGGAGACCCCGTTCCCGACCACGCCCGCGAGGTGCTCGATATCCACATCCCTAATTTCTAGCTACAATACATAATACATTTTCGCTCACCATTCGTTTTCCCCACTCGCCTTCTGGAACACATAGTCCCTTTCCGCCAATGTTGGCAATGCCCTCCTTGAGCGTCAGCTTCCACTTGTTCTTCACCCGCTGTACCCTTGTCGTATAAACAACAAGCAAAATCCTGCCCTTTCCTGATACCCTTCTTCACCTTCAGACTTGTCACTGTCGGAACCATCGTCTAAGTCACTGTTGATGTCCTGCGAATCGTGCGCTGAATCGTCGTCATCGTCAAACTCTCCATCGGCCTGACCAACCTGAAACTTTTTCATCAATTGCTTCGCATCGCTGGTTTCAAAAGTAAGTTCAAATTGCCCATCGGTCTGGTTCACCCTCGGAAGCATCAACCCAGTACTATCGTCGTACTCATCGTTTCCCAGAACAGTCGGAAGTTGAAGCTGCATACCACTATTATGCCCTCGGTCTCCGGTCGCAGTAGGATATGACAAAGTTGGTAATTCGAGCCCGCCCGAGCTGTCCAACGCAAGGCAGCCCATCGGGTGCTAACACCCCCATCGACTCCTGGACCGAAAGATGGCCATGGCCCAAGTTTTCATGGTGAATCTCATCATCCCACGTAAACTTGGCCACCCCGGATTGACTAAGTTTTTCACACCAAACACGCCGTAACTCTTGGAGAGTGGGACTCATCTATCCCACTGTCCTCGAAGTCCTGCCGCGAATCGCTGATAACCTCCTCGATGATGGTCTCGTACAACTTCGTCGCTTCGGCGTTGGACATGCTGACAACAACTCCACTGGTGAGCATAACGAAGTTTGGTTCGGCCTTGCTTATGTAATCGCACGTGACCCCGTTTGCCATGGTTGCAAATTCTAGCGCCGGGTGATTTTAGGTGAAAGTCTTCGCCGGCCGCTGTCGTCGAGCAATTCAAGCAACAGATCCTTCTCGGCCACTGCTGCGTCAAGCTGCTTGCGAAGACTTTCAATGTCGAGTTTTTGCTGGTTATTTTCACCCTGCAATTGATCCAACTTTTTATTGAAACTGGTACGCATCATACCAACTTTAGTTTCGTGTTTCTTCGAGTATTGCGTGTAAAGCAGTTCGGCAACCTCATCAATTTTCTTTGTTGTTCTTTGACGGTTCAATTCAAGCTGCTGCTCCATATGTTCACGTAACTGCTGTAGTTCTTGCTGGTGAGCTTCGTCGTTATCCTTTTCAAGTTCGGCGATTTTTTCCTTCAATTGCTTGATTTTCTGAGTCAATTCGTTCATCTTCTTTGTATCGCCTCCAATAATCTCGTCTTTCTCCTTGTTGGTAGCAACGAGCTGGTTATTTTGGGCCTTTAAATCGGAATTTACACGCTCAAACTCATTGATTTGTTCTTCCAATTCACGTTGAATGCTGACTTTGTGCTCTTCAGAAGCAGCAAGGTTCTTGGAAACAGTAGCAAGCGATTCGTTCGCACGCACAACAGCAGAATCCATCTCTTGAAGTTGCTGCTTGTACTCGTTTTCAAGCTGTTCCTTTGTGTTCGTGAGCTCTTTAATTTCCTGCTCCTGGCACCAAGCAACAGCTCCAACTTTTCCATTTGGGTATGAGCAATCTTCTCGACCCGCTCAAGGTGCTCTTGCTGCTCGGAGTTGATCTGTTGGATTTCAGCGTTCTCCTTTGTCAATTGTGCAATATTGCTTTTGAGCTGATCATTTTCTTTCTTGTACATTTCAGATTCATCACGAAGGCTGTCTTTGGAAGCGATTAGTTTCTCCAATTCCATGTTTTTGTCGGTGACAGTTTGAGAAAGCTCACTCATCTTCTCGTCCTTTGCCTCAAGTTCGTGTCTGAGCTCGCTGATCTCTTGCTCAAGCGCTGTGCGAAGTTGGTGAGATTGTTCCTGCTTTGATACGAGTTTCTCAGTTTCTGCTCTAACTTGAGCCATCTCGGTTTCAAGCTCCAGTACTCTTTCCAAAGCCAAAGACTTTTCATGCTCTAGAGAAGCCAGGTGGTTGCGTTCATCGCTCAAACACTGCAGAACAGACAAGAGTTCCAGTTCGGCTTTCGTGGTCATATCTTGTTGCCTCTTCAACGCCTTGGTGGTGGATAAAAGTTCACGCTCATAGTGCTGCAATTGTACCAAAAGCATCTCTTCATTTTGCGAGAGTTTTTTGTTACGCAGTTTCAATTCGTGGATCTGTTGGTCATATCTCAAGAATTCGCGGTTGGTGGAGGAAAGTTCTTCTGAGAGGCGCAAGATTTGCTCTTTCTGGTTGTTGCTTTCCTGCTCCAATTCTTCGAGTTCGTGGTGGTGATTAGTTTGAAGCTTATTGATGTAGTCACGGGAAAAAATCGGTTTAGAATTAGGTGACAAAAGGAGGTTTATGGTTGGTTCCACTACTCCCCCTTCCTGGAAAGCATGATTCTTGAGAGGCGTGGTGGACTCGTTTGTGTCGGCAACACGGCCTCGCTGGCTAGTTTCTGGGCTACGGGCCACTGGCTCAGTGAATCTTTCTGGGGTAGTGTAGTCATTCTCAGCATCGAGGCGAATAATTTTGCTGACTTGGGTCAAATTTTCTGCGTCCAGCGGGGGCAAACGACGAGGAATCATGGTGACATCGTCGCCGGCGTCGATATGGTCGTCATTATCGCTGTCGCTGTCTTCAACGACCGAGCTTTGGACTTTTGAATTACTGAAAGATTCCAACGAAGATTGACGGGCGATCTTTTGCGGTGGTTGCGACAGCGACGGCGAAGCATGGCGCTTAGAGACATTCGAAGCAGGTTCTGAAGGAGAACCGGCCAAAACTGGCGAATCAGTAGCCAAAGCTCTTGGGACAGAAGACGCAATCGGCGATGCTGGCGACGCAGCTGCCGTTGAAAACACAGCGTTGGAAACGGGGGATTTTGCTAGCGACTTTTCCAGCGACTTTGCCAGCGTTTCCAAAGACTTTTTCTGGCGTGGCGACCCGTTAGAATTCGTGTCTTGAGCATGAACTCCAGAAAACTTTTCAGCACGAACATCTCCGGAAAAAGATCCATTTGTGGCTTTTCCAGACTTCCCAGGCTGACTACCAGGTGTATGATTTACTCCAATTTTAGCATCAAGTGGCAATTTGGCCCTTTTTATAGACTCCACATTCGACCGAGGAACATTATGATGAGGATAATTTCTCGGACTTGTGAACGGAATTCGGTCCGCTATCGAGCTACGAAGCTTCTCTGGACCAACAGGAGTCGCCACGTCCCAAGTATTTGACATGATGGTTGCAGAACCTTCGACAGTTCTCAGAGGGGTGACAAAATCTTGAGTTTTTTTGTTGATATTATGGCTAAGATCTGGAATATTATCCATATCGTTTGGGACCGTGTTGTGGTACATCTTTTCCACCGGAATTGGTGATAACAGGTCTCCTTCCATGGAAAAATGCAGTTTTGGTAAAGGAGAAGACATGTTTACAGACGCGTAATTGAAGAGAGAAGTGCAGGAGAAAAGGAGATAGTGTGCAGGACGGCTATTAGAAGTGCAGGAGCACTAGTTGAGACACCAAAACATATATTTAAGCGAGTGGACAGCATGATGCAACTAAAAGAGGTAGTGTGCGCGGGCGTTGAAC